ACAGCAGGCAGACAATCTGAATGGAGTATTAACTACCTGCTGTGCTTGGCTGGCCTCTTTTTCTTAAAATAAATAACCCTATGAAAAAGTCATTAACAGAATATTTGGGCTTGCTGTAGAAAGAAAATTAAAAGTATCAAAGTAACGTCAAAATTTTAACAGCCTTCCTTATTGCAGAGGAACAGGCATCCCACAGCTGTTCATATTGCCTGATGTGCTTTAGCCAACTATAATTGCAGCCCAACATTTCCTCCTTAAAAGTGTTCCTTGCCCAGGAGCCGAGCCAAGTACATTTTGGACAAGCCTAGGGTGTTAAAAATATGAATGTGCTCTTATTGGAGCAAACCTGCATGTTTCATATTAAATGTGCTCATTGAGAAAATAATCCTGCAAAGTTTGTCAAGATGATAATTACTTTGGCAAAAAAAGAGAAGGCCACCTTGCCTGGCCTTCATCAAAAATGGACTCCATTTACCAGAGTTTAATGGAGAGGCCTTGCTTGAAATGGACTGTGATGCATAAACGTTGCTGGTTCCTATTTTTAATATTTATGGTTCAACTGCCTGGCAAATTATCTGGTTCCCTCAAGGGGCCCCCTTTGCACAGGGCCTACTTCAGTCTACAAAGGAATAATGGTTCCACTCCTCTGTGCCTGCCATTGTAGGAGGCCTGAAAGATCAGGTTTGATTTCTATTTTTATTTCACAGTTGTGGTTTTTTTAGACGTAGGGACCTCCAAATATGTACAGAATCATAGAATTGTATTGTTGGAAAGGACTCTGAGGGTCATCTGGTCCAACTCCCTGCAATGTAGGAAATTCAGCTAAAGCATCCAAGACAGATGGCCCTCCAGCCTCTGCTTAAAAACCTCCAAGGAAGGAGAACCCACAACCTCCTCAGGGATGTTCTTTCCAAAACACTTCAGAAAATTTTTGTTGGAAGGGATGGGGGGGGAGTGGGGTTTATTGATTTGTTTGTTTTGTTCTTATTATGTACTTTGTGTTTTTATCATGTATTTTGATGTTGTGAAGAGATCTGTGGACAAAACATATACAAATTTAATACAAATAGTAATAATACAGTGGTACCTCGGGTTACAGACGCTTCAGGTTACATACACTTCAGGTTACAGACTCCGCTAACCCGGAAGTAGTACCTCAGGTTAAGAACAGTTTCAGGTTAAGAACAGACCTCCAGAACAAATTACGTTCTTAACCCAAGGTACCACTGTAATAATATAGCATTACCAAAATGTGGATCATGGATTGATCACCGTCACCACCTCCTTCTCTAAGCTTAAGTATAGCAGATCTGTTCACATGCTAAAGGCAAAGAGTGACTGCAGAAGATAGTTGGTTCTTAGATGTAGACATCTGAGGAAAAAGATATCATGTGAATTAGCAATACACATATTACACTGACATGTGTGAAATCCATCAAAGGGAAAAATGCCTTTGAGTATAACATGCAATGGCTCAAGTCACATGTATTCCCAAATTTCCCTGGCCATGCCTACATAAAATAAACCATTGCTTCATTGTTTTCTGAAAGTTTCCAACATGCATTTGGTTTGCCAGCAACCTTGTGGAAGACAACCCTAAAGTAAAAGCCCAGCCTTTCAGTTACTGAGGAAACAAACACTATAAATCTAACTACAGCACAATTGTGTATAAAAAACTTTTTTAAGCACAGTGAGACAAAGCAAATGTGAAATGTTTGAACAACTGTGAATTGGACATTTCTAACTTTAAGGCCTCTTTTAAGAAGTAAAACAGTGCAAAGATAAAAAAATAAAATGTCCATTTTGCTGGCCCACTTGAAATTGCAGACATGCTGGCTACAATATATATATAAAGTCACTCCCAAAGTAGCATGTAGTTATAGTCTTGCATTAGATAAGCTTTCTAGTTTGGTGCACCTAGGATGCAACTTAGAACTACAGTAGTTGGTGGCAACATTCAGCTCCCATACAAACCCCTTAAAACCGTATTCCTGTTAAACAGTGACACCCAGTGGCCAGATGCTATTTACCCACTTTTTTCTGCAAACATGTTGTCTGTTTTTGATTAAGGAATGCCATAAGGTATTTTTTAAATGCACAATGTACAAAGAGACCTGCTTGTACATTTTATTGTACGTAGACAAACTGAAATAGCTAATGCCATAATGGGAAAAAATTCAAAACAGCAGCTTTGTCCATCTGTTGTGGTTCAGTAAAGTCAAAGGAAAAGGAAGAGAGCATTGGCAGATTCACCTACAGCTGAACCAGCCCTGACTTGAGGGGGACCAATGTTACCTTTTGCAATGTTATACTGATCTATTAAGTACTCCATATTCTAGCCACTTGCATGCTTTAGGACAGGAATGTGCAAGCCTGGAACTAAAGGAAATAAATGATGTCAAGATAAAGAAATCAGCAAGGCACAATGTTCTCTTGGGAATGGTAAATAAATAAATAAATAAATTCTGTTTCTATACAACATTGGGTTTTTAATTGTAAGCTTCATGTTTTATTTAATGCTTACTATAAGATCGTTTGAGAACTAACCATTCAACTTTACAGTACCTTTTACATGTGGGTGCAGTGACCCATCAGTAGAGCAGCTGCCACATTAATTGCCCTGCCTGTTCATTGCAATTGGGGTGAGAACATATTAACATAATAGTTTATTATTTATATGCCACCCATCTGACTGGGTTCCCCCAGCCACTCTGGGCGTCTTTCAGAAAGGGCAACTCCACCCCCCCCCAATTTGATTCCAGTTTATTTATTATTGAGATATATTACCCACAGTCACCCAAAAGTCTCAGGGCAGTTTACGTAAAATGAATATACAAATGAAACTACAGTAAGACATAGTAATAGTAGGAAACCAATATGGTACAACGGGTGGGAAGAACAACTGCACCAGGGCCAGTGCTGGTCTTTGCAGGGAACTGAATGAAGGAGCTTTGGATCTGATAAAAGGTAAAGGTAAAGGGATCCCTGACCATTAGGTTCAGTCGTGACCGACTCTGGGTTTACAGCGCTCATCTCGCTTTATTGGCCAAGGGAGCCGGCGTACAGCTTCCGGGTCATGTGGCCAGCATGACTAAGCCACTTCTGGCGAACCAGAGCAGCGCACGGAAACGCCGTTTACCTTCCTGCCGGAGCGGTACCTATTTATCTACTTGCACTTTGACGTGCTTTTGAACTGCTAGGTTGGCAGGAGCAGGGACCGAGCAATGGGAGTTCACCCCATCGCAAGGATTTGAACCGCCGACCTTCTGATTGGCAAGTCCTAGGCTCTGTGGTTTAACCCACAGCGCCACCCGCATCCCTTGGATCTGATAGATCCATGCATATCCTGAGCAGGTTTCACCTGTATCATTGGTGAAACCCCAGTGGCAGAACAGGAATGGTAGGTGAGATGTCCACAGGTGTAGCAGGGAGACGTACTTCCCCATCCGCCCCCTCCCCACAAGTGGCTTGCATGCCACATCCTAGGACTCTTTAGGTAGCAACAGGATCACACTAAGTTAGATAAAGATTTATTTTTTTAAAAAAAATTCTCGATCACCACAGGACCATATATTTAAGACCTTATTCACCTTCCCATTTTGCACTATTGTATCCCACTCACATGCCAACCATGTCCTTTAGTCATATGGGACAATTAGGGCACTCCCTATGTAATATAATTGATAGACAGGACACTGAATACTGCCCCATTAGTAATTTTCAAACTCCCTAGGTATTATCTGTTGGACAGCTATGGTCAGTATATTTAAGCAAAAAGGAGAGGGACTCATACCTTGTTCTCAAGCTTTGAACGACAAGAAATCATTATTCCATATTGATATTAGAGTTTACTATCTGTGCAATAAGTGTTTTTGTTAACTAGATATACAATTTTTATTGCATTCCTGCATGTTTTCATTAGGCCTAACTTGATTGATTCTGGATGTACAGTGGTACCTCGGGTTAAGAACTTAATTCATTCTGGAGGTCTGTTCTTAACCTGAAACTGTTCTTAACCTGAAGCACCACTTTAGCTAATGAGGCTTCCTGCTGCACGATTTCTGTTCTCATCCTGAAGCAAAGTTCTTAACCCGAGGTAATATTTCTGGGTTAGCGGAGTCTGTAACCTGAAGCATATGTAACCTGAAGCGTATGTTACCCGAGGTACCACTGTACTCTAAATAATCTCTCTCTCTTCATGATGTTCTCAGCTTACCTCATGCATTTAATACTATATATGAAAACTTGTTACAGCCAATCAAGCATAGTGGAAGTTGTTGGAAACTGAATATATGTAGCAGCAGCAGCAGCTGCATAAGACTCTTTGTATGTGATGGGTACATCCATGTAGTTTTATTTTATGCCTCTTGAGATTGTAGTGGAATGGGGGGGGGAAGAATTGTGATGCCTTATAGAAAGGAAGTGCCATATCACAACATCTGCCATTGAGATTCAACTACAGTGTACCTTGGAAGTCAGATGGAAGCTCCTGCAACCAATTGGAAGCCACATCGGACGTTCAGGTTCCAAAGAACATTTGAAAACCGGAACACACTTCTGGGTTTGTGGCGTTTGGGAGCCAAAATGTTCCACTCGCAAGGCGTTCGACTTTCGAGGTACGACTGTACATGTAGCTTGAGTGAACCTTAGTGTTCATGTGAAACAGGACTCAGGCTGAAGCCATATACAGATTTATATGAAAGCAAGTTGCTTTAAGCTTGCATGATTTCCTTCCACATAAACATGTACAGCATTTCACCACAGCAGTAGTTTTAGAATTTGCTCAGTTTGCAAGAACAAAAATAGTCTATCACCCTTAATCTTTTAAAGTTAGTCTAACCTTCTACTTCAGACTGCTGCAGACTCCGTTTGCATCTATTGCAAACATTTCCATTAAGATACTTAAATGAAACTAAATACGTCCCGTCCCCCCATGTGTGATTTCTGTGACTAGGAATGAATGAAACCAAATTCCAGAGAAAACATGGACAGGAAAGTTAATATGAATGTTCAACTTTTTATTCCAATCACTGCATCATATTGCTATTCTTAGCAAGCATAAAAGCACTCACAAATGACAAAAACCTTTCACGTATTTTTATTATTGCAACCTCTTTCAAGTTTTTTTAAGCACTGTTAAGTAGAAAGGAATTGTAACCATCTGTAATATTTGCATGACATATTAAAACCCCATGAGACTTTTAAATTAACTTTGCCTGCGTTTTATGTAGAGAAAAGTAGCAGTTTTAGATTCTGAACTTTGTTTTCAAATCAGTTTATATAACTGCCCATTGAAGACTTGCCTTAAAACTCTGGCACCTTGTCATTTACATGTAGCTGAAAAAGCTTGGATTTTCTCATTTTGCATTTAATTGGTACAGGAAGATAACGTAACATGAATGAAGGAATGAATGAATGAATGAATGAAGACAGAATGCATTAGTTTCACAAAATTCTGTGGGACTGCATGGAGCAAGTTAGTTTGTGAAGCAGACACCCTTTATTTAAAGCAGCCTTTGTCTGCCAGATACAGACTTCCAGGACAACTTAAGTGTGTAAAGGACTACTGAAATAATACACATTTGCAACCAGGTGAGATTTCCACATCCGCAGACTCTAAAGAGCCTACTGCACAGTCAACTTTTTGCTTAGAATGCTTGGCGTCCATTTCACATGATGTAGCTTTTGCAAGTATTCTTTGGACAACTCTTGCATTCTGCAGGCAAGGCATTCATTGAAGTTCAGCACTTTAGTAGTGGCTTTACATTTTATTTTCATTTTCAGTTAATTCAGAGATGGAAGTTTCATCAGATTTAAGACGCTTAGGAGGTGGTGGATTTTGCAAAGGGTCTTCAGGTGGTGATGGCCTCTCTGAAATAATTAAGAAAATCATTATCTTTAGGTTTAAGGTTTTCAGAAGGTTAAAACTACTGGGACAACAAGACAGTGGGTAAGATTCAACATAGCGTATGTTTGGTGCCCACTTGCACTATGTTGCTTCTCCTTCCTATCCGGAGTGTTTGGGGGACACCTGGTGCAGGTTTGGGGCTGGGTGAAGCAGGGAGTAGAGAAACATGAAGTCCCGTTGTGCATGTGGATTTCTGCTGCGCAAGCAGGCAAACATTGCTCTTCCACAGTAATATCACACATTCCCCCCAATTTATGAAAATGGGCAGGGTATATTTACTGTGCCGCCCATGCCAACCCCCAGTGCAATCATGAATTGTGGAGGCAAATACGGTTAGAGCAACACTCATTCGGCACTTTTTGAAAAGCTATCAGCAGTAAGATATTTTACCATGTTGAACAGTTTCCGTGGAAGCAGTTGTAGAGACGGGATCAGAAGGCGGTGAGTCTTGAGTGTCTGCATTTAGAGGAATTAAGGCAACTCTCCTAAAAGCAATTAAATATTTAAAAACTGAGAACGCTTGACACCCTTACACACATGCACAGTTTTCCAGACTCCCACTTTCCTCATGCTACGTCTCTAACTATCTTTCTCTGGCTCCTTCCAACCCTCCCTTCCCTTGACTCCATGGCTAGAGCTCAGTCCCGTTAGAGATTCTACACTTAAATATGCTTACCCATCTCTGCATTTTTTCCTTTGATGTTTCCCTGTGTCTGTTTAAGAGTGCAAGACTCCTGGGATAGGGACCTCTCATACCTGTTCTTTATAAAGCACCATGTACGTAGATGGTACTACAAATATAATGAAGTCTGAGCAGAAGCTTCATTGAAGATCTGCAATGCTTCCTGGCACTACATCTGCCAGAATTTCCTTTGTAAGGCTGTTTCATACCTACCAGAAGAGCCTGGTTGCATTACGCTCACCTTGGTGCTTTGCTCCATGCTTGTAAGGTGTTAAGGGTAACCCTCCTGGGTTGGTTTGCTTTTGAGCTTGATGGCTGCATAGGTTTCTTCTCTTCCAAAGAGGGCACTGGGGGCTTTCTAACAGCAATAGGTGTTGAGGGCAACTCTTTGCTGTTTATCAGAGTCTTGCATTGCACAGCTGGGCTGCTTGGATCCATGGTCTTATTAGGAGGAGTGCCATCCACTGGTTTTGGAACTGGGGAGATAACACTGGAAGACTGGCCCTTTTTCATTTTTTTCTCAGCTGTGCTGGGGGTCCCGGCACTTACAGCTGGCTTCTCTTTCAGGGGTATTCCAAGCTCATCTTCTTCAAAAGTCACAAAAGAACAATATCCATCCGTAGAAGAAATAGCAAGAAAGGATCCATCACTAGACCTGGTGTTTGTTTATGGAATTAAAAAGAAGTTTAAGTGCCTCAGTTGCATTTCAGTAATGGAAATATGAACATAAAGCATGTTTGGAGTGTAAATGACTTACATTTGACTTTGTGGAAATAACTTCTTCAGAGGCCCTACTCTGGCTGCCCCCACCAACAACATGGGATGGGCAACCAACAGAGCCTTTTGGGAAGTGGTACCCCTGTTATGGAACAGCCTTACAGTGGGGGTTTGCCCAGCACCCTCTTTGAGGCCTTTTCAGGGACAGATGAAGACTTTCAAATTGAGAACCACTGTCCTAAGTCTTATGGTCCACTCCTTAGTTTTGAGACTTGCATTTTAATTGTTTTTTGGTTTCAGTTGTTTTATTTTTATCTTGATTATTTTGCATGGTATTTTAAATGTTGTATTTGTTTTGTGAACTGCCTAGAGAACTTATGATATGGATTAGCCATATAAATCTGGTAGATAAAAGAAAAACAAGTATGTGAATATAAATGCAGTGTGTGAGCTGGAGCCAGAGTTCACCAATCTCAGCCATGGCAATTTTGGTTATGACAATGAGACATTTTGGAGCTTCGGGTAATCACAGAGGTTATTGTCGCCAAGGCCCATGCCATAAATGACAAATCCCCAAATGCTACAAGCAGTCTGAAGTCCTGGGTTTGTATGAAAGGAAACAATTACCTATATGGAAAGGAAACAATTTCCTGTTGTTAAAGTTTAGATGGGCCATGCTACTGCTGAACAAAGGAACAGTTTTTGGAACAGTGCCGAAAGTTATTTTAGTCACCATGCCCAGGATGATGAGAAATAGAAGGCTTGCACTAACATTTAAAATCAAGTTCACCATAGTTCCATAACGACATGACTTACTATACACAGGAAAGTTCAGATGTGTGAAAAAGTAATACTTTCTGTTTTACAGTAACATTCTGCCTTACTAAAGTTAAATCAATGCTCTGACAAGACTCCATATTTGTTGCTCCTCTGGAACAAAAATATTTACAAGGTGCTTGGTGGTGCTGAGAATGCAAGCTAAGGTTAAAGAATCTTTACTATGTGGTCTTGGTCAGTATATCAAAAATATTCAAGCCAGTTGTGACAAGCAATCACAAGTGTCCTGCTTGCTCTGAAGGAAGGCAGAAGGCCAGGGACTGCAGGCCAGGAAGCACATATGCCATCAACTCCCAGTTTGCATCAATGGACTCTTCAGTCTTCATTTTTTGTGTGTTTTAGTTTTTAAATTGTATATTGCCTTGGGTGTCTTGGCAGAAAGCCAGCATATAAATCCAATAAACAAACAAATTACCTACCACGAAATGTCACTAATAGTATGGTAATGTATATTAGATACATAACCAAAAGGAAAGGATTGCTCTGTGTCATAGAAGAGCACAGAATCTTCTGAAGCAACAGCAAAAACCATCCGATAGGGTAGATTTATCAGACCAGTCTTCTTCGAAGCGTCTTCTAAAATGTGAAGAGAGTTTCAAATTAAATACCATTTGCCATTTTAGACCCTCAGCTTTCCACAACCATATCCTCTCCTGCAATTTAGGATGATGAAAGACATGGGTAGGCAAACTAAGGCCTGGGGGCAGGATCTGGCCCAATCGCCTTCTAAATCCGGCCCGCGGACAGTCCGGGAATCAGTGTGTTTTTACATGAGTAGAATGTGTCCTTTTATTTAAAATGCATCTCTGGGTTATTTGTGGGGCCTGCCTGGTGTATTTACATGAGCAGAATGTGTGCTTTTATTTAAAATGGATCTCTGGGTTATTTGTGGGGCATAGGAATTCGCTCACCCCCCCCCCAAATATAGTCTGGCCCCCCACAAGGTCTGAGGGACAGTGGACTGGCCCCCTGATGAAAAAGTTTGCTGACCCCTGATGAAAGACATCGAGGACCTCTCTCTTGAATTCTACTGTAGAAATGGAAAATGAGAATGCTTTTTAACAATGCGTTCCACACATATGTAAGAATATGTACAACACATTCCCAAATGAATGATAAAATACACATTTAAAGGATGCATGCAGTTAATGTTCCTTGCACTTTCAGAATGGAGCACATGGCTTGGGAGAAAAGATCTGGCCCCTAGCTGCTCTTATGCATACTTTTGGAAAAGTAATTGTTCAACATTTTCCCTCTCATTTTCTGAAAGTTGAAACAACTGCTAGAAGTGAATAACTTTTCTAACTCTTAAGGTTTTATTTGCAACCAAGGCACTGTTAAGAAAACATTATGTTGCAGTGATATGGAAAGGATGCAAAGGTTCTATCCTCGTGCAATTCAGTTTGAGGAACCTGGTATATTTTATTAGGACATTCACCTGTTAACAAATATTAAAATGTTATTATCCTGTACAAAAATATTCTAACAGCATGTAAAAAATAAATTGAATCCTTACAAGAATAAGCAAACAGCATTTGTGATGCAATGCAACCCCAAATAACCATTAGAAAGCTAAGATGTTGAACAGTATACCCTTTAACACAGCCAGATTTAATATACTTCAAAATATCTACACTATATTCTCAAAAGGATTTACAATACCTTTGTTAAGCGCAGACCTGAGCTCAAAGTAGACTGGGCAGCAACGAACGGCTAAGGTTGCCTTTCCAGGACAAGGTAAATGAGCTATAGGCCTAATAAGAAGAGGATTTTTTTTAGGAAATGGCATTTGCCATATGAATTTAAAATATGAATGAATATACATCCAGTAAGACCTTACCTTTTCAGATTTTTTCTGGAAAAAACGTAAGTAGTGTTTGTTACATTTTCTCCTGATTCCACACAGCCTGCTGAGAAAGTTAAAGTAGTGCCATCATGTTAGTTTTGCACATAATCCTTAAGGCTATTACTTAACTAAAAAAGCCCCAGACACTAACATAAACCAAACTTTAGGTTCCCTCCTATTGTTACTAAGCTTTCCAACAACTCACAGTGTGACTTCAACCTATAGGAATGCTGTTAGAGGCTCAGTATTAATGCCAAATGTGTGTTGCATATCATCAACTTGTAAACAATTTGCATTTTTTCTTTGGCTGCAAACGTACATGGTCGGTCTCCCCAAGTTTCTAGAGAGTAAGTACAGTGTACATTTTGCAGTATTCATCTTCTGCTTACAGCCCACATTTCTAATGCAAAATCAGTAACAGGACAGTGCATACTTGCACAAAGACTTGTATGCAAACAATATTAAATATGTGGGATATGTTAGTTAAATGTGGGTTACTAATGAGGCTGATTTCAGAGTGTTATTTGTATTGGCATCATCAAGGGGGTACGGCCTAATTTTGGACATGGTACTCTCATTACAATACTGCAAAATTAGGAATGCCTCAAGTCAAATGAAACTGTCATCTTATAGAGGGCAATCTTGCAAAAATATTCAAAAAAATACAAGCAGCTTGTTTCGAAATGTTAGAAATGGTGCATAAGGTGGAAAAAGTAATGCAAATGATGAAAGCTGCAATGAGATTTGCTTCTGAACAAATAGTCACTTTCATTTTATACTAGATTTCTGTAAACATTAAACTCAAGTGTTTCATAACAAAGGCATAATAAATACAAATACACCACTACCTATAGCATTGTCCTATCAAAGATAATTGATATCAGCTTCATAACAGATACATAATAAAAAGCAGCTCAATATCAAAATAGCTCTATTACTCTTTTCCTATTGGTAAGACACATCAATTAGGGCAAGCACCCCCAAACTCGGCCCCCCAGCTGTTTTTGGACCACAACTCTCATCATCCCTAGCTAACAGGACCAGTGCTCAGGGATGGTGGGAATTGTAGTCCCAAAACAGCTGGAGGGCCGAGTTTGCCTGATTTAGGAGGGATGCCTGATTTAGGAGGAAGAAAAGGCAGAACGAGCCATTTGCTCAGTCTCAGGTTTTGAACTGAAAAAAGTTCTCTCTTCTGGTATGGCAGTCAAAACAGCACCAAACATGCTTAGCATCAGGCTGCAAGGGCAGTAACTTACAGTGTAATTCTGTCTATGTCTGCTTGGAAGTAAGTCCCATTAAGTTTAACTGGGCTTACTCCAAGGTAAGTGGGTATAGAATCACAGTGTTAATTTGGTGATCGACTCTGTGAGGGAATGAATGCAAGCAACGTGGATGCAGATATATTTTGCTAGAAAAGCTTTAATGAGAAATACTACTGAGATTTGATCTCCTTGGCTCACTTAAAATAAAAAAGACTAGCTTTTTGCACCAATGATTTAATTTAAAGTGTTTTGGTTTTACATGTACAACGGAAAGACAAAAAAAAAACAATCAAAAAACAAACAAACCAATGTCAGAAGGGTAATTATATTGGTTTTCCCAACATGATTCAAATGGGATAGGATTTCCAGTCTGGCAAGCGGTGAATGGAGACTTAAACAGTACGGGAATGTGGCAATGGTACAAACATATGACAGATTGTAATATGGATACATGAAGAAAGAAGGGGAAACATGCAGCTGCACATACTGAATTACTTTTCCTTTAGTTCATTCCTAGTGTTTTCAAGGCAGAAATATTTTATTGGGTTGAAAAGCTTGCCACCATTTTTGGTTTATTATTTTTATAGGGGGCATTCGATTTAAATCCATTGATTTCAACTGATCTATTCCAAGTGTAACTAATGCTGGCCATCATCTTTATTTATTATTATTTTATTTATACCGTAATGGAAATATTACAAAATTCCTGGAGGAGAGAGAAGGCACGTGTTTGGTAATAAATTCTAATACACACGAGCGGTTTTTCTCCAAATGCTGAAAACACCACACGCCATTCTTTGCTGCAGGGCTGGGTGAAGGAAATGAAATATCTGCACTTACCAGGAACAAGGAGCAGAGAGCCATCAGGTGTAAAAGTAAGCCTCCGAAAGAATGACTTCATGCTGTCATCATGAAACATTCGATAGCTTTTTACCTGAAGAATTTGACAACAATTAAACTTGACAACAGCTACTTACTCCCAGTTACTGTACAACTAAGAGCATGCATCCACTCTGTGTCCTTTTAATGGAAAGGCTAGAGCACTCTACAGCTAAGGAGTGTCTCCCTGTTTCCTTTAGATACAGTGGCACCTCAGGTTAAGAACTTAATTCATTCCGGAGGTCCGTTCTTAACCTGAAACTGTTCTTAACCTGAAGCACCACTTTAGCTAATGGGGCCTTCTGCTGCCGCCGTGCTGCCGGAGCACGATTTCTGTTCTCATCCTGAAGCAAAGTTCTTAACCTGAAGCACTATTTCTGGGTTAGCGGAGTCTGTAGCCTGAAGCGTATGTAACCTGAAGCATATGTAACCCGAGGTACCACTGTACAGTGGAACCTCAGTTTTTGAATGTCTCGGCTGCCAAACATTTCAGCAGCCAAACACCGAAAACCCGAAAGTGAATACTTCTGTTTTCGAATGTGCCTCGGAAGTTGAACAGCTTCCAAGGTGCGTTTCTCATTTTTCTCAATGGAATTTGCCAATAGGCCTCTGATCCTTGGTTTTCGAACGTTTCAGAAGTCGAACGGTTTTCCGGAACAGATTACGTTAGAAAACCAAGGTTCCACTGTACATCCATTCAGTTCTTATAGATGTATCCAACAGTCACACTGAAGCACTTCACAGAGTTCAAGGGATTGTGATTCTAGAAATACTCCCATGTGCCTTGGAACTATAATGGTGAAAATGAAGTCCACTTTATTTGCATAGCCATAGAAAACTAACTAGGCCTTACATTTACGTAATCCTGATCTATCCTGATTCATTTATTAGTAAACGCTGCTTCACACATTGCAGTTTTCCAACATGAAGCTATCCTTGTGTAGAAAGCGGTTTACCACAATGTGAGAAGTGTTGGTGCAAAAGGCTTTTCATGGTACAAGTACAGTGGTACCTCGGGTTACATACACTTCGGGTTACAGACGCTTCAGGTTACAGACTTCGCTAACCCAGAAATAGTGCTTCAGGTTAAGAACTTTGCTTTAGGATGAGAACAGAAATCGTGCTCTGGCGGCACGGCAGCAGCAGGAGGCCCCATTAGCTAAAGTGGTGCTTCAGGTTAAGAACAGTTTCAGGTTAAGAACGGACCTCCGGAACAAATCAAGTACTTAACCTGAGGTACCACTGTATATTGATATTCTCTCTCTCTTTAGGTTTGAAGCAACCCTGAATGAAAGATGTACCATAGATTTTCCTTCATTAAGAAATACCTGTCCTGCACCTTCCTTTGAGTAATGCTTTGGGGCGGGGAGGAATGAGGGAGCAATAGTTGGATGGGTCAGAATAAGAAAGGAAGTGCAACAGAAATAGTTCATATCTGCAGCATGCAAAGAGGAATAGGATCAATGTTTGCCTTCTCACTTCCTCTCCCTTTCCAGTTTGCAGGGGGAGAGAAGGTTGAAGAAAACAGAATGAAGCACAGACAGACAGAATTTACCCTGTTGCTCTGGTATTTGTATTTCCAGTGATAAGATAATGTTTATACCAATAACTTCTTTACAGGTTGTAAACCACTTTGAGGTTTTCTGCAATCAAGTGGCATATAAATTTTAGGAAGTAATAAAATAAAAATAAATAATAACTTCTTTAGACGTGTAACCAGAGAGAAGATTCCCTCAACCCACCAAGAATTATGTTTTGAAACATCAGTTGTTTAAAAAAACAAAAAATTCTGACCTCTCCTTCAGATCCTCTGCCCGACGGCATTTTGGTAACGTTAAATGCCACTCTCTTAGTCTGCGTATTATATACTCTCAAAACCCTACATAAAAAGGAAAGCTGTTAATTACAAACAAAACACCCACCCTCTTTTATGTTCTGTATGATTAATATATATATATATGTTAAAGGGTAGCGAGAAGAAGACACTATAGCATTGGTCTTATTCTGAACAGTGGAAACAAGGCGATCCTACAGGACTAAGGGAAATAGGCATTTTAAAGCAACCAAATTCATTCCATTCAGGAAAGCTAGCATTTAAATAATGAACTATTCTAAACACCATAGGAAACAAAATATAAAAAGTAAAAGACATCAATGGAAATTTCTCTTCCCCAGCATTAATGACTTACCTATCACAACTAAGAGTTGCAATATACTGTCCTGCAGGGTCCCAGGTTACTCCTTGAACGTAACTTTTGTGTTCATTAAAAATAGAAACCTTTTGCCCTGGAAGTAATATTAACAGTGAATTGCTTTTTAAATGAGATGTCATATGATAACTAATGCAGAAATAATTTGGATCAATCATTCTCTTTGGTGTGGCTTGTACACAATGCTAAACCATTGTTTTACATGGAGGAGCTTCCATGAGCCCAAATGAAGTAGAAACTCAAAATTATGGCTATCTCTGAAATATTGTTTGCTTGGAAAACTGACACATACACAAATCAGAACAGACACTGATCTAATTTTAAAAGACTTTTAATAGGCCGTATTCCTTCCTCATAACAAGGCATTCCACCTACAAATCTGTTTAAACCCCACAGTTTTACAAAAACAGCATTATTTTCTATCCAGTAGACAACTACCATGGTCATTATTTATCAACATGCTTAATCTTTATTGTGCTTATCCTAAAAGCCAACCTTCAAGTAGACAACCCTAAAGTAGTGTGAGACCATAGACCTGTTGAAGGCCACAGAGAATACAATAGCTCTGGATTACCTTAATAATGAATCAAATCATTCTTTTCATACCGGACAGGAATGTTAATAGCAGTTTGCCAAGATTTTCAGAGCATATTTCCCAGGTAAAGGTAAAGGGACCCCTGACCGTTAGGTCCAGTCGTGAATGACTCTGGGGTTGCAGCGCTCATCTTGCTTTACTGGCCAACAGAGCCAGCGTACAGCTTCCGGGTCATGTGGCGAGCATGACTAAACCGCTTCTGGCGAACCAGAGCAGCACACGGAAAAGCAGTTTACCTTCCTGCCGGAGCAGTACCTATTTATCTACTTGCACTTTGAAGTGCTTTCGAACTGCTAGGTTGGCAGGAGCAGGGACTGAGCAACGGGAGCTCACCCCGTCGCGGGAATTCGAACCGCCGACCTTCTGATCGGCAAGCCCTAGGCTCTGTGGTTTAGACCACAGCGCCACCCGCGTCCCAGGTACAGCAGTCTAAAACTCTGGGAAAAACTCGAGAAGAAAGGATAGGTTTACATAAAAGCAAAATCATAGCAATTACCTTTACTGACATCCCACATTATAGCTGTGTTGTCAACTGATGCAGATGCCATGAAGTTTCCATCAGGGGTCCAGCAAATATCATACACATCTTCCAAATGACCTCTGGAATTAAGCACATACACAGAGGGCAACGAAGTTATGGGCAACATACACTCACTTTTCTTTTACCCCCATATTGCATGGAGGGTGACATAAAATGATGCATGTCCCATTTCCCATCTTATCCCAGCATTGCACTTCGCAGCACCAAACTCTGTTCAGGTGGGTCCACCCACCCTCAGTGTGTGAGAGACAGAGGGAGGAGCAGAAGAGCAAGCAGAAGTGAAGAAACAGACACAGAAACTGGTAATCTTAATCTCTATCATCTATCTCTTTCATTCATTCATTCATTTTCCATAAACTTACCAAACAGTTATGAATTAGAAACACAGAAAAGAAAAAAACTATATAAGATACAAGTATGCTGACTCCATGTATTTTTTTATTTTTGGGTTACTTTTTGGAATCTAGAAAGTCCTGAAGATAAACCACAAAGCTATAACTCCTAAAAATTAAAGGTTGCAGCTATAATAAATTATTTTTTTAAAAATGATGTGTGATATCGCCAGCAGCTGCTATTAAAACTGAATAGATCACTCAGTGAAACTTAACCAAAAGCAACAAATCTTACCTTAAAGTTTTAATTACTGTCCAGTTCTCCTTGTTTAGTTGGTTATCATCATCACCATCCTGAAATACTGTTGGCTCTTGCTCTTTGTTATCATTCAACTTCCACAACAAAATCGCAGCATCTGTGAAAATTAATCTCAATGAGAACGTTTTTCACAACTTCATTCTCCCCGTCATTTTATCACGACAGTGCAGTATTATATAGTACACACTAGTAGCCGTGATTAGGCTGCAAACTTATATACCTGGGAGTAAGCTCCAATGAACACAACAGGGCTTACTTCTGAGTAGATATGCTTGGATTTCACTGGACAATATACAAAACATTTGTTTTTGTGTTCATTAATTAATTAATTAATTAATTATCAAATCTTCACCCTACCTGTCCTCCCAAAGAAGCCTAAGGTGGCAAGCATCAAAGTGGTAGAACAAGGTTATTAAATTTTTTAAAATGTATTCAAAACATTTAAAAACATCTGAAAATGTACAAAAGCATAAGGACATTTTTACCCCAAGCAGCAGAGCTAAAAAAAGTTATAGCCAAATATTTTTGTGCTTCTGGACAAGGTGTTTGGTCTAAGATTGGGTAAACTGCCATTTCACATGAGTAAGTCAACTTATTGTTGTTGTTTTTCATTTCAGTGAAATAGTTTTGAGGATTTCAGTGTAATAATCACTGTGTTTCAGCTGCCCAGTCTTCAAAACATTTTACATAACAGATGATTATATTTTTGGAAAAACTATGCACAACATTGTCAAAGAGGTTATAAATAATGTGGACAGTCTAAAATCTGATGAAAGTCATTTAAAAACTGAGCAAGATTTTTTTCGAGCTATACTGGAACAGATCAAAAACATGCAAGAATGTTTAAGAGGAGGTTGTGAATATTACTTTAGTTTATTGGTGTGTGTAGTGTTGTATTGTTGAACGAGGACCTGGGAGAGCAGGGTTCAAACCCCCTTGAGTCAGTCATCGTCTCTTAGCCTAACCTACTTCACAGGGTGGTTGTGAGGATAAAATGGGGAGAGAACTATGAACACCAGCTTGAGCTCCTTGGAAGAAAAGTGGGATACAAATGTAATAAGACTTTTAAAAATTTCAACAATGTAAAGGATATAATTTGTATTACTGTAATATTCATTCTGTCTATATGATTCAGTACATTTGTTCTGTTAATGAAAACAGTATTTTTTTTTTAATGTCTAAGGTTCAGAATATCCACTTATCCATCTAATTTTGTGTTAATAGGTTATCTGAGGTGCTATTGTATGTGGTCTTTTGTAACGGAATATATAGTATTAAATTAGATACATTATATTATTACAAATTACAAAATAATCAATTAAATGGTAAGAGTTCAGTATTGATTTAATACATACCATCTCCACCAGATGCTAGAATCTCACCATTGGGAGCAAAACGCACAACATTCACAGCTTTGGTATGGCGAGCTAAATTGGACAAGAATTCCACAATTGCTTTTCCATCTGGTCCTTTTTCTACTTTCCATATCTAGTTATGAAATATTATAGTCAGAGACAGTAAACAAGCATATCCCAAAACCTCATGAAATTTCATGCGCATGAATTTCACTGATTTTGGGAGACATACATACTCATCATAAAAGAGAGCATAAATGTCAAGATAACTAAAAAGATACTAACTTTTGACAACTCATTTTATAATACAAACAGTCCTCTTTCAAACCCAAACCTCATATATAATGTCCATTGACACATTTATAGTGATCTCATATAATTTAGCTACAATTATTAAACCCAACATACTACAAATAAACTTTATAATATTTATTTTTCATTCATTCATTTTCTATACCACCCTTCATCCAAAGATCACAGGACAGTTTACAATATAAAAACACAAAAATACATACCATAATAACAAACAAAAACAATACTCTCTCTCTCCTCCCCCATTTCAAAGGCCATAGATTGTTTAATTAGCCAATTTAGTTACTCAAAAAGCTTTGTCGGACAGCACAATAAGGATGCAATGGAGGCCGCAAAGTGTGGCTTCCTTGCTGCCTTCATGGCTACTACTTAGGCTCATTGATGAGCCCTCACCATCTCCTCTCCCTCAATTAAAACAAACAACAACAAAACTCCCACACATTTTTTTTTAAAAAATAAAACAGTTAAAACAATTGTAGCATTAGCCCTGTCTCTGCGTTGTAGCCAGGAGATGTAGATCAAGATTTGTTTACAGAAATAAGGAGTTACTCTTGCTGTCTGCCCCCTACAAACATAAATGTTTCTCTGTTGTTACATTTGTACAAATATAGAAGATTTAGCAGTATCCCATAGATTAATGTTTGTGACTCACACGAACAGCAGTGTCCACTCCAGCAGAAGCTAGTCTATTGATTTTCCCATCAGTGCCATGTTGAAAGTCTAAGCTGTACACTGGTTCTTTATTGTGCCATGCAATTTCACAAGTGAATACTTTCATCCTTTTCAAAGCAAACACAGACATTTTGACTTTCACAGCAATGAAACTCAAAAGTGATGCACTGTTCCACGTGATTTTCAGAGGCACCGGAATACAATTTTTCATAGTAGTAATATATTATATTATATTGTTTAATTCAGATGTAAGTTATTGTAGCATGTTGCACAAGATGCATTTAAAAAAATACAGTGATTATAGACATGGATTGTCACTCCTGTTCTTTCCTTCCCATATGTATATATATATTATTAAAGCAGGTGCTTTCCCCATGGAGGCTCACCTGGTGCCTGTTACGTACCTTTAGGTACTAGGCAAAATCATTCCTCTTCACCCAGGCCTTTGACTAATTGAACAAACATTGGCCTTTTAAACTGGAGTGGGTGGGTGGCATTGTTTTTGCTTGTTCCTGTGCTTGTTATGTACCACTGTGTTTTTATATTGTAAACTGCCCTCTGATGCCCTTTGGTATATAAATTTAAATAATAATAATAATAATAGCTGGAAAAGTAAATAAAATGTAGTGGGACAATGAAAATAACTACGGTACTTCCCATGGAGCTTCACTGATGAGCAACAAAAGAGTTATTTGTTTCCAAAGGCATTAAGTTTGTGTGTGTTACTCCTTACTGCTAATGGGTTAAGCATCAAAGCTCCTTCTGTGAGAGTGGAGATTAATAATAAAAATGCCAGCACTTTCCCAATGATGTACTTCAAAGCACATCGCAAACATCATCTGACCTCAATACATTATCAACCTGGAAGGCAGGCAAGTGCATGTCTCATAGACAGTTGCTGAGGGCGGCAGGGCTGGTTGATGACACACAGCCTTGCTAGAACTGCCCTCACCTTCTCATGGCTGGGCTGATTTCAGCCCACTCTCTTAACCTCCACACTAGCACGTCCTGGACCACATAACTCAATGGCATCCACCCCCCCTGCAGTGTAGGCACCCTCCCCTGACCCATAACGCCAGGTGACGTTTATATGCATCACGTGCGCAGACACCTGGACATGCACGTCCGTGTTTATTATATACCGCAGGGAAGGCGGTGAGCATCACTCAAGGGACCTGGAGGACCCTAGTTATAGCCCTACACGCCAAACGCCGTTGCTTCCGTAGAAACTCTCGGCGGGGAGCGGCGGAGGGAGGGAAGCAGATGGTTCCCCCTCGGAAGCAGGAGGAGAGAGGGGCCCCGCTGCCCGTTTCCGTACAGCTTCCACCCAAGAGTCTCCCCTCCCCCTCCTGGCTCTTTCCTCACGTACCTGCAAGAAGGACCAGGAGAGCCACCCCGGACTGCGCGGGCAGAAAGTTTGTCAGAAACTCAAACCCCGGTTCCCGGTTCCCGCGCTCGCGCCTGCGTACTCGAGGCTCCTAAGGTTCTGGAAGGAGGAGCCGGGGGGAAAAAGGCGCCACCTCTGAGGAAAGCGCCGCCCCCGCTTCTCTCTTACGGCTCCTTTCCTTGCTTGCTCCCCGCCCGTTGTTTCTTGTTCCCTTTTGGCAGGGGCTTTGCAGGATTGCAAGAGGGTTTTTGTCCGGGAAAAGCCTCTTTGCTCTCATTTAAAGTGCTCATTTAAATTTAAAGTCTCATTTAAAGTGTGCATGCACACGAAAGCTCATCCCAATAACAAACTTAGTTGGTCTCCAAGGTGCTGCTGGAAGGATTTTTTAAATTTTGTTTCGACTACGGCAGACCAACACGGCTACCTACCTGTAACTTGAAAGTGCTGCTGTGATCGGCAAAAGGGTTCCTTTGAGCGACAGTCGCTCTCTAAAAAGATAGGGCGAAACAAAGGTCGCAAGGCGAGTTAACTATGCGCTGCGTCCCCATGTCAGCTTAAGACACCTAGAAGAGATCCTAAAAGAGATCTTTACCTGTTCAAAGCGAAAGCTGCAATGCTTTTAGACGGGCCAATTGGAACAATATCTATTATTTATTATTGATGCAACCCCCCCAACAGATATTTTATATAGTTTTTACCTCTTGTCTTCAGTTCGTTTTATTTTTATTGCTATGGCTAGTGGCTGAGGCAAATAAAGATTTTTCTGATTGTCTGGCAATGGGCGTGGCCAAGGGTGGAGGGAGTTGCAACTGCCCCCCCAATCAATAAAAATCAACAAGAATACATAGCTAAGGTTCTGCCCCCCCACAAAAATCCTGGCTAAGCCCATGAGTCTGGCCACCGACATTTCAAGGATCTCACAATGCTTATCCCTACCTACTATTAGCCCAAGCACATATATCTGAATGGAATGTCATAGTTCAGACTTTGGTCACTGAATAGGGAGTTTTATTGGGCTGTTCCACATCTCGAGCGCCACTTCCAGATGGCCTGTTCATTGTGCGTGCATCCCAATTTGTTTGCAGGTAGATCGAGACATAAGCTATATACAGAAAACATTCTGATTTGATTACAAGTAGATGGAAGCTGTACGCCGGCTCCCTTGGCCAATAAAGCAAGATGAGCGCCGCAACCCCAGTCGGTCATGACTGGACCTAATGGTCAGGGGTCCCTTTACCTTTAGATAAGTCAAAACTGATGTTATGCCACCTCTCACTGCATCTCCCTGTCACTATACTTCTTGCTAGGGGTGGCAAACCCCATCCCACATAACCAGTCACAAGATGCCCCTCACACACACTATTTGAATGGCAATGGATGACGAAATTGAGGGGATGCTCATCAAATTTGCAGATGACAGGAAACTGGGAGGGTAGCTAATGCCACCGAAGACAGAATCAGGATTCAAAATGACAAGATTGGAGAAATAGGCCGAAACCAACAAAATGAATTTCAGCAGGGACAAATGTAAGGTTCTGCACTTAGGAAGGAAGAACCAGCTGCACAAATATAAGATGGGGGACACCTGGCTTACTAGCAGCACATGGGGAAAGGATCCAGGTGTCTTCTTAGTGGGCCACAAGCATAACATGAGTCAACAGTGTGATGCAGCAGCATAAAAAGCTAATGCTATTCTAGGCTGCATCAACAGAAGTACAGTATAGTGTCCAGATCAAGGGAAGTTATAGTAGCACACTGTTCTTCCTTGCTCAAACTGCACCTGGAGTACTGTGTCCAATTCTGGGTACCCCAATGTAAGAAGGACGTTGACAAGCTGGAATGTGCGCAGATGAGAGCAACCAAGATTATCACAGGTCTGAAAACCAAGCCTTGTGAGGAGCAGTTGAAGGATCTGCATATGATTAACCCGGAGGACACCAAGAGGTGGTTTGTGAGATGGGCGTACATAGAGCACCACTGAGAAGATAGGTTTGCAGTTCCAGAACTGAACTAACAAGTCCTTTGGTGCAAAAATCCACTTCTGATTCTCCCCTCCAATTATTTTTGTTTCCTTGACCAGCTTAATTGAGAAGCTATTTCATTAATATATGGAAAAGCTTGCTGATCAACTGCAAATCACCCAGAGATGTACCAGTAAATCTCATTCTATCATCTAGCAGCCCTGATGTAATGGATGGGGAGGCATAGGAAGTTAACTTGTAATGACAGCTCCTTATTATTTCTCTCTGGTGGGGCAGTTTTCAACTTGTCAAGAACTGTAACCCTTCCCCACCCCAACTTAATAGAGTTTACAGTGAGAAAGATAAGAGACTTCTCCATCTGTCCAAAGCCCACTGTTAGACTTGCCTCTATTGTAGTCTAAGCAATAGCCAACTCCCATTCCCCAAACCAAGATTACCCTCAACAATAGATCAGTTGGTAGAGCATGAGACTCCTAATCTCAGGGTTGTGGGTTTGAGCCCCATTTTTGGGCAGATTCCTGAATTGCAGGGGGTTGGACTAGATGACCCTTGTAGTCCCTTCCAAGTCTACAATTCTATAATTTAAAATCAAAGGAACTGAGAGTCCTAAAAACCTCTCTTAGGAATCAAAGAAAAGGACATATAATGCGTAAGTATAGTTTTCACACACACACACTTTTAAATCAGATGCATATATCAGAAAGGAATTGGATGTGAATTTGACATCAGTCCAAACACCCAGGTTTCCACATGTAGTTCGGCTAGAAGGCTAAAATTCATGTGAATTGAACTGCTCCACATGCCTAAGAGAACATGACTTCCTCAGGACTAGCCCTACAAACTATAGACAGAATGCTGTTGAAATATCAACTGAGTTTCATCATTAAGTTCTTGACAGGGTGCGAGGGTCTGCTATCCCATGAGGTAAAGCCACAAGTCCTGACATTTAAACACAAATTACTGGATTGCACCTCAAGTTAACTTGCTGGATTATGGAGATAAGTATTTAGTTTGCTAAGATGAGAAACAAGTACACAATTTAAAGTACTTATGTGGGAGTAAGGCCCAATGAATTTAGTAGGACTTACCAACGAGTAGGCATGATTAGGACTGTGCTGTAAATGTTCATAATTAGAAGGAAACAAGGCAGGTTTTGTTTTAATAGGGAACAATTTACCCGGATACAGAATTCTTCTTGTCACTCAGAACACCATTATGTGCCCCCCCCCCACATTTAGTCCAAAATATACATCTTTTGATTAACTTCATGGAAATAAAAAATTATTTACATTTATTCACTTTTCTTCAAAGTATTAATGTACAGTATAAATTTAAATAATATTCATAGAGTCACATTTTTTTAACCCAGACTGTACAATACATTCAGAGAATAATGAAAAACAAATACATAATTAAAGAAAAAAGTATGTAAAAATTGCTCCTTAGAACCATGTGGCCATATTTTGAAAAACTGTTATCTTTTAATTAAACAAAACAGTATAATTTGAAAGAATTTGTTTGCAATACCCTTAACTAGCATATACACTATAAGGTTGAAATATCAATAACCACTCATTGGAAAAATGTTGCTTTCAAGAAAATGAAAAAGGTACATAATATCTATGGTAATTTTTGACAACTTTATCAAAATTAAGAACATGAGTTGATATTTGTTTTAGAAACATACTGTGACATAACAATTGTTTTACAATACTTTTAATCAGCTTATAATACATAATCATGTATCAAAGTTTAGAAATACTCACAGGCCTCTATAAAATACTAATAATTTGGGGGGAAATGCTACTTGCCAGTAGCTTACCTTCTGGGGCTAATAGCTGTTGCAGGGGAAGGGTGATTTTTGTCACAAACCACAGTATGGAAGGAAAATGTTACCCTCACCCCCATCCCAGAAGCTGCAGTTCCAATAAAAAGCAGCCCCCTTTGCAGCAGAAGCCTAAAAGGAAACCGTACCAGTTTTCATGTGTAGTATGGCACTAAAATGAACAGTCTTTACAGGCTGGAAACGTGACAATAAGGTATGTTGAGACTGCAGGGGAAACAAAATTAAGTAGTGCTTTCACGCAATTGCTCCAGAACTTGCCCTAGAATTTCATCGACTATGCCAATGTCAGGATTGATTTGATGCACATTAAGTTCAGGCATTATTGTTCCTAGTAACTGTCCCACGTTAACTCGCAGGGATCGCAGCTTCATGCTAAGAAAGAGAAGATTGAGAACATCAGTTAAAATTACAGGTATGGTGAAGATAAGTTCAGTACTTTAAATCAGAGGTCAGCAAACTTTTTCAGCAGGGGGCCAGTTCACTGTCCCTCAGACCTTGTGGGGGACCGGACTATATATATTTTTTGGGGAGGGGAATGAACAAATTCCTATGCCCCACAAATAACCCAGAGATGCATTTTAAATAAAAGGACACATTCTACTCATGTAAAAACACACTGATTCCCAGACCGTCAGCGGGCTGCATTTAGAAGGTGACTGGGCTGGATCCGGACCCCAGGCCTTAGTTTGCCTACCAATGCTTTAAATCATCATTTGCTCAACTGTTCATTCATTCCTTTCCCATTTCTATCGCTATTTTATAGTCTGTTACAAATTTGACATACATTGTTTTAAAGAATACATTAAACGACACTTTAAACCAATTAAACTGAAATGTTACATAGAATAGAGATGTTATATTGAAGCTCACCTTGTCTATTAATTTTGTTTATTTAACATAGAAAACATCTGAAAATAAGTTTCACCAGAAATGGTAAACAGTGTTTATGTAAAACTGTTTTTGGTATTGTATAGATCCTTTTCCTACATACTTGCTACAGCTACAAACAACAAGAAAAGGTTCGTATGATTACACCAGCAATCACATGCTACACTAGGACATTCATTCATTCAAAAGTAGGATTAATATCATGCTTCACCATCGAAACCTTTAAGTGGTTTACATGGCATGTAGTATTTGGGTGGAATGAATTAGGTTATTTAGATCAGTGGTTTGGATGGTGTAACACGATAAAGTGGTACCTTGGTTTGCAACCGTTTTGGATTACAACCATTTTGGATTACAACCACATCAAACTCTGAAGTGTGTCCCTTTTTTTTGGATCACAACCCATTTTTGGGGATTACAACCCATATTTTTTTTGAGGCCCCATTGGCGAAAGCGCGCTTTGGGTTACAACCTGCTTTGGTTTACAACTGGACCTCAGGAACGGATTATGGCTGTAAACCAAGGTATCACTGTATAAACAGCATTATGGAGAAGCCTGAGTTTCCTTAGAACAGGGATAGCCAATGCACATCCCTGCCCCAAATGTTCTCATCATCTTTGACCACTGGCCATGGTGGCTGTGGCTGATGGGAGTCCAGCAACATCTGGATGGCACCACATGGGCCAGTCCTGTCTAAAAGATTGCCATCAGTTCCTCAAAGAGAAGAAAAATAAAAGAGCTTCCTCACAATTATCTTATTCCTCAGCATTGCACAGCAACATGAGAATGTTGGGTGTGTTCTAGGTTGCAGTCTTCACTGACATGGCAAGGTGGGTGACGAGACCCAAAACCTGGTAAATGCCCTGCTTGAACTGAGTGTGTGCTTCATGCTTAGGAATTCTCTGCAATATGGATTCTTGGTAGACATTCATGTGCAAAGGTTTCCTGAAGGTAGGTTTGAAAATAGATGAAAGTGTAAGTTTAGAGCCTTTCCATGCTTTTTCATGCACAAATCGGGCTTCTTAGTAGGAATATATACCTTTCTCCATTAGTTTTTAACTCTGCAAGTTCTGCTTTCAGCTGCTCACATTGAACGCCCAGCTGAGTTTTTTCCATTTCCAGTAGTTCAATCTGAAAGTAAATCAAAGCTTTATATACCTGCATTTTTGAAAATGAAAAACAAAAGTGAAATACTTGTTACAGTATACAGTAGTACCTTGGTTCCTGAATGGCTTGGCTGCCGAACAAATCGGCTCCTGAACGCCGCAAACCCGGAAGTGAGTGTTCCGGTTTGCAAATGTTTTTCAGAAGCCTGATATGTCTGATTTACTTACAATATTTTGGTTTGCACAAATCTGAACTAAACACTATTTTTCTATAATAGGTCTTCTCTTTCCACCAAATCTGGCTACCTCAAGTCAAAGGATGTTCTCACTGGCTGATTTCTCAGTTCCAAAGAACTTTTGTTTTTATTTAAGTCTCACTGATTTCAAAGGCACTTGAATTCTGTAGGAAATTCATGCTCTAATTCTGAAAGACCCTTTTATATACATTCCATTAAAATTAAGTTAAGGTAATGGATTAAAGGTTAAGTGTGAGACTGAAACCCAAAACAAGTAAATCTAAATATCAACCCAGCCTTTCTATGTACTGAATTATGAAACTTACCTCATTTTTATATTGGTCTCTTTCCATGCTGCAATTGTCCAGCTGTCTGAAAACATCACCCAGTTGCACAGCCATGTCATCTGCTTCACTTTTATTCTCAATGTTTTTACATTTACTACATTCAGATTTTAAGTTCTGCAGAGTATCACACTGTTGTTTCAGTGTTCTCATCTCTTTCAATGCCTGTTCATACAGAATGAATATCTCTTCTTTACTTTTTTCTTTAACTTTTTTGAGTTCTGCATCTGATATTATACTTTTTGTTTCTGTAGACTGAGGACATATTCCCTTTTGCACATGCTTGCCATTTGTATCCATTATTTTTTGCTTTAACAGTGTTAATTCTTTAACCAATGTATCACATTGCTGTTGATATTTTTCTTTTTCACTGTTGGATGAAAGCAGTTGAAGGCTTAATTCATTTATCTTAATGTCTGCATTCACAATATCAGCCTCCGAAATATGAAGATGTTCTGTAAGTGTTATTTCATGTTCTGATCTGGACAGCTGATTATCTGCATTGCCCTCAGTTTCTTCCTTTTTTACTACAAGTTCCTCTGTTTCAGTTTGTGTTGCTGCAGTTCCTTTTGAACCATTTGTTTCTGAACAAGCATCTCTGTTCATAGAAATTTCTCCCTCAATATTACTGAAATCAACATCAGCCCCACCTTCAACTTTTACTATTGTGATGTCACATTCCAGAGCGTCAGGTTTTGGAGTACTGTTCTCTTCCAAAATGATAACATCATCATCATCTTGCTTCTTTTTCTCAAATGCTTGGCTAGTCACTTTTGTGATCTTAAAAGGTAGTGGTGCATCAGCATTAGAAAGTTTTCGTTTATGGCTAAAGAAACAAAAGCAAAGTAACAGAAATCATATTAGCAGTTTTTTCCTTTAAAGGCTAAGCTCCAGAAAATGTTAATTTAAAAAAACAGCACAAGCAAATGGGGAAAGTAGGTGGAAATATTCTTGCATTTTATTTACTGACCTATTTACAGGATCAGAATGAGGAGATGATACTGATGTGCTGTTTGATTTGTTTTGAGGTCTCGTAAGCGACACGTTTGAAGCTTCTGCATGAAACATTGGAATAGTTTCACTCAATAATGGAGGTGCACTGGACAAGGCAGCCGTTGTTTGTAAATACATTTCATTATAAATCTGTAGAAACAGCATTATGTCATTACAATTAGAGAAGAAAGCATCATTCACTTCCATCACTGCGACTTTTTCCTTGAACTCTCTGCAGTCACCACAAAATGACAACATATATGGCTGGATGGGCTGTGGGAAAAGTCTTGGCAGCTCAGTTACAGGTTTTAGCCATATCGCTCTACCTTGAAATTTGACTACTGAGTAAATTAGATTGAACCAGAATATGTAAACAGTCATCAAATATACTTATGCACAGAAACAGGAAGATTCAGGACACATAAAAGGAAGTGCAGTGGTACCTCGGGTTACATACGCTTCAGGTTACATACGCTTCAGGTTACAGACTCCACTAACCCAGAAATAGTACCTCGGGTTAAGTACTTTGCTTCAGGGTGAGAACAGAAATCATGCTCCGGCGGCACGGCAGCAGGAGGAGGCCCCATTAGCTAAAGTGGTGCTTCAGGTTAAGAACAGTTTCAGGTTAGGAATGGACCTCCAGAACGAATTAAGTACTTAACCCGAGGTACCACTGTACTTTTTTTTTTACACGCAGCACATAGTTAAACTACAAAACTCTCTCCCACAGAAGGCAGTGCTGGCCACCAATCTAGATGGTATTGATCGCAATCAATCATCTTCCACTGCTGTAACCTCTTTCCATGGTTCAAGTGTTACGATTATTCAGCATCCTCAAAGCGGAGAAGATATGGAGATTGATGACAGCAGCATTTGTACCCAGCAGTGGAGCCAGGAAATAGTGAACTGCCTCCTCAACTTTTACACTACTCTTTCTGCAATTGGTAAAGTGGCAAGTGACCCACCTTTGCCAACTGTCAATCCATGGTACACTGATCATAATCCTGCCTTCACCCCTAGGAAAGTTTATATCCTTGGCTAAATTCTGACCTGGAAAGGATGTATATTCAAGACACACAAAAATGGAGGAAGAAGCTAAAGTATCCTTTGCTGCTTTCCATGCAAAAAATGAACCTGGTACAGTATAGGAAAACTTGCATGTAATTTAGCATTGCTTCCACAAACAAAGAAATAAACATGTCAAGATAATCAGTCACCTACCTGCTGGCTAAGCTCTATCCTTTTCTTTAATTTCTCCCTGTCTCTGCATTGAGAAGAAAAAGTATCATGGTTTATGCTCAGTATATATATATGCTATCTAATATTAAGTTGTTGTTTAACATGACCTTTTGCGTCAATAACTTATGTTATAGCCCTCCTGTATTGGGTTAGTGTGTCTTGCTGTTGGTGGTTTGAGCCCATCAAGGGACAGCTGTGGGCAGCATCCCTGCATTGTAGGAAGGGAAAGGAGATTGCTAGCCGCTTTGAGACTCCTGAAGGGGAGTGAAAGGCGGGATATCAAATCCAAACTCCTCTTCTTCTTCTTCTGGACTAGATGACCCTCAAGGTCCCTTCCAACTCCACAATTCTATGATTCTATGTAGCTCACTATAACTTCTAATGGTGAGAGCACACAACCATTAGTGAAAAGGGCAAAGTTCACTTTTGTATTGTCAAATGAAGGTATGTTTTGGACTAGTGAATCCTTTTGTGGATTTCTTGACTTAAACAAATAGCAAAAACGTATTCGAAACATAATGGGTTTGCTAGAAGGAAGCATATTACCCATTTAAAACTCTACAGAATAAACTTCCTAGTGCCTGTCTTCAAAATTGTTTGATGGAACACATAAAAAAGCCAACATTTCAACTTCCTGTTTTTATTTAATGCTCACCTTTTCTTAAACTTTTTCTCATATGGAATTAATAAATCATCATCTTCAGGTTCTTCATCCACATTGCAATTTCTAATTTTAAGAAAGGAATATATATATTTTTAATCCAGCTAGTAAATGCAATCTGAGAAAAAATGAATTGCCAAATTTCTCCCTATTTTACCTGAACTGAGGATCAGGGTTGTATGAACAATACCACTTCTCTGGCAATTTATCCATTCCATCTGGAAGCTTCCTCCATTTTAGACATGAATCACACTGAACCCAGGTTTGATCAGGGCGATTCCTGTAACAGAGTGTAAGTGGCATTAAAACTAAGCAAATATAATTTAAACCAAGCACAGATTATGACTAAGTTTTATGTTTTTAGAAAAACTTACTGGGAATCTTCAACCATCTCTTCTTGAGGATAATCCAGTTTCTTTGCTTGCATCTCATTCCAGTAATCATTTAGCTTCTCACCGAGCGCTTGCATTGTACGCCTAATAAGCAAGAAATACAAAGTTGTGTCTCAACAAAACACATTCTGTATAATATGAAACATGCATTGACAGTTGCTACAGAAAGCAAGTACTACTGGGAAAGAACAATGAGCAGAAATATCACTTATGCATTTAAGGAAAACATACTAGAAATGTGCTAACGCGTAATCTATTTATTCCTTCCAAATCGTGAACTCCTAACAAGTTACAGTAGGATTCTGCATTTGGTTCAGATTCCAGACATGTCTACTAATGGTAGAGATAAGGGGAAAGCAGCAAATTGCTTATTTTAAAAATGCTTTGAAATTCCTCCCTTTAGGATATATTTGTGTAAATAATGCTAAAAACAAGAAATGGAGCCAAAGGGTGAGCTATAGGCAAGCTGTGTGATACAATGAGACGGCTCTAGTGCTCCTAACTGCAGAGTGAATGCTACAGAGACAGTGTGCCTGAACAGCACCCTACTATTTCTCTACCCAAGGAGGTAGGGTAGGTAAAGTGGTAATGACACCACTGTTGGGAGAGCAGCTCTGTATGCATGAGCAGAAGGGACTTCCACAAGCCTTAGCCTCGTATGCTTGACACCTCTCACATGGCCAGGAGAACTTAAGTGACAGCAGAGCTTAGTTTGACCATTAACTTATCATTACATATGGACCTGAAACTCTGGTGGTGATTGTTGCTGCTGTTATTATTATTACTACTTATTGTATGAAACCCTTCCCATAAGGCAGGCTTCCTTAAACTCGGCCCTCCAGATGTTCTTGGCCTACAACTCCCATGATCCCCAGCTAGCAGGACCAGTGGTCAGGGATGATGGGAATCGTAGTCTCAAAACATCTGAAGGACTGAGTTTGAGGAAGCCTGCCATAAGGCATCTCAAAGTGATTCCCAATACAGATTGGAAACAAACTCTGGTTTACTGGTTAGTTAACAAGCCAGCTTGTGGCTTGTTTAGAAATGTACTGCTAAGCCATGGTCTAGTATTACATGCAGACTGGAAATTTAGCTATGGCCACCCACTGGGATGGCTTTGAGTTCAGAGCAATTCACAGAACATAAGGCGATCAATTGCTACTAGCCACAATGGTGGTGTTCTATCCCTAGTATCTCAAAGGAAGTAAGCATCTCAATAGCAGTTTCCTGGGAATCACAAGTGCTATTACACCCAGCCCCTGCTTGTGGGCTTCCTACTGGCATCTGTTTGGCTACTGTGAAAAGAGGATCCTGGAATACGTTCTTACCTGTATTCGTTAGTATAATCAAAATCTTGTTTGTTATGGGTTGGCTTTAGGAAGTTGCATTCGATAATCCCAACTACACCTACTCCCATGTTGTTTGCCTGCAAAGGGGTGGTGGTGGGGTGGGGGAAGCATATAGACAAGGAAGATATACCAACGTTTTCACCAAGAACACAAATTTCCAGTATTTTAAACAAATATTTATACAAGTATACAAGTTCCATCACAAAAGATGCCAGAACAGGTATTATTCCAAGTTCAATTGCTTGGATAAAGAACTTCTTGAAGATGAAGTTTATTGTTTTAACTTCTAAGCAAGCCTCTGCTACCCGTTTAGAATTTCTACTTAAAAGTAAATGGGAGGTTGAGAAGCGACTTAGAATTTGGAGCTAGGTATTGGGGTAGATTGGTTTCAGACTTATTAGTCAAAGTTGGGAATGGCAACATTCAACATGAAGCAGTTAATCAGAACACAGTGGATACACATACAGTTCTGTCAGTTTAAGCATCACAGTGCTTTCAGTGACAGTAGTTCTTTTTGGGGGGGCTGTTAGGTTGTTCTTGTTTTTACTTTGATTATGTATTTTGCATTTTTATATTGTAATTTTATTCTGTGAACCGCCCTGAGACCTGCAGGTATAGGGCAGTATATCAATTCAATAAATAATAACAACAACAGTTTCTTGCGGGGGGGGGGGGAATGGCTGGAAAGAAAAATGTGCAGTAAAGAAGGATGAAATGTTAATGAAATGACTGCACAAAAGAATTCTCAGCCTTGTGTTTTAGATGTCAAAAACAGCCCTTGGCTGCCCCCAGAATGCAAGACTTTACTAAATGAGCTGCTGCGATGTCATTGAATGTTTACAACTTGCTTCTCAGAGAATGACAAGGATTTTCAAAAATTTGCAGGAAACCGTTTTGATTAAAAGACAGATTTTTGTTGGTGTAGAAACCATTTTTTATAATGTTTTAAATATCGAGGAGGGATTTCTCTATTTTTTTTAAAAAACCAGTAATTTAAAGAACAGCTATCTTAAAATTAATCTGACTATAAGCATGTTAAACCTACATGTTAAACCTACATGCAGATGTAAACAAAACTCCTGAAACAATGGCTCTATGTCGAACACACTGAGTTAAAAGGCTGCCCCTTTTTGCAGTTTGCAAAAAATTGGGGGCAGTTAGCTACTTTGTGTTTCTTGGATGGGGGTGAGATTGGGGCAAGGCAAGAATTAGGCAGTACAGTAGAAAGAAAGGAGTAGAAGTGAAACAGAACATGGAGTAGAGTAATCACTCTGTTTAGTCATAAATTTAAATATTTTAATGTATAGATTGAGCAGATCAATTTCTATGCATCCTTGTTTAGTAAATACGTTAACATACCAATGGATAATTTAAAATGCTGATTTAAGTGGCAGTGCTTTAAATTCAGTCCACCGCGCATTGAAAATACACAAAAATGGAATTTTACATCAACAAGACTAACTATAACAAGTTTCAATTAAAGTGTGGAAAGATGAACTATTGCTATATGAACTTCTCTCACCTTTTGCTGGTAGCCTACTCTTTCATAAGCCTTTATTAGTCTGTTTCTGTGGTACATCATCATTCCATAGTGATCTTTATTTCGACAGTTGAATCCAAAAGTAATTCTTACAGTTTTGGGCTTATTTGTGTAAGTTAGGGAAAATATCAAAATATGGTTCTCTTCATACTGAATATTCATTCTAAACAGAGCTGTCTAAAAAGATAATTCCACTAGCCCCCAAGAATGTGAAAGAGTATTAACCATTAATACAAGTTACAGTACAAAATATAATAATCATTTTGTATATGTAAAATAAATATATTGTATTTGAAAATAGATAGGTTTTTCTCTGAAAAAAACTCCATGATTACACCGGAGAAAACTCAGAACTTTCAAATTAAACTACAAATTAAAGGAAAGTTAGTTAGATAAAGCCTTTAATAAAGGTAATTATAATTTGTGAAGAAATATCTTAACAACTTTTTTCCCCTGTTTTATGAACAGTAGCAATTTCTGATGTTGTATTGATTATCTTACAAAATGGATCCAAAGCCAGCGAGTTTAGCCAAACGGAGTAAAACGAAATTTAGGAATAAAAAACTATGCTTGCATAACACCGCTCCAATCCTAAAGTTGGTGACAAACCTAAGACCAATTTATTTCATTTAAAACTTAATATTCTATCCTATGGATCAGTTGCTTGTATTCTTCAATACAGTTCTGGAACAACTGAGCTTACTTCTGTATGCATATTGATATTAAAATAAAAAGGGATGATTATAATTTTGTTCACTGACTAGCAAACTTTCACATTCTAACCAGTGACCATAACCATTTTTTTTAAAAAAAGAACTGCAACTATTTAGCAACTGCTTTCCTTTGCTGGCTGCCACTAACATAGGACTCTTGGTCACTCAAATTCCACCAGTCCTACTACTTTTGTTGATGGACTCGCCTCTAGCCTTTCCAGTTCTGTGCCCCATTTTATGGGTTAGTTGGACATTATCCTTGTTTGTTTTTACTACATATCACCTTGGGACAACTATATAGAAGGCACTACTAGAGCTGAGTGGTAATCCTTTGCTTTTTGAATACCCCCCCCCCAATTCATGTTATTAGGCTGTATACCATAGCCTCTGCCAAAGCAACGAGAGTGATGAGGTGATACACTACTATTGGGTCTTTCTAAAGAAGAGAGATATGCATGTACAATGCAGCCCACCACTTTGGATTTTTTTCACCTATGAAGCAATAGCAGGTAAGCCTAAATGGGAATGTTTCTGCAACATATCACAAATTACGACAAAGCTTCCTGCTTAAAATCATGCTTAAAATCTGAGCTGATAGTGGAACCAAGTGGGAAGAGAAGTGAAGAGAAGAGTCAAAGGTTTCACGTGTACTTGGCCAGCCATTCTTGGTCAGTCTGCAGCAGCCCACAGTCATAAAGGATACAGCCAGAAACTTTGGCCTGTAAACATCTCGCTCTATGTGAGCAAGGCTTTTGGAGACTAGCTGCGTTTGTACTTTCTGTCCTCTTATAATTATTTGCATCCTTGGTTTTAAATATAAGATACTGCAGTAAGCCTGAAAAGGAAAGGAAAGTACATGGTTAATTTTTCATACATTTTGCAAGCTAAAAGAAAACAAGTAACAAGTTTTCAGCATACAGCTTGTAAAATATGTAAATTGGAGTTCTATCCAAATTTTGCAAATTTAAGTCAAATGATATTAAGCAAGCAATCAGAACTCACATGGCACTTTAAACATGTGTCCAGATTATACATAGTGTTAAGCACTGGATTCTGCATGTGTGGGACAGAACAGCGAGACACCGGCAGATACAGTGATTAGTAAGGTGTCTGCTGATTGTTAAAGAGAAAATTATTCAGTCCCCCTTCTGCAAAACCACCAGCATCAGAGAGAGTCCATCACAGTACACTGGTAGACTATTTCAGCCAGGAAGAATGCCCATTTGCACAGTGCAATTTCATTTCATCATCTTTGGCTATAAGTCTTATAACTTAGTGAAATGGAATAAATGAACTTTTAATATAAGCATATTTTAACAGTGTTTTTTTTAGGGTTCAATGAGAAAAGAACAGCTGTGATGATTCTGGATATAATACCACGTATAGACATAGGAGAATAACATTACAACCAATAGGAAAAAAATGAATAGTAAGCATTACCCGTAATGAATAATCACTTTCAGGAACAATCTGATCTTGTCTCTCTTGTTTTTTATATCCTCTTTTCCCTGTTAGTTCATCTAAATCTGCAGGAATCCTAATATCGTATTTATCTGTATCGAAATCAAATTCTGTTTGTTCGTTTTTCTCTCTGTGGAAGGACATTTAAAGAAACTTGAATTTAAACAATACTATATATAAATACAAGAATAGCAGTCCTCAGTAATCAGCACCATTTAAAGTATTATTAAACATTTCTCTGAAGTCGTAGCCTAACAACTTCTGGAGTGTTGGGTTGAAATAAACGACAGACGAATGGCAAGGTGTCATATGGGAGGCATCTCCCGAGCAAGTCTCGGAGAGTCCCTTTTATTGAATCTTACAGCATTTGCCACATACGTGCTTATTGCTGATTGGTTAACACAAGTACAAAGCAAAGTTTACATTAATCACCAATAGATTAAGGTTGGGAAAGGGAGCACAGAACTAGACAGGCATGAAACCTCCTAATTAAATTATAACTAGTGATTGATATAGCAAGACTAAAACAATTACTAATGATTGATCATAACATGAAAGGATATAATAATCGCGCGCGTTCCGTAGATGTGGTCAACTATGCATTAAGAACAGGTCAGAGTATAATGTTTTCATGAACTCAATATGAACTGTTCAGAACATTCCCAGACCCATGCGCAGAGGCAAAAACATCCCAGCACTGGAGGGTACATCATTATCTCTCCTTGATTTAGGGTATGCTGCTACATATTAACTACCGGTACATACTTCTAACTAGACAGGGAAATTAAACCAGAGCACCTGGATTCTGTTAGCAATACTATAGCCATCTTAAAAACATAAAATACGTTTCTGTATTTTTGTATTTCTGAAGCCAACTGACGATTCCCAGGTAAGATCCTCCCTCTATTGTGTGGGCAGGTAGTCCCTCCCCCTACCTGGCCTGATCACCTTGGCAGCACTTCCCCAGGCGGGATTGGGCAACTGACTGAGGTAGGCAGAGACCTCCAGGTATCCTACCTGGGGGGAGACAAAGCCAAGCCTGTGCTAATGATGCCGCATAGGGTCCAGGGGCTGCCCGCGACCACGCAAATGACGCCCCCCATTTTGACTCTACAGCGTTTCCTGACGAAAGCAGATCAGGCTAGTCAACTTAGCAGAGAGCCCCATTTGTTGTTTTATATGCCTATTTTATGCCTCTCATACACAACTGAGAACTCTGTCTATTGGGTGTTGATAGAATATTAAGTATCCTGAAATCAATGTGGAACCAAATCTCTGTTAACTTAAGTCTTTGTCCTCTGAAAGGTATGGCCAAAACAGTCAATTGACTTGATGGCAAGGAGAAATAGCATAACCTTTTAGCGCTATATACTTGCATATGCCAAGAATGCTATGGAAGAAACCTGGGTGTTTGTCCTTTAACCATTTGCATTCTGGGATATTCAGTTGCCAGCAATGAAATGGGAGACTATTTAGCATCTTCCAACTATTCCAACTACGTATATATAGTTGGTAAAGCATGCTACCCTTTATCCTTGGCTTCTATTCTGTAGGAATATGGCCCGTTTTTCTTTCACTAAATAGTGTTGAATTTCACTTTGCGAATATTATTTCATTCATTCTGCTTTTTCCTCCTTCATTGTATTGTTGAAATTTTTAATTGTTAAAAATAAATTATTGAATTTGCCTTATGCTTTATATTGCTTGAGGGACACGTCTCATACAATAATATCTTAGGAAACAGGGAAAAGCCTAGTGTTCCTTAGATTTCACCATTGTTAAGATACTCCTTGAAAAGTGGCAATAGCTGGAAATGATCCTAAACGATTTCCCCTTTAGCATGGGAAGAATACATAGCTCTCTGGTCCCATGGTGAATAAAAATATGGAAAGGAAAGCTTTAATTTCTGCTGGTGAAAACAGCATGCACGGTACAGAAGTTGTGCACATTTATCACCAGAGAGAGCCATTTCCCTGCAATCTGGGGGAAATATAATGTAAAAAGTGGCCCTTTCATGGTCTGCAATTATAAAATTTGTTTCAAGCGAACGTATTTTAGATGTTTGAAGTAAAGTTAATTTCCATGTTCACTTTACTACGCTAAAAGCACATGGTGAAACTTCCCCCAAGACTCAGAGGGACCTGTGTCAAGTGGTTCTTGGGAAACATTTTTCATGGGAGTTCATCCCAGATTGCTTGATTCATCCATGATTAACATTAGAATTTGAAGTAAGGTAGATGGGGTGAAGTAAATAAAATGTGTCCTAAAAGAACTATAAACAATATAGCAGTAACATGTAATGCTTTGTTTGCCACAGCTTAATCCTTATCAATTTTGTGCAACCATATCAAATTAGCACACATCAATGCTGCATTACCAACTCAACTATTAACAATGGATTTTCTCTCACCTTCGAAGGTTCCAAATAATTATTCTTGTTCCTTTTTTCCCTATAATGGCATCAAGCTCTGCAAGCAGCTCCTCTTCAGTAGGAAACAGAGAATGTTCCAGGATAGCCTTCAAGCTGGCTGCTGATTTCTCGCGTTTCATTAATTCCCGTATATTATATTAAGGAGTTGGCATATTTAAGAACGGTTAAACCTTGCTCAGATAGCTTATAGCCTTTTCCATCTAAATCTCTCCTGAATGAATAAACTGATGAGCATTTACTGTGCGGCTGCCACTTAAAAGTCCACCCCATAACTATTTTACTGTTTCAATCAAATTAACAGCTGGTCATCTTAAGTCTGTGACCACACGGCAACTTTAACATTACCATGTTCCTGAAGTAGTCTGGAAATCTTGGCTCACCACCAGACCCTCCAGAGGTCCCTAGCTCTACAAGAGACTATATACAACCACAATGAAATATTTAAAACTGTGATCCTATGGTAATCAGTTACGTGTAATTATGTTGTTACAAACCATAATGCATATAATTAAATGGAACACATCTATTGTCAGCTTAGTCTTTTAACCTGCCTTTCATGCTGCACGCTCCTATTTAATATCCAAATCAGGAAAACTGTAGAATACAGTCATACCTCGAGTTACGAAGCTGCAGGCTGTGCGTTTTCGGGTTGTGGACCACGCTGAACCCAGAAGTACCGGAACGGGTTACTTCCAGGTTTCGGCGCTCATGCATGCACAGAAGCATAAAATGACATCACATACATGCACAGAAGTGCAGAATTGCATCACGCGCGTACACAGACACGACGCTGTGGGTTACGAACGTGCCTCCCGCACAGATCACATTCGCAACCCAAGGTATGACTGTACTTATCTAGTTCCAGCCTAGGAAAAAACCCTCATTTTCTGCTGCTGCCATTTAATTCCTTTCAACCTTACAATTTTATGTCATAAATTTATATGCTGCCCTTCAATGTAATTTCCCCCTGGCAGCTTACAAAATAAATAAATAAAGAGACCTGCAACAAAATGTTGCAGCGAGGAGTGCCCTGTTGATTTTACAGCCAGCTATGCTCTCCTTAGCATACTCCATTCCATTCCATCTCCCACAACAGCCATTGAGCAGCTGGTGGAAACTGAGCATGCTAAATCATCATTGGCCTCTCTCTTTTTGGAGGGGTGGGACACTTTTTTCTATAGTGGTACCTTGGTTCTCGAACTTAAACTGTTCCAAGAGTCCTTTCGACTCCCGAAACCATTCGAAAACCAGGGTGCGGCTTCCGATTGGCTGCAGGAGCTTCCTGCACTCAAGCAGAAGCCACGTCGGACATTCGGCTTCTGAAAAACGTTCGCAAACCGGGACACTTACTTCCGGGTTTGTGTCGTTCGGGAGCTGATTTGTTTGGCAACTAAGCCGTTCAGGAACCATGGTTTGACTGCACTTCTGAGTTCTGTTTTATTATATATAAACATGTGCCTTTAGAAGAGGCTGCAGTGATCGTTGGACTGTGACAGGTGTAAATCACTTGACATCATTATGTCAGGTGACCAAGAGGTGGGTGATCAGGCCCACCTGTCAAAGCTGGCATGCAGTGAGTGGTGGTGGATTAGGATAAGGTCCACTAGTTAGATCCAGTTTGCCACCTGTGATATATATGTTTAGAAATAGACCAATAAAATCTTAGAACAAAAAATAAAGCCTAGTAACATAAAACAAGTTAACATTAATCTCTTCAAGAGTTAAAAGTCTGGGAATAGAAATAGCTATTCATCTGGCACCGAAGAGACATTAGCATAGACCCCCCCAAGCCAAGCTTCTGCGGTGAGAGACTTAAATTCTATTGGAATACAGTACTGGTATACAACTACTGCCCAGCATATAAGAAGTAATGCTGGAATAAGAGATCATCTTGAGAAACAGATATCCCAGATACAATCTATCACTTGCGCTTCAAAATCATCGAAAGGATATGTTTCTTGTTGAATGTTATAATGGGAACAACTACATGTTCTGCCTTCGTAACTTCCAAGAAGGTTTGTGACAACATGCCCACGCTCATGATTTCTCCATTCTTGGTGAAAACAATTGCATCTTTCCCAAGGCGCATTGATCCTGATTTAAATCCATTTCCATACAATCCAACTGGAACACGGCCGTTCAATGCAACTTTGTCGCTGAAGCCAAAGCTGAAACACAAGAGTTTGAAAAGATGGAAGAGGGGGAAGTGCTTATCATAGTGCCATGTTGCTTATGAGAGTTGATTTAAATCAGCAGTTTTAACTACCCAAATCTGTAGTGGAGTTAAAATAAACCAGTTGCTGTTCCTAGAAAGTATTCTTCTTTCAGCTTGAAACATAATGTAACACTTTATTCCTGGCTAATCCATATTTTGAGAAATACATTGTGATAATCATGCCGCAGAAAAAAATGGTATCTGCTAGTGCACTTTACTTGTGATGTAGACAATCTACCAGATTGTATGGGGTGTTAGGTGGGGGACACACTGTGCTCTTTCTAGGGTAGTTTGCTCACCTTTGGGCCCCCACCCTGCTTTTGGCTCTCACCTGTGGCTCCTACAAGTTGTCAGCATGTGAAAGCGACCACACCCTGGTAACAGCTTTGACTAGCCAGTTAAACCAGGTGATGGTAGCCAATGGGTCTCAAACCTTTGTTGAGTTATAGCTCCAGCAGATTGAGGAAACAGACCAACACAGATAGTCAGCAGCACATATACATGGCATTTCTACTTACACAAAGGGCACCCTGGATGAAGGCCACTGCATTTGCACCTGTCTCATTGTAAAATACACTTTAGACCATGCAAAAGTGCCGGTATTAGTTTTTTATGGGGACATAATCACATAATTGTGAATCATTTATGTTGTCTAAACTGAAGTACAGTTAATATTTTTCCACAACAATAAATTTGGCGTCCTAAAAATCCAACTTTCTTACATTATACTTTTACAAGCATGCAATCAAAAGCCAGAGACTGCACACACCACTAAAACTTTACCCACCTCAACATCTTATGCAACTTGTCTGCATTCATACCATTTCCATTGTCCATAAATGTTAAACATGTGTTCTCATTTATAACAGTTTTGTCAATCCACATCTGTTTTGCATTCACATCAGGATCGTAGGCATTATCTGAGAATAAAGAGTGGTGCAAAAATTAAGAACAAGGGTAATCTTCAATAATAAAAACAGAACCACCCTGCTGGATCAGACCAGAGGTCTTATCTAGTCCAGCACCTCATTTCTCACAATGGTCAACCAAATGCCTAAGGGGAAGTCCACAGGCAGGACAATATCATTCCTTTCTGTATTTTATTATTATTTATTGAATTTATATACCACCCTATACCTGGAGGTCTCAGGGCAGTTCACAGAATAAAATCAAAATATAAAACCACAAAATAAAAACAACAACCCAATAACGCCCCCCCGGCAATCCCCCCCCCCACATTTTTAAAGGGCACAGGATGGCAATCAAATCAACCAAAGGCCTGGTTAAAAAGGAATGTTTTTGCCTGGTGCCTAAAGGTGTATAATGAAGGCGCCAAGCGAACTTCCCTGGGGAGGGCATTCCACAGATGGGGAGACACTGCAGAGAAGGCCCGTTCTCATGTTGCCACCCTCCGGACCTCTCAAGGGGGAGGCACATGAAGAAGGGCCTCAGAAGATGATCTCAGGGTCTGGGTAGGTTCATAGGGAAAGAGGCAGTCCAACCTGGTCTCTGAATTCTGCTCTAGCTGTAGTTTCTGAACCATCTTCAGAGGCAGCCCTACGCATTGCAGTAATGTAACCTTGATGTTACCAGAGCATAGACAACAGTAGTTAGGCTATCCCTGTCCAGATAGGGGCGTAGCTGGACCACCAGCCAAAGCTTTTTATTAGGGTCTTACAGCACAACCTACTCAGAAGTAATCCCCACTGAGTTTTATGGAGTTTGCTCCCAGGTAAGTGGTAATGGATTGCAGCTTTCGTTTGTTAAAGATGTAACAACCAGTTAGAAAAAACTGTTCCCGTGTAATACATCAAACAAGTGTGGCTTAGCCTGCAAAAATACAATGTTGTTCACATACCTATAAGTTCAGCTGCAGCACTGAAAGGCCAGGTGTGACTGGTCGAGTTTGTGTGCAAAAATTTTGGACATAGCTGAAACAACAGAAAGTGTACACGTTAAAATCAAAATAATTAAACTTCTAGGTACATACATCTGCAATGTACATACAGACGCAGTGTTGCAACGCAAAGCAGTTATGAAGTTTTACTTTAGATAAACCATCACAAATATACGCCACCTGCAAAATTCATAAAAAAGCACTGTAAGAACGAAAGAAAACATGGTACGCAGAAAGGTGCAATGCCTCATTGATTCAGAAGTATATTGAGTTCCTGACCCAAAAGCTTTACACACCATGGGTCTCAGCTGGGGATTGGTTTCTATTTAAATAATAATAATAGTTCTGAAGGTTTTAAGAAATTGAGCACTAAAATCCAAACACGTTTATAAAAAGATAATAAAAAGCAATATCAAAAAGAATAAAGAGAAAGAAGATATAAAATAGAATGCTCATGATCCTTACAAAACACAATTATATAAAAAGAGGAAAAATAACATAGGAAAATAACAAAAAGAATAGAAAAATAGATGAAAAGAACTCCTACCTCCCTATCTGACAATCATCTGTAACAACAATTATTCAAAGTCAGGGGTCAGCAACCTAAGGCCCATGGGCTGGAAGCGGCCGACGGAGGTTGTTTGACTGGCCCACGAGCTGCTCCCGAACCAAGTCATGCGCTGCGCTAAACCGGCGCAGCACGGCAAGGGGACTCACTTCCACGGCGCCAAAAATCGCATCTGTGCAGACGCCAAAAATTGTGGGTGCACACACTCATGCATGCGCATGATCCAGCCCATGAAGGGATCTCTGCGGGACCGATTGGCCCAGGCAAGATAAACCTTGCCGAGTTTCCGGTTGATCGTGCATGCCATCACAGTTGGGGGAAACTGCTCCAGCGCAGCAGACCCCCAAACCTCAAATTTGAAAAACCTCAAATCGAGCATTTTGAGGACGTGGGATCCGGCAGGTGTCAAAAAGCGAGCTCCCCCCTCCCTGGTAAGCTCTGTTTTTGAGCTCCAAAAGTGAGGGGGTCGTAGCTGCGACGCATTGGACAAAATGCTTACTTTGATGATATGAAGCTGTGAGACTGTGAGGCATCAGCGGTCAATTCTTCCAACATTAAAAGCATTCAAGGACTATATTTTGAGTACCTTCTACATTTGTATTAAATTTGGAGCTACTCTATCCCATTTTTCCATAAATTTTTGATTTGAATTGCCTCTCAGGCTATTTGTCAGCTGCGCCATCTCAGCGAATTCTTGTAGCTTATATTGCTAGTCCGTTTTTGTCAGGACGTCTTCTTCCTTCCACCCCTTTGCCACCAAAGTCCGAGCTGCAGCCATTGCATATAAGAATACCTCCCTAAAGGTATTCAGGATGTCCCTGCCAACAATGCTTAACAGAAACGCCTCTGGTCTTTTTAAAAAGGTTATTCCAAACATTTTTTTTAATTCCTCATAAATTAAACCCCATAACACTTTGATCGTCCTACATGTCCACCACTTATGATACATATCACCATTACTATCACCACACCTACAACAAATATTCGCTAAATTTTTATACATCTTAGATAGTCTTGAGGGGGTGAGGTACCATCTGTGTTGTATCTTTAACATATTTTCTTTGATGTTTTAACATGCCGTAAATTTCATATTTGTTCTCCAAAGATCTTCCCATTCGGCCATCATTATTGGAGGTCCAATATCCTGTGCCCATCTTATCATTGTTGCCTTAACCTCCTCCTCCTTGAGCCGACCCCTGTTCAAAGTGTTTAACATGTGTACTCTAAATCAGTTTTCCCCCCTCTGCAGGATGTAACTTTTCCCAAATTTCCCTCCCAAGTCCAGCTCTAAATTCTTGGTCATCCAGACAGCCAATATGACTCTTCTAATGTCCTTCTAGTAATCCAAACAGATATTTCTCCAGTTTCTATATAACAGCTCTTACAAAGTTCTTTTAAAGAGTTTCAGCAATCTCAGCCAAGTCACAGTTCAAAATTATTGCCGAATTGATATTCATCCAATATTCCTTCCTTGCGGTTCCTTTTCCTCCCCCTTAGATTCTCCCAGTCTTTCATCATTTTGATTCACTGGGGAAGAAGAGACGTGTTTCTTATTTCCTCTGCCTGATCTGGCATCCCCTCCAAATCACTTTCCTCATAAGAGACCATAGCTTGAGTTGTATTGCAGTTACCTGAACTGCCAACATCACCATCTGTAGGTTGTTCATTTTTCTATGAAGTGAATTTCCCCACCACCTCAACAGAACCTTTCAGCCCTTCCAATGGTGAATGGTTTCTAAACGCACAAGTGGGCCCCCACAACCTTTTTGCAGAGAAGGTGGGACAAAGAGAACATTTTCCTTCCTTCTCCAAACTGTACCTTCCTCTCATGGTTTGCTTGGTTCACATGTAATGTGAAGCCAGCCTTTGATTTCTTTTCTACCTGGCCTACAGCAGGAAGAAGCACAGCAGGGAATTTCTAGTAGAAACTGTGTTTATGGAATACAATCTTACTCAGCTATGAGTGATCGCCGAAGAAGAGGCGGAAGAGGAAGAGGAAGAAGAAGAAGAAGCTGAGAATCAAGGGGAAGTGGCATCAGTATTCAAGTCAAAGAACCGGTTGCCAGATGTGAAATATATTGACTTTTTCCCAGCTCTCCAGGGCATTTCAGGACATAAACTTTTGCAAAACAATCTAATTTGTTGGGGGATGCCCCTTGGGAGAAACACCAATGTTAGAAACTCAGATATACAAGCTAGGCACCAAATGGCTCCTTAAACCAAGATTACAGTCGCCAAAATGAAATGTCTAGTTGCAACTGGAGTCCCCAAAGGCTTCTGTCTCCTTGGCCTTTGTGTCCTTCTCCCAATGTCCAGTAAAGGTCATAAAGGCTAAGAGTGCAACATCTGGGACAATATAGCTTGCTGACAATAAGTTTAGGGAGCAGGATTTTGATAGGGTGGGCTCCCCATCCCTCATTCTCCTCTCTAAGTGGTTTTCTGGGAATATTAGTTGCTGACTAGGGAGTCCACAACCTCCGCATGAATGACTCCAGAGTACAAACATGGAAGCAGCAGCAACATGTTCTTACTAAAATCAGTTGAAAATCCACCAAGGATTGTGAAAGAAAATCCAAGACCAGACAAAGATTTACTAAAACAATACATCTCTTATGAGACATTCTATGTGTTCCCTATCAAAAGCAATATTCTGGAAAGGGCATAATATTACTTTGGGGTGGAACTGTTCATCCTCCTCAGCTGTAGCTACATGCATCTGTCTTCCACCTGATGCATCATCACAGTGCAAACACAATAAAAGTGTTCTTGCCACTCCCTTTAGACTGGTTATTTAAGCCGGAAACAAAGGAAGTGAAAGGATATTAGAGTTGGCCCTCAGGCTTACCGTATTTTCGCTCTATAGGACGCACCGGACCATAGGAGGGGGAGAAAAGGGGGGGGGAATTCTCCCCCTCTCTGCTCAGCGCCCCTTCAGCAAAGCGGCTGGAGAAACGGATCCCCTTCCATTTCTCCTCCCGCTTCACTGAAGGGGAGCTGCGCAGAGAGGGAAAACCGTGCAGCGCCTCTCCAGCGAAGCAAAGCCTGGAGAGCAAGAGGGATCGGTGTGCACCGACCCCTCCTGCTCTCCAGGCTTCAGGCGGCTATCCGCAAGCCTTCTGAGCACAGCGAGAACTCCCGCTGCACTCCAAAGGCTTGCAGATAGCTGCCTGAAACCCCCGAAGCGGCAGTTCGCGCTGCGCTCCAGGGGCTTCAGGCTTCTCCTTTTTAGCTGCGGGGCTGGGGCGGGGGAAGCCCGAGCTTCCCCTGACCCCAGCCCCCAAGACAGGTCAGGGAGTGGCGGCAAGGTTGCGCAAAACCTTGTCTTCGCTCCCGGAGCTTGCGGGGCTGGGGGAAGCCTGAGCTTCCCCCGACCCCAGCCCCCGTTGGGGAGCGGCGGTCCCTTCTCCATCCTGGGAAAAAGCCCGCAAGAGCCGCGTGAAGCTTGTGTGCGGCTCTTGGGGGCTTTTCCTGCCTACCTCCCCCCTGCATTCGCTCCATAGGACGCACAGACTTGTCCCCTTAGTTTTTAAGAGGGAAAAAGTGTATCCTATGGAGCAAAAAATACAGCAATTTGATAGGAAACCCAGCCCCTGCAGGCAGGTTGAGCTTCACAGTGTAGAAGCATGTAGGTCATATTGTGTCAAAGACTGAGTGAGCTTCAAGCAGTCTTTGCTATGCTTCTGTCCAATTTGAACAATAAGCTTGTATCTATAGTCAGCTGTTATTATCTCCCCAAATCACTCTGGGAGAAATTCGTTGTAGCTGTAAGGAGATTGTTCTGTCAGTGCAAGCATTTTAGCTTACCAGTGTGCTGCTCTGGGGGTTCCCTGACCTGTTCTGAGCCCATTTCAGGGGCTCAACTAGGCACACAGTAGACTTAAGTCACTCCTGGCTGCTACAGCAAAAGCAATACTCCCACCCACTCATCCAAAGATAAAAATTAAACTGAAACACTCTCACCCCTCTCCCTAGCCCAGAAGTCAGCCATGCCAACCCAGGAATTTTATCTCCCTCCACTCAGATGCCTTGACTCAAAGCCAGGGGCAAGTGCATTTTCCAGGGATGATGTGGCAACTCATCTCTTGCAAGGAGACGAGCAGCAAATGGAAAGCAGGGAGAAATGGCAGAAGTTTTCCTACTCTGCAGTCCCAGCTGCTGCACCTCTCCTGCTGTTGCCCAGGGTCCTGAAAAGCTGAAAACCACCCATTCTGGCAAACTAAGAAATTATGCATAAGAGTCAATATCTTTCTAGCTGTTGCCATATTTTCGTGTGTATAGCTGGAACTTAATAAAAATTTACCAGTGATTTTAACTTGCTTAGATCACTGCCTGGTAGTTGGAAGGTAGCTCCAGAAACAGATCCCTGCTGAAAGGTGCTGAGGGCATGTTTTAAACTGTCTCACAAAAAAATCCTACAACTGAGGGGGAAAAAAAATCACATGGTGTCTATGGCACACAGTGTATTTCATCAGTTGAAGCTTATATACCAGTTATGGTCCCTTGCAGACAGAAACAGTGTGGCCATAACTTTGGTACCACTTACATAGTTTTACTTTTGCTTGGAGTTATTCACAGTAACCTCCAGATAAATATTGAAATGCACTAGATATAGAGCTACCTTTGAAAACTCTCCTGAAACTCTAGGACATGGGTAGGCAAACTAAGGCCTGGGGACCGGATCCGGCCCAATCGCCTTCTAAATCCAGCCTGCGGACGGTCCGGGAATCAGCGTGTTTTTACATGAGTAGAATGTGTCATTTTCTTTAAAATGCACCTCTGGGTTATTTGTGGGGCCTGCCTGGTGTTTTTACATGAACAGAATATGTGCTTTTATTTAAAATGAATCTCTGGGTTATTTGTGGGGCATAGGAATTTGTTTATTTCCCCCAAAAAAATATAGTCCAGCCCCCCACAAGGTCTGAGGGACAGTGGACTGGCCCCCTGCTGAAAAAGTTTGCTGACCCCTGCTCTATGACTTGGTAGTCCAAACTATAGATCAGGCTTCCTCAACCTCGGTCCTCCAGATGTTTTTTGGCCTACAACTCCCATGATCCCTAGCTAGTAGGACCAGTGGTCAGGGATGATGGGAATTATAGTCTCAAAACATCTGGAGGGCCGAGGTTGAGGAAGCCTGCTATAGACAGACTAACTAGGACCTGCCAGCAAGGAACACCTGCTACTGGGACCAGTTCAGTGTGCTGGTACAAACATGTAAGGCCCCAAACCGCTCAGGACCAAGTTATTTGAAAGACCACCTTACCCCTTAAATACCCAGTAGATCGCTGTGGTTTGTGAGAGCGTTTCTCCTGCAAGTTCCAAATATCTCAGAAACCCACTCCACAATAACTCAGAGATTTTATGTGGCCACCCTTGTTCTGTGAAACAGCATTCCTATCAAGATGCACACAATGTGTCTACCGAGACGAGTTGCTGTGCTCACTAGACCTGCGTATCTTCACCACAGCCAGAGCATACATCATTGCCATTTGTCAGGCAAAAGCAACACTACTCAAATCCTGCCTCTGCTGACTCCTCCCTTCGGATTGCTGGAAAGCGAAAGCTAAAAATCTGGGCAGTTTCACCCCTCCCGCGTTTCCTTCATTCAGACTCACCCGAGCACCGTCTTGTGGGCGCCCCCCTTCTCACGCAGATCCCCTCCCCCCGGGGCACAAAAGGAGCAGGCAGTGTTTACAACGCGCGTGGCGAGGTTTCAGAGGTGTCTGGAGCCCGCAGCATTGCAAAAAGATCACTAAATCTAGATAAGAGAACCAAACTCCTCCGCCTTTAGGGAGATGCACGGGAAAGAGAATTTGCCACTCCCGCAAGGATGGGATTAGCCCACCAGCGGCTGCCTCTTTTTTATTTTATGTTATTTTGCACAATTTTTTGTACAAGAGGCAACTTGGAAGGGCAGAAAGGGGTCTCCCTAAAGAGAAGCCTCGGGGCCCTTCAGCTCCGCAATGCTGAGAGAGCAAACGGCACAGAAACCGGGGAGGAGGAGGTTCCCGCAGCCTAGAAAAACCGCACATTTAACTTCCCAGAGAGGATTTGCAACCGGGCGCCCCGACAACGCGAAAGGCAAGAACTCGAACATCTCCCCCCGTGGCGGCTAAGGCGCCTACGGGACGACGCCCCAAACCTCGCCTCTGCCTCGCAATCTGGCGCGGCGCCCTGCGGAAAAAGCCGCTGCCGCCTCCCCGCCCGCTCTCACCGCACTCAGAGGAATCCCGTTCTCCTTTAGCGCCGACGCCATCTTAGCTCCTCCAGTACAAAAGCCGCTGCCGCAAAGAAGCTTCCTTTTTCCCAGGCCCCTCTTCTTCAGCGCAAGTTATTTCCGGGGAGGAGACTGGGCGGAGCTGGGGGAAAAAAAATCACGTTTTCCCTTCGCTTTCTTTCCTTCTGCGGCTGGCGCTGTTGTTGATTTGGCTCAGCCGACGATGAAACGTCACGGAGGGCCGGCCGCCGCTTGCATGGCCTTTCGGTTCCACTGTTTACGTCTTCGGCTTCCCTGCTCTGCACGTGTGTACGCAGATGCAGAGAGCGGAGAGTTCAAGTTGAAGGCATGATGCAGCGACACTTTTCCATAGCGGTCAGGGTGGGCTACTTCTCTGGAACGCAGCCTGTGTAAAAGAGAGAGTCAAGGGTGGGAGGCTAAATAGAAAGTGTCGCCTTCCGTATTTATTTAGAGAGATTTACAAGCTTCAAGAGCGCTCGAAGCGATCGATGTAGGCAAACTGTAGGCAGGGCCGGATTTAGGTTTGATGAGGCCCTAAGCTACTGAAGGTAATGGGGCCCTTTATATGTCCAGCTGCCCTTTGTCAACAACAAATTGTCGCGGCTTTTTTGTGTTGAATATATGCTATATGGTAATTTATGGACCTAATAGGTATCTAAAGCCATTTGCACATAACAAAATATGTATTTTATCCAAGTAATTGTTGAACTGAAATACAATTAAGAAGTATATTAACAGTGAAATAATTATTAATTTCTAACTTAAAATGATTGGAGGCCCATTACTTACATCATAGGAGCCCGCACAACACTCTTGCCGTATGTAGGTTTTATTTTATTTGTTTTTTATCTTATATTTTGGAAATGTACATCCAGTTTTTTCCCCTTTACATTTTTGGGGGGCTACTTCTCTGGAACGTAAGAGAGTGGGGCCCTAAGCTATAGCTTGTTTAGCTTATACGGAAATCCAGCACTGAGTCTAGGTGAATTGTAGAATTGTAGAGTTGGAAGGGACCAGCAAAGCTAAGATCCACAGCTCTAAAAAACAATTCACATAAAATAAGTATCATTATCATAGCTAAAATCAGTACCTTTTAAAAATGAACATAAGTAACCAAAATAGGTCTGTGTACAAGCCATACATTTAAGTACAGTACATACCCCCTGCCAAGAATTCTGGGAATTGTGATTTAGCCCTCTCGGAGCTACAATTCCCAGCACTCTTTGCAAACTATAAATTTAAGGCACTTTTATGCCACTTAAAGGGTCATGGAGAATCCTGGGAACTGTAGTTTGTTAAGGTGCAATTCTTGGCACCCTTAGCAGACTGCAGTTCCCAGAATTCTCCATGACTGTTACAAATGGTATAATAGTGCTTTATATCTATTGTGTGGGTGATAGGTAAAGAAATGTTCCTTTCTAATATTCGTAGATTTGAGGGTTTTAAAAAAGATTTTCAAGCCTGAGAGACTGTGGCAACCTGAATTAATTTCTTTCCATTTAGCTTTTCCTTCAAAAACAAAAAACCCTCTTATGCACATCCCACACTGCTTAAATTACTCAGTCTCTGCTGTTCTTGAAGCAAGTGCAGTCTTAGTCTTGATCGTGTCTCAATATTATTATTATTTGTTTGCTTGCTTGCTTAAACAGGCTACACCTCTGAGCTTTGCATCACCTCCTCGTCCCCACCTCTTGAATTGGGAATAACAACCACTAATGTTTGGGGAAATAAAAAAGATTTCAAATTAATATTTTGCAAAAAAATTTATGTGTAGTGTTCATGGGTTAAAATGTTGACAGTAAATATAGAAAGGGCTAGCGTGGAGCAGGTATATGCTAGTTTCTCAACTAGAGAAGTTTATTCACATTACAACCTCTTTTCTTAAAACTACATGTTAACATAAAAAAAATGCTCAGAGAATCTCAGGTGTTGTAGTTTGGCAAGTTGCTGTGATTTTCTGAAAGCATTTCCTAAATCCCCCAATTTCAGTTCCCAGGTTTCCTTGAATGTGTGGACTTAAACCAGTTTCTGATGCAGATAAGCCTTCCGGCCTTTGCACTGTTAGGATATCTGAACCTAAGGGGTCCGGATCCAGTCACCTCGTGCCCTTGCCGTTAGCATGAAGGAGTCAAGCAAACACCAGGGTGGGTTTCACAGAGAAAAAGGTTTATTGCAGAATCTGTACAGAGACAGCCAGTGGAATAGCTTCCAAAGACTGGCCGCGCCCCTATTGTCTTCCAAGCATTCTTATACTGAAGCTGCAAGCTTGGCCCCCAGTTGCTCCCCAATCAACAGGCAGAGATACACTTTATTACCTTATTAGGCTAGCTAAGCCCTCCTCCCCCACCTTTGCATATTGTTTGCTTTGCATTATGTGTTTGCATCTTTGCACAGCTGAGGTGAGAAGTCAGACAGGAAAACCACTACCGGTCTGCAGAGCTGAGCCTCTTCAACTTCAGCTATGTAGGAGGCCAGACAGGAAACCCACTGCCAGCCCGCAGAGCTATCTTGCATAGCTGAAACAATTGTTAGCTGGAGCTAGCTAAAACACGATGGAGTTTTACCTCCCCCCTCTTCTCTCCTCTCCCTTCAGCACAACAGATGAATTCCCCCCAAGATTCCTGGGAACAGTAGTTTACCCCTCACAGAACTACAGTTTTGATCACCCTTAAACTACCGTTCCCAAGATTATTATTTTTTGGCCAGGGGAAATGTGCTTTAAATGTATGGAGTGTAAATCAGTGGCTTTATTTCTGAAGACATGTATAAGATTGTACTATCAGACATAGCACATTTTCTTCCCAAATACATGTGTATAAATTGTAATCCCCCCCCAAGCTACAAAAGGAGTTGAAGCACATAACAATGTTTTTCACATGTATTTCTAACCTGCTAAGTGATCCTTAAGTACCCATTACGTGTACTTCCATGTAATGTATGCTCTAGCATACAAAGTGGGTACAAGGAATCACTGCTACACATAGATGTGGTGTAGTAACCAGCTGAAGACAGCCCAGATTAAGTATATGCTGCATGTGCATTTAGTGGTACTTTAAACTGTAGCTCTTCCATGATCCTTAATAGAGGCATGAATGTGAAAATAATAGCGTGCTGCACCTTGTCTGAACAGAGTCTGCCATTATGTATGCATGCTGCAGTTTCCTGCAATTGGCCACTGGACATTTCAGATGTAAATCTGGTTGGTTTCTCTCTCTCTGTGTGAGCTAATGTCTTGATATCCTTTTGTGTATACCTTTGCCTCCTAAGATATGGCTAGTAGGATTGTATGGGAGGGTCTTTTCCATTGTGGGTGCCTCCCCCCATCTTAATTCTAGCAACTGTGTCTATGCCTGAAGAATCCCTGTGCACCTAGATGGATCAGGACAGCTTGGGTGTGACACTAGGTGGTTGCTCTGTGGCTCCTCCCACCTCAAGAACACCAGCAACTGCCTGATTCACCTGTTTTGAACATTATGGCATTTCCCCTCTCTCCTAATCTCTAATTCAAAAATTCACTCTTCCTCCTCATTCCCAATGCTTCCCTTCTCCCGTTCCCACTGGATTTGCTGCTCCCTAATTCCCTTAGTCCTACCTATATCTTATTGTTATTAAACCAAAGAATGTGTAATTGAAATAATTACATATTTTTCTCTTGCTTCCATTTCCCCCTTCCATTTCCCTAGCTATTATAAACTGGGAGTCCCTTGGGGTAGGGGGAACCTAGTGATCTAGCATATCTGTTGTTGCCTTTTTGTAAAGTGCCATGCACATAGACAGAACTTTATTAATATAATGGTGATAATGTAATGGTGGTGAAAAAGTTAATGCACTGAAATGTACAATAGGACCACAGCATTAACAACAACAGCAGGCAGCAGCTGAAAACATGCAGCAAAGTAAGACACTTTGTGATAACGCATGCCTCAGAAAACAAATCCTCTGCACCTAAAGGGTAGTGAGTGATGAATACCAGTTGTTCAATACACACAACACAGAATGAATTCAAACAACCATTTGCGACTGGCATAATCAGACTCTCTTTGTTACTTTTGCTCTAGTTTGCCTGATCTTTTTGCCAACAAGCTTATGCAGACATTAAGGTTCTATCTTGTGATCTGTTTTAAAGTTTGTATTGTTATTGTATCACTTCTCAGCCTTTGGGCTAAGATCAAGTGTATTTTGATTGTTGTAAACTGCTTTTATATTTTTAATGAAATTGAGATATAAATAAGTCTGTATCTCAGTCAGATTATAAGAACAATGGTTTAAAGAAGACGGAGTGAGTAAGTTATATGGTAATTACCTTATTGTAAGATGGAAAGAAATAGTACTGTTTGAATAGGGTTGAAAAGTGTTACCGGTAATCATAAATCTAATTGAGGAAACCTATGAGAAATAAACACTACCTCAAGAAATGAGCAGTTAGTGAAACCTGAAAAGGGTAGAAAATAATTCATATCTATTAATCTTGCTGCAGAGGCATCTCTTTGGTATCATGATTTCTATATAAAATACAAGCCTGTGCACCTAGAGAGAAACCAAAAGGAAGAAAGATCAACATGTACTTTGTCTTTAAAGGTGTGCGTTAAGATACTGAGACTGAAACTCAGCTCCTTGCACGAGGAGGAAGAGGTTGCTGTATTTTAATCTTCAAACTGTGCATTACTCATATGTGTTTTATGCCTAACGTAAAATAGAAGAGTAAGGAAATGAGGTCTTCAAAGTATTTGCTCTAAATTATACTTCAGTGCAAGCAATTACTCTCTTGAATCCATGGGAATTACTGTATTCTTCTCTTTAAAGGTAGCACACTTTCCTTTGTAGCCAAAGTTTAAGCTAAACACAGGGTGTGTAAACCTGAGACAAAAGTTATGGAGTTCCAGAAAAACAATTGATTTTCATCAGTGCCCCATACAAATACACATCATAAAATTGTAGCGTTGGAAGGGCCTAACCCCCTGCAATACAGTACTATTTTTGCCCAATGTCGGGCTTGAACGCAGAACCATGGGCTTAAGAGTCTCATGCTCATGAGGTGTCCTTCAGGCAGCTATCTCACAGGGCAGCAGGATAAAAATAGGGATACCACCTGAAAAAAAATATCTTGGATTAAGCCTTTGTCACAATCTTCTGCCTGTCAAGGCCTTTCACTAATTGCGTAAGCATTTGCTGGGTGTTCCTGCAGATCTTTTTTTATCAGTACCAGCATGAACTCTGCTTTAGCAGAATGAAGCCATTATCTTTATTGGCAGGTGTCCAGAAAATATTTCCCCTGCTTTAGCCTTTAGGTAAAAGCTGGACTATGGAATAGGAGCTGTCCCCCTCTATTGGAATAAGTTCAAGGTGCTGAGGCACCTGTGTGATCTAAACTGCTGTGTTCCAAGGTAGGGATGAGGCCTGCTAATTGGGAAAGTGGTTTTGGTTGTGGGAGGGCATAGAAGATAAGGCACTAGAATATTCTAGCTAGTAATATTCCACTTAATAAGAATCACTCTAGTTGTTATACTTTCTACTGTTAAACCAGCCTTATTCCTTTTGTTTGAACACCTCCTCTTATACTTACCTTGGGTCTGAGACCTTTGAACCATGTTGGAGCTGATCTCTTCCATGCTAGATGTTTTGTTCCTCGGGGGCCTTACACGAGTAGCACACAGAGAGCTAGGACAAGTGCTCTTTTCCTGGTGGTATGCAATGGTATTGTAGTCAGACTTGACTTTGCATGCTGACTCTGCCAGGCATATTTGGAGACTCTTCTGCTTGGCCTCACACTCTACCAAGTTCTGCACGTGCAGAGTACAGCGTGCAGAGCTTGGTGGAGTGTGAGGCCAAACAGAAGAGTCTCTAAATATGCCTGGCAGAGTCAGCATGCAAAGTCAAGTTTGTTCTGAGGGTTGGTCATGTTGGTTTCTGTTTGTTCCACTGTGCAGTGCTTGGAGTCACAAGACTCTGTTTTGCATTCCAGACCTTCCAGGCTGTTGGAAGTTTCATGGAAGGTGGGAGACGGATGTGATGTTTACTGGTTTCCTGTTCCTTTGTTTTTCCAATTTCTCTCTTCTTTCACAGAGAGAGCATGTTTATTTCTTTTCTGTCTGCGTAGTTAGAAATAAAACCTAGCAATGTAGCTCAAATTTATCGTCTCTTCTGCTGCTTTGATACTCTGTTGAATGGGGAACGTGCCTGGAGCCTTATCAAAGGCTCAGGTCGTTAATCATTGTCGGAGGAGATTCCGAAGGCTCGACTGGAGGAGTAGCTCGGTCGTAGCGGAGATTCCGACAGGGCAAACAGCAATCCACATAGTCAGGGAATCTGATGATCATGAAGCCAAGGGTCCAGGCAGAGAGCAGGAAGCAGCGAGGTAGGGCTGGCAACCACATACATTGTTTCCAGCATCTGACTGCTGTTGAGAGCTCTGTTTAAAAAGGCTAAAGCCAGCTAGTTCTCATCAGTACCTTCCTCTCCATGTCCTTGAAGGCCGATCAGCTGCAGGTAGAGTCACACCTCCATGTCCCCCTTCAGGCTACTGTTCAGCAGGCAAAGCTGAACTGCCACTCTTTTTGTGGGGGAGGAGGGAGAAGGGCTCTTGGACCCTGTTGGAGCATCATGCCTCCTTCCCTAAGCTGAGCAAATGATTCCTGGGCTAGGGGAAAGAGGCACAAGCTCATATCCCGGCAGAATGATGGGTAGTATGACCCTGTGGTGAAAAGGTATGCACAGTCAGGTACTGAGGGTACAGAAAAAGGTACGGTGTTGCAGCAAGTAATTTAATTACCATGCATCATATAATAACTACTGTATATAAAGGTAAAGGACCCCTGACAGTTAAGTCCAGTTGCAGACGACTCGGGGGTTGCAGCGCTCCTCTCGCTTTACATGCCGAGGGAGCCGGTGTTTGTCCACAGACAGCTTTCCAGGTCATGTGGCCAGCATGACTCAGTCACTTTTGGTGCAATGGAACACCTATATACAACAGAATAACTATATACCATGATCTTAATGAAGTTCCAGTAAAACATGCAGCTGTTTTACATTTGTTTTTCCTGGCCTGGAGAAAGTTTTGCGCACAGGGCAACTGCCCAGAGTACCAGCACCACTTTTTCTAGAAACAAAGCAGTGGCTAGGACAAGCTAGCTTTGTTGTTTTATTCCAGTTTATGATATACCAAATGTATTCCTTAATTGTATTTATTTAACAGTGTTTCTCATTTGTGTTGGAGATCTCCTTAATACTGTTTTTACTTGCTTAATAAACATTCCTCCCTTATTAATCAGTGTGTGTCTTCTCAAGTAAAGCCTTGGTACTGAAACATTTCCACTGCCTGTTTACCAATTTTCTGTGTAATTTGTTAGCCTGAGGTTCAAGAAACAGTATTGTACGCACACCCTTCCCCCAACTATTGTTTCTCTGGAGTCTTAAGTTAAGGTCTGGAAATCTCCAGGGTTGGGCAGAGTGATGTTAGACTTGTAGAAGTCAGTTGGCCCATAACCTGTTATACAGTACTGGGTTCACTATTTGACCAGTGTGATCATCAGAGTATGATCAGGTCCAGCAGAACGTCAGAGTCTTCCTGCTTTCCAGTAGTCAGTCTTTTCCAGAGTTTCCAGTAGGGGCAGACCTTGGTAATATGCCGCCCTGTGTGAAGCCATTTGATGCCCTCTCCCCAGCCCTTAAGGTGCCTGTTTATGTTGTGCTTTGGAAGTTTCTAGGAGGACTCTAGGACACTGTCGGAACCCCCTTCCTGAAGCTGGGCAAGCACTTACTGGGCACTGAAAAGGCACCCTCCTTGGCTGCATCATTGGTGTGACTGCACTGCTTGAAGTGCCCTAAATCTGCCCCTGTTAGTATCATAAAGTCGGAAGGGACCTTGAGGGTCATCTAGTTTCCAGTTAAGAAAACTCACTGGCCACGCAGTTCAGTTCACAGTATAAAGTACGGTATTGTCTCACGGCAGAAGACAAGCATAAACACACTGATACACCATGAACTAATCTATTATAATACAGTTCTCTGGTCTTAGAAATAATTTCATAAAGAGAGAACTTTACAGAGAACTCCATTAGCACTTCACCATGCTAGTGAAGGGGCCAAAGAGACCCACCCTCTTGGCCTAAGTGCAGCCATGATTGCTTCTCCCACATTTAGCTGACACCTAGTGCTTTTAGCGGAAGGTTACTGGTAAATGGTCAGACTTAGTGGATGGAAGTTTCCAGTTAGTGTTGAAACAGTAGTGTCCAGGAAGAAGAGGATGAAAACAAAGACTAATCACATAGCTTGCTTAAAGCGGCTTTTTGAGGAACTAAGTTCTCAAATCTGACTCAAGATAGACTGTAAGGTTTTCCTTTGGATACCCATGCCTAAGCTTAATGCTAACTAGCAACTGCTTGACTTTAGCCAATCATGTCTATGATCACACAGTTTTCACATGTAACAATGCATTGGAACCTTGTAAGTGTTTGCTGTGCACTCTGAGGAGTTGTGCAGATTATTTGGGTGTTAGCCTACTCTCTGCTTTCTGGCATAGCTAAATAAACACTTTGGCTTCCCACCTCAGTATGATTCTTTGGGTACCTTCACCCAGACTCAATTGGACATTTGTCTACAACACTAGCTCACCATACTATACAGTACTGTCAACGTATAGCGCAATAGCCTGACTCCCTCCTTTGGCAATCCTCACAGAACTCTAGCCCAATGGTTGCCATTAATCTGATTGGAATTAATTTTATAATGAAATGATTTTAGAATGTTTTATCATTTTACTGTTGTTAGCCGCTCTGAGCCCGGCTTCGACTGGGGAGGGCGGGATATAAATAAAATTTATTATTATTAATAATACCTCCAGTTTTACCGCTGATGGCTTGCAATGAGCTAATATCACACTCGTGCAGAGACTGCTGAATCTAGCCTTGCCATTATACCCACTGCTGCACGTACACACATTCCTTAGAGAAAGGGAGTGTGCATGAGTCATGCTTTAGGCCTTTGACCTTGGACTATTTATAACCACTCAGTGCAGCTGGGATTTTTCTCTAAATAAACTCCAGACATGGGAGATGGACTCTTTGAGGCATGGCCCAAGCACTTAGTGCAATTACACCCATTTTTCCAAATGGCTGGTAGCAGTAGTAGCAGTGTACTGTGCAGGGGGTGAGTGTTGGATCTTGGGTATATGGTAACTGCTGGATCACCAAGGATGAGTTCCCAGGTTTCAGAGCAAGTTCATGACGACAGATAAAGTGCATTCTTATTCAGACACGGTCCACTGTTAATTCTAGCTTACAACCAAAGGATTTAGAACAGGGGTCAGCAAACTTTTTCAGCAGGGGGCCGGTCCACTGTCCCTCAGACCTTGTGTGGGGCTGGACTATATTTTGGAAAGGGAAAAAAATGAACAATTTTTGCCCGCCGGCAAAGAGGCCTGAAGATGCTTCGCTTTACCTGTCCCAGTTGTTGTCCCAATAGCCGCAGTTGGGCTTCTCCAGCCAGCCAGGCGCTGTGGCAGGGTAGGAGGCTGCGTTGGCTGGCAAAGACAGAAGCAGCAGCCCCGGCAGAGGAGCCGCGGAGGAGGTAGGGGAACCAGGGTGTCGCCGGAGCTTTTACCCACCACCTGCTGCTGCTTCCTGAGAGGCACTGCAGAGAAGACAGAGCTGGCCGCCAACCCGCAAGCGGCGGCCGCAGCCATCGCAACAACCTGCCTGAACACCATGGGAGAAATGAAGAGGGAGGAGAGGGGAGGGAGGGAGGGAGGCAGGCGACAGCCACGAAGAAAGCGTGCGAGGAAGTGGCACAGAGAAGGAAGGACAGACTGAGGGAGAGGGGGAGCAGGAGGAAAACGCAGCAGCAGCCGGTGTCACACGCCCCCTTGACAGCGCTGCGCTGCTGAGGTGGGCGGGTGGGCAAGCCGACTCCCGCCGTTGAGTGGCAGGATTGCTCCGTCCCTGAGGAGAAAAGCACCGTTGTGTGAGGGAGAGGGAGGGAGAGGGAAAGAACGTGCCTGCTGGTGATAGATGCGGCGATACCTGGACCATCCACGGGCCGGATCTAGAAGGCAATTGGGCCTGATCCAGCCCGCGGGCCTTAGATTGCCGACCCATGGTTTAGAATATCTTCTAGGGGTGTAACATCTACAGCATAGAACTTCTAATAAATTATGAAGCGTTTATATTTTAAAAAAAAGTCTGCACACATGTACCGTGGTACCTTGGGTTAAGTACTTAATTCGTTCCGGAGGTCCGTTCTTAAGCTGAAACTCTTCTTAACCTGAAGCACCACTTTAGCTAATGGGGCCTCCCGCTGGCGCCACTGCACGATTTGTGTTCTCATCCTGAAGCAAAGTTCTTAACCTGAGGTTTGCGGAGTCTGTAACCTGAAGCATATGTAACCCGAGGTACCACTGTACATTTGTTTAATTCTGTTATCGGTTTTCTGGCCTGACTGTGTGAAACAGGAATCCGTGTGTGCGGACAGGCTAAATCTTATCAAAGAGATCTCAGAATGCACTCCCAGTTGCTTTTAGATGAGACTATATATTTGTAAGTACCCAGGGAACGCCACAATAAAGCAATGAAGATTTCTGTCAGGTCACATGAGTCACAATCTAATAGCCAGGAAACGAAACTTTTTAGTAAGAGTACACACCCTCTTTAGTCACATATTAGCCTAATCCTGGATTGAGTTCTACTTCCCAGTATTGGCACCATGGATGGAAAACAGTGAACAGATGTACACCATATTAGATACAGCAGATATATTGTTATAGAGAGTGGTTCATCTAACTAGGAGGTTGTTGCCCCGGAGCTGGTTTAATTGATTTCCCTTCCCTCCAAAACGAGGCAGTCTGTTTTAAGGGGAACACACTACAGGACAATCACAAAAAACACCCCTACCTTTTGGCCTGCCAGCATGAGCCCTCACTTTTTCTTCCTTGTCTGAAACTTATAAGCTCTATGCTGATCTTCAAATAATTATTTAGACTTTAGCCTGATATCAGGTAATAGTACTGAGCTATAAAACAGCAAATACAAAAATATACCCCCCCCATTTAACCCAAGAAATATGGTGTTTGCTAACACTGCCAAAGGAAAATTTTGAGAATCTTGGTTTTACAACTTGACTATTTTGTTATTTTACTGTTTTGTTGTTTATTTGCATTTATTGTTATTTAGAAAGGTGGAATGCAAGGATTAGAAATAAATAAAACTGCAAAATACAAGGAAAATTAACAGGAAAAAGACCAAGCTTTTGATGTTTCAAGAGGTATTTCAACACAATGTTTAATATGAAAGTTACATTCAATTACACAGTACAACTTTACACAGCAGCCATCCTCTCAGTTACTACATTAGATTCTTCTTTGGCAATACATTTTGGCAATACATTTAAATACCACAAACGTCTCCTCAAGCTTTTTTAGTACTTTAAGGATGTTTTCTAAGGTGTACCGACTACAAAACTCATAATTTTAAAGTAGTAATATCCATTAAAGCAACAATCAAATTTGCATTTTCTTTATATTTTATATCAGTAGTAGGAAAACAAATGTCAGTAGCAATATGAAAAATTATTCCCCAAATTAGCAAATACAAATATTTAAATCAATTTAACTAATGCAGCTATAAGTTATGAACAGTAACTCAGAAATATTATAGTGGACCAGATAATCACAAATCTAACTCCGTGTTGTTATTCCTATTCCCAAAATGGAGTTATTTTTGCACAACAAGATGTGGGAAACTGGCCCTGAAGAAACAAAGACAGGATGCTGTTTGTGACGTTAGATGTGAATCTGCAGTGTGTGATATTTAGTAGACATCAAGCAACAACACTTCTAGTAGACAGGTTGATGTAATTTTGTAGAAAATTAAGAAAATGTTTAAATGGCATGAACTGATAAATAGGATAGTCCTCAGATGGTTTCAAAGAATGGGGAGAAGAATGAAAGTAGAAGAAAGCTTAGTGAGAGATGTAATCTTGATTGGTACAGCAAGTTACTAATTAAATGACAAGTATCTACCTACTTCTGTGGGTTGAAAATGGTGTGAACTGTATTGTGAAATATCTGAGATTAGCTGCACTTCACAGTTCTAGTAACAGGACAAGAAAGAATGGAATACACAGAGAGTTCCTTGTCATACAACTAGCGTTGCAAATGAAGACTTTTCTGTTTCCCTGAGTGTTGGCAACATTTGCTTAAAGTTTTGAAATTGTTTTAAAATTCCAATGAACGTGTAATATTGGAACGGCAAGGTATGCTTTAAAATGGATACACCACCTTCATACCTTTGATAAAGCAACTTATGAAATTAATTTACATTCATATGAATTTAATTTCACATTCATAATGAGGGTTTAGCTTAGAAGCATAATTTCATCATCACTTTACCAAATATATTAACAAGCAAAGGCTTATTTTAGTCCCTTTAACATAATTACAATAAAGCATGTAATGCATGTGTCAGCATTTTATTTAGTATCAAAATGAATTTCGAAACCCCATTATTAATTGGCCGGTAGATAAGAACACACAAATAGTCTACTATATAAAATGTTGAAAGAATGTTGTCAGAAACCTTTGTACTATACACCACGTGTTTTTGGTACTGGTGGGCAGTTTTCTAAAAAGTGACAACACTGAAATAAAAAAGGAAAAAGGAAAACACCTCTTGGCTTTAATTATTCAAATCCAAGTGTTCCACAAAAATATTGCACACACACACACACAAAAACTTGCGGCACAATTCATCCATATCCAAGGACTTTTAAGCCCCATTGATTTCAGTGGAGAGATTTAAATAGATTAAAAAATTTCCTACTGAAGGAAATGGGAAATAAAAGTGCTCAAGTTTGGCTGGATTCTGCCCAGTCTTTTTTTTAGGAAGTGAAGGTGCTAGATATATCAGTATTGTGGGGGAAAGGAAATACATGCTAAAGAAATAGTATTATTTACATCAACAGTTATAAAAATAAGAAAGCATAATATCCAATACATTTAAAGAACAGGCTAGCAATTCTGTTTATCTAGACTTCTTGTTTTAACACTTTTTCCAGTTGAAGCTAGCATGACACCCATCTAGCCAATACCCTCCACAAATCCTAGTCTGCTTGTGCATTACAAATGCTATGCCAGAAAGATGGCAGAACCAAAACCTTCTCCCTCGAATTACCGTAAATCACAACAAAAGCAGTTGTTTCCAGTCTTTTGCAACACATTAAAAGAGGAAATATTTATCTGCACAGATGTTTTAGTGCAGCACTGTAAAGTATTTGCTTAGAAAATTAAGTACCTCTAATGCTACATTTTATTATATATACATGCCTTTCAAGAATTTTGCAGTCCCTATGCACACAATTTTTAATGTTTTTCTCTTTTTTAATTAAAAAAAGAGATTTTCTTGATTTTTAAAAAATGCTTCTCTAGGCCTAAACATAATTCAGCAATAATTCAGCAAACTACAGAAGACAATAATGACTTTAAAACCAGTCAAATAAATTTCAAATAATTTCTTTTTTCCTTCTTAGTTGTATATATCCTATGCAAACATATCCCTTGTAACCTAAAATCTTATGAATCTTTACCAAAAAGCAATTTCCATTAAGATCAGCAAGGCCTACTCCATATGCTTGTAGGCTTAGGCTGTAAAGGCTACGGCAGAAAGATCACAGATATTCGTACAGCATGCTATTTTGTTTGCATCTGCTTACTACAGAGATGTTCAGAGGCAGAACTAAAATAACTCCAGAAGAGTGTTCCCATCTGCCAACAAGCCTGTTATAAATATTCCATGTGTACATCCTGATCCTGTCTTTAAAATTTCCTATAAATTATAGTCTTGTTCAGATTGATTTGCTATCTATTGCCTTCATTACATGAGGAACTAAAGTATGCTTGTTTTACTTTGGAAGTAAAACAAACAAACAAAAATCATCTTATGACATGTGCACATTATAATGCTAATTTGCTTCCACAAAACCTGAGGCAACATGCCACTTATCAACAAGACATAGAACAGGTGAAAGATTACATCAGTCGGAAAAAACAAACTGAAGTAAAATCTGTCAACATTAAAATGTTTCATTCTCATATTTACATTTTTTCAATACAATTGAAACTGAGTGACAATTACAACCTTTGTATAATACAAGTACTTTAAAGCATATTAACTTTCCATATTTTCTATAAAGTCATGCTCCACACACTCTTCCAGTAGTTTCAGTGTCCTTGTTCCACTGCCAGTTGGACAGTCCAGTTTGAAATCCTTTGAGCTACGCGTATTCAGTGCCTTGCTGCTTTCAGTTTTAAAAGCACAGCTTAGTATCCTGAAGAATGGCATTAACTGTGTGATGCTCGAGATAGAACGAAGGTCCAAAAGAGGGAAGCTATAGTGCTTTGTTGCTCTCTCATTGGTAGTTTGATCCTGTAGGAACACAAAAATATAAAGTTGCACATACACATTTACAGGAATTTTGTTTAGTATATAAAATGAAACATGTATTGAATACTGGGATTTTAATTTTAATTTGGCAGTTTTTAACATTGTACAATTAGTTTATTTTACCAAAGCTTAGATAACAGGTTTTTCAATTCCAACAATTCCAACCGCTTTCCTTTTTTAGATTACAGTCATACTTTGGTTTTCGAACAGCTTGGTTGTGATTTGAGGACCCGATCCCCGCTTGGGGGAATGAAGACACATGGACACAGTATATTAGGTTAATGGGCAAGAAAAGGCCACAACTTTATTGATTACAGCATGTGAGAAGGTATTGGCTTAGGCATTGGACCACAGCTTATTTGACTCCACCCACTCGGAGAGGGCTGAGTCTGATGAGGGGTTAGCCACCAGTAGGGGGAGCCTGTTGATGCAAATACAACTATAAGCTCTCCCCTGATGTCACCGAGGATCGGGCCATGGCCCCCCGCCACACAGGGCATTGGACAGGATCCACAACCGCCAGATTCCTTTAACGGAATACCCATAAGTGAAGGGGTAGGCAATGGCCACACCTTGCCCTTCCATACACCAACAACACATTCCAATGCCTAACCACCAAATACCAAGAAAGTTCTGAAGCGCAATGGTGGGGAGAGCTGGCGCGGCCGCATGTGAGCAGCTAAACCACGCCCCCTGCAGTGGCACCCAACTGGGTGCCCAACTGGTAGGCGTGGCGCGATGATGAGAGGGCAGGGGGCAGAATGCCCCCTGCGTGACGCGAGAATCGTCTCCCGCTCATAATCCCTCCCCTCCGGAAGGAGGAGAGGCTTTCTCAAACATTTTGGCTCCTGAACGCTGCAAACCTGGAAGTGACTGTTCCGGTTTGTGAACTATTTTTGGAAGCCAAACATCTGGTGGGGCTTCTGCAGCTTCCAATTGGCTGAAGGATCAAAAAAGCGGCTTCCAGCACTGACCACCATGGCGATCAGTTGTGCCCATGCCAGCGGAGTCGCTTTGCGTGGCTAATTGAGGATGATATGGGAGTAATTATCCTCATAAAACTCCCCCCGGGCCGGGGGATGCTAGCTTCACCCGCAGATCGTCCAATACCTCCCACCCGTTCCAAAGGAATGCGGGGGGCAGAGGGTGCTGGGTGTTATGCACCGCGCGTAATCGACAACTCTCCAAAGCCAATGCCATGAGTGGAAGTACTCCTGTTAAGGTGATATTTGGACTTAATTAACAGGCATGCTCTGAATTAGGGGAGAGAGAGACTGATTCAGTTGGCAGGTTGTCTTGAGGGCTAAGGTTTCGATCTGGAGAAGGACTTCTGTCGCAATTGGAATGGTATGTTGGGGGGGGTGAGCCTCCATTTTTTACTCTCTCTATATATTTTATACATGCTGTTTTATTCGGCAAATCTCCCCCAAAGCGATAAATGATTTGAAAACGCAAGTGGGATTTGAAGACCGTTTGATTATTTCTATGGGTTAACTAAAGGATGGAACTGTGTAGAATCTTGATTAGGATTTGGCAACGACCCTAATTGAAACTATAAAAAGAATTATTGACTAGATTTATCAGGATTTTGGGAAGAATCTGCTCATTAACAGTTGGAATGAGATCACAGTACAAAATCTTGGATATCTGCCCGGGGTTAATGGCGGGATGCCACACTTCTTTGTCCTGGGAGTGATGCACTGAAAATTACCCTTGTGTGCAGAAATGAAACCAACAGAGTTGCTGAGACTTTTGGATGACAACAGGAAGAAGTAAGAAGAAGCTCAGAAAATATTCTACACAGAATAACACAGGATTAACCCTTTTGCTAAATTAACGGGTGGACTATTTAAAGGTGAAAGAAAGTTGTTGGATCAGTGACTGACAAAATAAAAGAAGGATTAACAAAAGAATTGTATTATTTGGACTAAGTTCTATTGCAGGTCATTAGATCATTATGGCCTGAACCTCAGATCATGGGAAGCCACACAAAGTTATGTGATTTGGTATGGAATAATATTATAATTTGGAATTGTATTAATGTGGCCTATTGGATTGTAAAAATAGAAAATTAATAAAAATATTATTTAAAAAAACCACAATTGGCTGAAGGAGCTTCCTGCAGCCAATCAGAAGCTACACTTTGGTTTCTGAACGTTTTGGAAGTCAAATGGACTTCCGGAATGGATTCTGTTCAACTTCCAAGGTACGACTGTACTGCCCTTTTTTTACTATGCTTGGGCATGGATTGTGCTAGCTGCACCATATGCTAGGCCACTATTCTGACTTGGAAGGCTTATTTATATTGTTGTCAAGGAAGAAGCATGATACAAATATACTATATAAAAATATAATCCGGACAGTCAGGATGTTTAGGTTTCAAAATGTAGCTAGGTAATCCTTCTAAACAAACTATGAAATCATTAGAACTATGAAAACCAACTGAAATTTAGATTTTACCCCATATTTCCGCTTTATTAAGTCCACAATTCTAACAATATGCGGTTTGCATTCCTGATGATTTTCCATTAGATCTGAGGATGTCATGCTGTAAGCCTGTGTGTCCACCTCTGGAACAAAGGCCCACCTGTACCTGGAAACAAAAGCATTTTGATATAAGGAAACATACATAGGAGGAAACTATTTTGAGAACATTGGCTAAGAAAGAAAAGAATAAACATTCTTGCCCAACTATTGTCAACAAGCAGCTTTATTTAAGGAGAAGGATGGTAGCTCAGCTCCCTCTTTTCCTGATTGTCATTTGGCAGAGCAGAACCTATATACTGACATTTTCTCCACATTCATCCAGATATGCTTGTCATTTTGATATGCTTTTCAGAAATTCTATTGTACTGAGGCATCTGATCAAGACCTGTATTTTAAAATGAGCTTAAAAAATATATTTGTAAATGTTTGTATCTTTCATGCCAGGCAGAAACCAGCTGGCTAAGTACTTTGGCAGATGTTTATCTCCTTGAACAGCCCCCTCCCTCCCGATTTATAACAGGAGACACGTTTCTCAAAGTTGAAAAGGGAAATACAGGCTGGGAGCAAAGGTTACATTGACCCTACAAATTACAGAATACAATCAAGCTGCAAAAACACTAATTAAGAGTTGGTAAATAGTAAAATTTATTGTTTAACAGAAGACTCGAGTCATATTTTCCTAAGGTTAAAGGGCAAGAGCTAATAGGAACAGCAGCTGGCTAGGAAAGGAAGTTGTAAACTAAAGAGGCTGCTTTCGAAGCTGTTTTACTGAGTCCTTTTTACTTTGAAACTGTTCCTTTTCTTCTAAAAATCTATCTATGTTATGTATGAAATATATTGGCTTAATGTAATTATGCAATGGCTTTAGAAAGTAAGAAATGTTAGATTCTTATATCATTGATGGTGTGTGAGAAGGTGAACCCAAGATCTCTGTTACCATGAGCCATCTGTTTTAGCCATCTGTTTTGGAGTGAATAGGGCAATAGGGTAATAGGGCAGCAGGGGCCAAAGGTTATCTGGTAATTAAGGTGCCTGGTCGAGGCAAATATAAGATATATGGCTACTTGTCTGCCATTTATGGATAGAAGGAAATATAGCTCTTTGTCTCCCATAAAAGGTAATAGGAAATGGGTGTATCTTTTATGATTGGTTCTAGCAAACAGCCAATAGGAATTTCAACCAGGCTGATTGGACAGAGGCAGCCAAAGGAGGAGCAAGGGGGCTGGGCTGAGGAAATATAAGTGCTGGCCATCAGGGCTGGAGTGGGCAGAGCTTTGGTAACCATATACCACTGTGTCTCTCATTTATTTGTCTGACAAATAAATTATTATTTTAATTTCTCTATTGCTGCGTTGAATATTTCATTCCAGCTAAGCGTTAACCACAAGCAGGGTGCTACAGTACTACAAGGACAACACTAATGTTTCGATTGGTTTCAAACACTGAAATGAAGCACCAATGTGCAAAATCTAGTTTGAGACTGCAGTAGTTACTTTGATGTAGCAGGCCTCATTTGTTTTCTGCAAGAGTGCTTAACCTGCAGTCTGGATGCAGCTGCCCAGCTATGGGAAATGGCTTGTCCGCCCCTACAGGCTTATCTGCTGATTTGATTGAGATAAAGTATTCTCCCTGATCTTTAGACGGCAATCTCTACAGACCAGCCAGAGTACTTTATCTCTTGATCTCAGGAAATAAGATCCCTCTGGCTGCTCTTTCAAGAGTAAAATGCAGTATTTCCCCTCATCCCAGCAATGGATGGGATATGCTGCCTTTTTACTTTGCACAGATCCTTTTGTGCACAGTAAAAGGCAGTGTTTGTAACCACCTGAGTGCTCTGGGAGGAAGCGCTGGCAATGCTGATAATGTGTGTTTGTGTGAGTGCACATATGAGAAAGTGAGCATGAGCTGTGTGACTGCATGTCTGGTGAGGGTCCATGTGTTCTGTAGTATGCATGTGTGCGCACTCCCACACTTGCATTGGCCATGTTTGCCACTGACACATGGTTCTCAGAGGGGTGAATGACCGTTAAAACAGCCCACAGGTTGAAAAAGGTTAGTCCCCCCCCTATTCTATGGGAAAACGTCAATGAAGTTATGCCAGTTCACCACTGTTCTTTATGGCCCTTTCACTTAAGAAAACAATTTTATTCTGGGAAGCCCTTCTCATGTAGAAAATTGTGAGGTTCTCTATACAGTCCTTATATGTGACAAGTGTAAATGTCTATTCTACTGTGGTGAAAACCTATTTCTGGTTAAGGAATGAGTTAATCCTCCATAAATTGGTAAAAAATGTGTTCTTTTCCCCCAGGATGCAGCTACAGACAACTTGTGACTGTCTTAGTCTTTGTGCTGTGCAGCCTTAGCATTCAGTTCTGGCCTATATCAGAAGCATTCTGCATGGAGAAATATTGTGGAGAAGAGACAGAAGACTGAAGTTGCAGGAGTTTGGTGGCCTTGGACTTGCTGAGAACTTTAAGCAAGGACTCTGAAAGCTGAAAACCTTCTCTGGGCTCAGAGAGAGAAGCCTTCTTGAAGTAACTGTATAGTGTGTTTTGTATTTATTAAGTAAAACAACCTCTGTTACACTTCGGCTGTTGTGGGAAATTGAATCACTTTGCTGAACTTCTGACAGCACACAATCATCCAACAGGCTATTGGGCACAATCATTCAACTTGTTTCGGTTCAACACACATGACCAATGGACAGCGCCATCTCTCTTCCTTCATGCCATCAGGGTGGGAGCAACTAATGTAGGTTTGGCAGTGAACTGCGCAGAGGACATTAGTGGGGTGCCTATTCTTATTGCAGCACCATAAACTAAACTATCACACCACAAAGGCAAAAAGGCACCCAGCACATTTTCTACTTATGAATTAAAAAATAATAACAAAAAAAACCGCAGGACCGCTTTGCATCTTGCAGATGAAGAGTGTACTCAGTTATCACATACAGCCACCAAAAGGGAGGTACCCAAAGAAACTAAACAAAATCAATAAGTGAAACACAGAAACCATCAATCTCCAGGAGTCAAACAAATCTATGCAGCAAAGAGAAGAAAGGCTTACAGAACATGTGAAGTCTCCAGGTGGCAATGCGGCACTAGGAAAGCAGGATACAATCTGGCCTCCCTGCGTATGGATCGCTCACAAACAGAAAAAGGGCCAGGGGAAAAATGCAGCAAAGGGATGTACAAGGGCTGCCTGATGACCTTCACATGCTCTCATTTCTCAACATGCTGCACTATCTGACTGTCATAGGAATAAAAATAAGCATGCTTACATCTGAAACAATTGCATCTTGTCAGGTGGGAAAGAAAGTGCAGTGTCCAAGAATTTGCAGGCTGATAAATACAAGGAGAGCTCATTCTGCTGTATGTCTCCAAGCAATGGGCCATTGCCCTCTGATGTTTTCTGTTTACTTATTTTACTGTTGTGCCTGTGAAATTAATAAATATGAAAATTAAGGAATACATAGCTAGCTATATTTACTCTTGGATTTTTAAAGAAAAGGTAATTGCTGAATAAGAGGCAAACCAAAAAATGACTTACAAATTTATATCCTTGCAGTTATATCCCACCTTTCTTCTATCATGTACCTCAGGGAGACCCTGGGGTTTTTCTAGGAGGTCTCCCATCAGCCACTTACCAGAAACCTGTTTTAACTTCAGCAAGTTGGTGGCTTCATGTGCTTTCTTACCATATCCTGGGTGAAGCCCTGCCTAACAGGTGCATACGTATAGATCTGATGCCCTCTTATGGGAAAAAGGCGGGAGGTGATTTTAAAGGGGAAAATGGCACGCTAGGAAAAGGCCAAAGAGCTCCCTACTCAAAATCACAGTTGTTTTTCATAAAAGGAAAATGAGAGAGCTGGGACTTTGTGTGTAACCTGCAGCTTGCTTCTGCGAGGTAGCAGCTATTAGAAATGCTATTTATGAAACAAATGTGCTACATCTGAAAAGACTTTGGAAGGTGGTTATCGAGCCCCCAGAGGTTATGCTCCACAGGGAAAGGTCCACTATGGCCTCAAATGTTTTCTCGAGGACTTTCTCCCATGTAAGCAAATAGATGATATTCAAATAAAATGCTAAGCCAGAACAATTTATTGGCAATAGCAGTATTCATTATAGCATTCAAATTTCTGATGATGTGAAATTTGCTCTTTTATCAAATATTCCAACCCATCCAGCAAAAAAAGGGCACATCACTATTCTATCCCACATATCTTACTTTTCAGCTTTCAGAAATACAACTTCCGAATAAGGAGCTATTCCACTACCAAATCTTTTGTGTATCTGAAAGCTTTGGCTTCTCTTTTCCTCCCTTAAAATTACTGGCCTGGTTTGAGACAAATGTTCATTCCCTGAAGTGACTGCAATATAAAAACTATGATCTGCATTTGTGAATGAGCCACCACAGTCTAGTAACACAGACAGAACTCTCAAAGTCATTTCAAGTACATTTCTTTTTCAATTTAGTCTGGCCACACATGTCAGCTGTCACCAGGTGCTGAGTTATCAGATGTTGAGGGAAAAATATATATAAATGCATTCGTAGACCAGCCCATTGTCTTCCCTACAATGATCCTCATCCTATTTTATTTGTGTAAAGCTGGGAACACAAATTACCTCACATCAGGGTCAGACTAACAATCCATCTAGCCCAGTATTGCATATTGAGGCTGAAAGTGGCTCTGCAGATTGTGCTCTCCCCCCCATCCCAATTATTTGCTATTTGATCCTTCTAACTGGAGATGCTAGGGACTGAACCAGACTTCTGCAAGGACAGCAAGAATTCTACCACTGAGCTATGGCTCTTTCCCAAAGCAAGCAGACTTATGAAACAGGTCACAAGGTCGCAAGCAACTACAACTGCCACATTGAATGGTCTCACCAAGGATCATCTGTTTATTATGTACAGCAAAAAATTCTTACTTTGCTGGTTCCTCCTCTTCAGCTAAATCTTCCTCTAACTGTATAAATGCTTGAATCTGGGTAGCAGAATTGAAAGAAGAAACCAACAAGGTATTAATATATACAATTCAATATTAGCTTCACATTACATTATGCATATAGGAACTATCTCAAGGCTCAACTGTCAACAGTTTACTGAAATTTCCTATTAGTTACACCAGCAGTGGGAAAACCTTTTGGCCTGGTGCGCTGGATTTTTATCTGCCCCCCGATAAAAGTGCTATAGGTCTGTTCATGTGGGTCATTCATTTTAACTTTTTCAATAGTGAGACGTTTAACTTATTTAATTTGCTTGCTAGTGCTTTATTGCAAAACGGCTTCCTCAGCCATTCTATTTAGGGTTGTTTGACTAAAGTAAGAAGAAAGAGAAGTGGAAGATATAATGGAAATGACATATATATATAATGGAAACAACCCTTTGAGGGCTGGCTTTTGGATCTATAAATTTGGCGCTACGTTTGGACTTAGATTAGGGTCTTATCTTTAGGGTTCAATCCTGGTGAAAATTTCGGCTTTCGGATTGAAAATCAGCTGATATTGTAAAACCTTACACTATAAATTTTCTTTTCTGCAATGTTACTCTTATTCTTCAACAAATAACTATTTACTTTACTCTTGATCAGGAACTGCTGATTAACTGGGCTACTCCATTTCCCCTCAAGGCCTAGAGTCTACAAGTCTGGCGGTCTAGAGAGCTACCTACACAGGAATCTATTATGCTTCTGCTAAAATAAGGCACCTTCCTAGAAGGGCAAGGCCTCAAATGATGTTTCTTTACTGCTTAGCATTGAGTTCTGTGAAGTAGATTGATCTGCTCTAGCATGAAATGATATGTGGGAAGGTTCATTTTGCTTAGTGCTGGGTTTTGGTGTGCAAAGCCTCTTTAGGCCAAGCCCCATCCTTATTTGCCCCAGATATGATGCCAGGTATGATGTCAGGTATGATATCAGGGACGTGGGTGGCGCTGTGGGTTAAACCACAGAGCCTAGGACTTGCCGATCAGAAGGTCGGCGGTTCGAATCCCCGCGACGGGGTGAGCACCCGTTGCTCGGTCCCTGCTCCTGCCAACCTAGCAGTTTGAAAGCACGCCAGTGCAAGTAGATAAATAGGTACCGGTCCAGCGGGAAGATAAACGACGTTTCCGTGCGCTGCCCTGGTTCGCTAGAAGCGGCTTAGTCATGCTGGCCACATGACCCGGAAGCTGTACACCGGCTCCCTCAGCCAATAAAGCGAGATGAGCACCGCAACCCCAGAGTTGTCCACAACTGGACCTAATGGTCAGGGGTCTCTTTTTATGATGTCAGCTGCAGGGTAGGTGGCCATGGCTTCCTACAAATGGGCTTGCAAGCCAAATGCCAAGACCTGGGGGGCCAAGTATGGACTATAGAATGGAGGTTCCCCTGAGATTTTGAAGGCTATTGTCTCATCTTGTTTCTAAGGACCATTTACCAGCTCTGTCACCATGATCGGCCATAATGAAGTTAGGTGCTGAGGGGAAATTCTTAGCAAAAGAACCCTGAAGAACAGAAACATCTGGGCAGCTACTACAGAAGTCTGTCCAACACGCAGGTTGTCAGTCAGTCGCTCTAGAATAAAATTTACAAAAAGATTTAAGACACTTTTGTATTGAACTGTAATGAATCAGGAGCGCTAAAACGTATCTGGCTGGCTTAGTTATATCATCCTGGGACTGATCAAGCTTCTTACCCATTGGAAAATTATTACACATGAACTAGGATAACAATTACAGTTGCAAAATAATGTCAAACTGCATAATATGATCATAATGCTCAGTCCCAGTTAGTAACCTGGCAGCCATATTCGGCACTAATACAAAAGAGTCTTCAGAAAGCAGCCCACAAGGAATACCAGTTGCCCACTCAAAATGTGTCCAAGAATCGACAGACGCAGCAGTGGCGAAAAAGAAGGCAAAGTTTATTGCTGAGCAATAAACACCCAGTGGAATATTTTCCAGAGCCTGGGTCCTGGAGCCCCTTGGGCATTGGGTTTATATACCTGATTACAAACAGTGCTATTATATTGCAGCAAAATCAAGCCAATGAGCGGGGCAAGAGCCCTTCCTATGCCCATGTAAAGAATACTTCTGCTTTTCCATATTGTGCATCATGATGCCCTTTACCCTAATTTTCAGCTATAAAGAGGAAAAGAAACCTATTTGACAGTTGAAGCCTGAGTAACCCCCCCCCATCTGTTATTGGGCTAGAACATTGCATTCTGTGGCAGACTTCTCTTTCCTGTCCCCCATCTCACGAGCATGAGAAACAGTCTGGGGAAGGTTCCCTATAGAAAAATGCCAACACATCAGATTTATTGTTGCCTTCAAGCACAATAGCCGGCCAGAGAGAAATAGGGCAAAGGTAGACTTTGGATTCCTGAGATTTAGCCACTTGTAGCCCTACTGAAGCCTTAGTGATTTAAGCATCATTAGGATACATGGATATATAGAAATCATAGAGGTAAAATTCTCCCAGGCGGTCTTGCCACAAGGCTAGGGTCACAGCTAGTATACCAGGCTAAGCAGGTTGAAGGAACCTTGTGCTCCAGAAGCAACTTGTGCCTTTAGTGATGGACCAAGGATCATCCTTAAGCTGCAGGCTTGTCCCTCCAGGGTGTGCAAGGCTGTCTAACATAGGACAAACCCTTGAGCAGAAGAATCACTGATCCACATTACCTCTGTTTTGTCTGGACTGAGCTTGGGTTTACTGGTCCTTATCCAGTGTATTAGTGAAAATATAAGCACTGATTTAGTACTTCCACTGCTTTACTCAGATTTGATGAAAATGGGACTAAGAGATGGGTGCCACTGGTTTATTGATGACAGCTCATCCCAAACCTCCAGAAGACCTCACTCAGTGGTTTCGTGCAGATATGACGAGGGAGAAACATGCTTGACCCCTTACTAAGGGGTGGAAGACTATTCCCCCAGAACCACCTCCAGAGATTGCCTATCTAGATAGGGATGGAACTGCTGCAACACAGTGTCTCCAATTTCCACTCCAGTCAGACTATTCTGAAGGGTATAGAGCTCTGTCTCTAAAATCAGAAGATGAATTTGCATCCCTCAGATTTAGAGAAAACTCAACAGACCCTCATTCTGTGAGCAATGCACCTCACTGCCAACTTGGAACCTTCACTTGGCTCCATTCATCTGTAATATCAAATCATAATTTGGCTTTTGCATAAGCAAGCATCAGGCTCATTTTCCCTCCACGTCCCCCTTCTTGCATGCTCCAATGCCCTTCCCTGCATGGCAGATCATAGTTTGTTGTTGCATTTTAACTGGCAAACTATGCTTTGTGATTGCCCTCCAAATCAGAATTTCAAACCTGTTTTATCCTGATTTGCAGTTCTGCTTTCCATTTTATATGATTTGGTGTAAAAGAGGAAGTGCAGGAGGATATGAGTCTGTGGATTGTTTATGTAACACAATGGTTTGTTGTTGTTAAATGAACTGAGCCTATATGTATGCATGCTTCTTTCCATTCACATCTTTTACTGAACATCTGTGAACAATGCAAACTTTAACACTCACCTTGTATTAAAGGAAGGTAAAGGTGATATTGATCAATTTCTCCACTGAAAACTGCAAAGGCCTGACGCTTTAACAACATTGCCTTTTGCTCAAAACTTGGAAAAAGTTTTAAAGAACTGCTCTGCATAGCTGTAATCAAGAACAGAATTGCTATTAACATCAAGTTGTTTTTATATATAAAAACAGCTGCTGCCTTGATAAAAAGTTTAATTGGTTGTTTTCTTCTTGATTTGAACTTTCTATTAAAAGTAATGGGATAATAATTATGAAAAAATACTTACTCATCAAATCTTTAAACATAGTTTTCTCATGTGTCAGAAGATGATCGATAATGGCTCGCCAACTGAAGAAATTTAACAATTAAGTAAAGTTTAGTGTAATTTAAGTTTAACTCTTCTAGCCCCTTGTGTGAAGCAAGCACAAAGAAAGATGACATTTCTTTCAAAGTCAACCAGGTGCTGGGCAGTAAAATTGTGCAAATCTTGTGCTTAGTTTATGATGAATGCAGACACTGACAACTCCAAGCTGCACAGTTTATCACAATTTCCTACACATGACAGTCTAACTTCTCTTTAGAAAATTTCATATTGATATTGAAACAGTCCTGAGGGACTTTAGTTTTTTACCATGCCTTGCACATCTTTAAAATAATGTATTAGAATAGATGCAGATGTATTGTAATCAAAGTTTCAGTTAAAAATACTCTCTCAACACAGTGACGATAACCTGCTCTTTTTCTAAAGACCAATGTTTTTCTGAATGAAATCACTGGAAAATTAGCAACTTTAGAGAGATTCCAAATTAAAAGTACAACTTCATTGTAATCTACTGGAGTTTATCCATTTGTACATTCAGAAGCCAACAACAAGACTGCCCGAGTCATACACCTTACTGAATGCATGAAGTATCCATCTGGAAGAAAGCTGGATCCATATATAGTTCTAAGACATCTTTCTTCCATGCGCGCTTGGTATAAGCATAGCCACTTAAAGAACTGAGCAACTGTGTACTAGCACGAAAGCTAGGAAGATTGTAGGCACTGTAAACAAACACACACAACAGACAAATCACTTACTTTCCAAATATGTATGTCACTCACATGCTCCCAAAACTGAGAGACTTCATAGCAACATTCTACTTTAACCTTGTTGATATTCAATAAGATAATTATTGATTGAACAAAAAAATTATGTTAGTTGCAAGGAAAATTAATGTGTTATCTTTTCCAAGCTCAGATCTGGAGTCAGTACCACCAGCAAGCAGAGGAACCCTCTCATGGCTGATAAATTATTATGTTCTTCTTTTGACATTTCTAACTTCTGGCAATAAGATTGCTGCTTTGCTGCTTTGTATTCAAGGAGCAACCTTAAGCCAAGTCATATCTTGTAAGTCAGGACTGTCAGCTGGAGAGGAGTACCTGTTTCCATAGTTGAACCTGAATTCTCATTGTACCCTCCCAAATTTCCACATACTTCCATGCCAGTCAAGCATCCATTTCCCCACCATCAGAAAAAAAGCATCACAATTACTATGCTCTCGACTCGTTTCAATAAGGATACGTGTGCTATCTTGGCAGTAGGCAGCAATCACTTAATGCTTGGCAGATCTATGAAGATTACAAAATAACAGTCTTGGAAGAGCTTTGACCTTGAAGCAAGGAATCTGCCCAAGTTAGGTCCCCAAGTATGGTGCGTATATTGCATGAGTTATATATAGGTGATGTAAGGAAAAATTTATTTACCTGTGATTGCGTAAGTAAGGAAACACATAATATAGCAAACGCGAGATCAAAGGCACTGCTTTCTCTTTTTCATCACTCCGGTAAACCATATCCAGCAGAGAAGCAAGAACCTATGGAGAAAGAACGTTCCATTTAAAAAAGAACAGCTCTTCTGATTTCACAGTAATCCTGAAAATTGTGAAGTGTCAAATTTCCAAAACAAAATAAAAAAATTCCTTCCAGTAGCACCTTAGAGACCAACTAAGATTGTTATTGGTATGAGCTTCCATGTGCATGCACACTTCTTCAGATAGATTTCCAAAACATTAGCAATGCAACTGATGCATCCCCTTTTCCCTCCTCCATGGCTGGCTTAATGCTGTATGCTCAAGCAGCTCTGCCTGTTAATGGAGGGTCAGTGAACATGCAGAGCTTTCACTTATGGAACATATATATAGGAAGGATAGTGGCTATAGAGCGGTTTCCCTCTCAGAGTAAAAAGAAATCAGGACTCACCTCTGCAAGGATAGAGAGGGCCTGAACACTGTACACGGATGGGGCAGAGGCAGAGACCATTGAAGAAGGTACTGTTGATGTATCTGTAGAAGAAGGAACATTTTCTTTTTCTTTCATGCTCTCCCTTAAACTTTTTCCCATTAGTAGTGGGTGTTTTTTGGGGGGGTGGGAGACCGATGGTTAGAAAGTTGTTCTGAAGACATTGGGCAAGACTTATCTAGTCTGAATGTCTAGCCACATGCCTTTAAAACAAGCAAATCAGCTTGTTCTTCACCAAACAGAAGGCAACAAGCATTCAGAACCCAGTGTGGGGCATTAAAAGCAAATAAAGGATGGAATACCCCTGGGTCCCCAATGGCTTTCCTGCTCTAAAGTTCAACCTCACGGCTTTGCTTCCCCCCCTTAAACACATCAGCATTTAATGTGTAGTTAGAACTACAAAGACCCCAAGCTGCATTTCCTTATGGAAAAACCAGCTGCTGGGGGCTCTTTATTTATGCACACAAAATGCAATGTGTTGCCAGTCCCTGAATTCAGCAGTTTAAAATGCCCTTTAAAGGGAAGCTGCCGTTGCCATCCCCATTTTCTTTTTGGCACCAAGTGAAAACCTTCTCAATTATATTGGCCTTTTAGCGATCCATTTTATGTTTTTATTTTTGCAAGTCACATATTTTGGCTGAAGAGTAGCTGATAAATCAAGTAAATTATTTAAAAGAGAAGCTCTATAATGGAAGGAAGAAAGTTGCTGGATATTTGTGTGATCAAATGCTTGCACAATTCTGAGGAGACTTCGCCTCTTAAAGTGTTTCAGTCTGACTTGGGAATATCAATCCATTTATCTTCTGATTCTATAACTAATTTATCTTAAAAGTCACACACACACACACCTCTCCAGCTTTGCTAACCTAATGACTTTTACTGTTTCCTTTTTTCTATTATCTACCTTCTAAAGAGTCTGTGTGCTGTGGTCAGTACTCAAGGGGCAGACAGAAATGAAAAGGCATATTTGAAGCATCTCTGCCCCACCTTAAGCCAAAAATAGGGTTCCAGAGGGGCTTACAAAGATTAGTAATAAGACAGCCCCTGCCTTCAAGCTCACAGTCCCAAAGGCATGAGACACACATGGAAAAATGAATGGGGAGAGAGGAGGGGGAATCTCAGGTACTACTTCTCAAAGTCACATATCTTACAGTAACCATGTGGGACAGAAATAGTTCAAGTAACTTGACTGAATGTCTCTAGGGAACAACTGGGGAAGAGCTAAAGGCAACTGGTCTCAGCAGATGTGATGGAAAAGCTCTGCTGTTTCTCCTCTCCAGTTCTATATTATCAGTTACCTAGCTAAATGAATTTGTGCTCCAAAATGGAAGCTGGTGGAAGAGCATTGTGTGAAACCTAAACATTCCTTATATGGCCAGTGTTTTTTAATTGCCTGATCCAACTTCTTCCCTCCACCTTAAGCAGACCTGTGGGACTAAAATGCTTGTATAAAACAACAGCTAGCCCACAGAACTGTCTCCATTTTTCTTACCGCAGAAATCATCTTCAGCCATGGGCTCATCTAAAGCAACCTGAGGCTGAGCTTTCACCTCCAGATTCCTGCTCAGCCAGCTAGTTTGTTCTAGCGAAGAACCAGCAACATTCCCGACGGCTTCCAATATTTTCTGGGTTACCTCCTGAAAGGGAAAGCAGAGTAAGAGAGACGAGTGATTCATGCATATAGACATCACTCAGGGCATTTTGTCTTATGGAAGTAATATTTGTTTTATTGTGAGAAGGGAGACAAGTGGCAAACCAAAAGATCACTTTACTCCATTTGATTCTGTGAAGGCAGTGCATGCTACAGAGTCATTCCCCCTCCCCACCAAATACTGAACCTCTTGCTGGAGGTTCAGTGTGGCTAATGTGTGATGTGCAGTTTGCAAGGCATTTGTGACATGCCTATTGGCCCATTAGAATAATGAAATTTTCATTTTTCTATTAAAAAGCCACCCTAAAAGTTCTGTGGGACATATTGTAGATCTATAACTACATGTTGGCTATGTTCTTTTTGGACTTATTTTCTGGGTTCAAGGGTAAAGTACAGAAGGAAGAGCTCTGTTGGGTTGAAATAAACGACAGACGAATGACAAGTGTCATATGGGAGGCATCTCCCGAGCATGTCTCGGAGAGTCCCTTTTATTGAATATTACAGCATTGCCACATATGTGCTTGTTGCTGATTGCTTAACACAAATACAATGCAAGGGCATTAATCATCAATAGATTAAAGGTTGGGAAAGGGAACACATGGTTAGACAGGTATGAAAACCTCCTTAATAAACTATTACTAGTGATTGATATAGCATGACTTAAAAGAACATAACAATCGCATTCCGTAGATGTGGTCAACCATGCATTAAGAACAGGTCAGGGTACGATGTTTCATGAACTCAATGTGAACTGAACATTCTAGGGTGGTTTGCCAAACTCATGTGCAGAAGCAGAACTTCCCATCATCTCCCCCTTCTTTTTTTTTTTTTTGCGAGATGTTGCTATGTGATTTCAGGGTGGATGGGACAAAAATACTTTGGGATACGTGGTTTGCCACGTGATCTTAATTAGAAACCAGTTGGTTTCAATGTTCTTCATCCAGATTTTGGCACAATTTATGACTTAGTTGTAATAAGGAAAGCTGAAATATTTAAGGATGAAAGTGAAGGAAAAGAAACAAAGAAGGTGAGTATCTTGCTACAAGTCATAAATTAATGAAGGACTAATTATTAATGAGAAGTAAAATTGTTCAGGGGTACCAGAGAGAACCAGAATGTGGTTTGAGATCCGAAATGAAAGGGGGGTTTCTATTACAAAGAAGAGAGAGACTTTGGGAACAGGGGGCACTCTCTCAATGTTTTCTTACATCTTTTAGCTTACACTGGTTTCCCTCCCTCTCCCAACAGCATCTTTCATGAGGGTGTGCTGACTTGGTGTTATGGGGTGGGGGAGAACAGGTCTGTGATTTCTGCATTTCCTTGGGCAAGCTTGTCTGTTTGCTAAGAGGCCTTAGAGAGGCTAGATTTTTCTTATGGTGTTTACTATTTCATTATGTTTTTGATTGTCGCTATTTTTGCTCAGGAATCTTCCAATGGAAAACCGAAGCCCTCACTTACAGCAAGTCTGGTAGGTATGGACCTTTGATTTATCATCCCCCAAAGCCTCCAGTTCTGCCTCACAGAAGCAGAACCGTTTTGAAACCATGGGCCAGATCTTTAGCAGGATCTGCCTCATTGGTAAAATTTGGCAGGTGGGTGGGGCTGCCCATCTGCCAGTCAGCTGACATCACATGACTTAGTGCTTTGAAGTCCCTAATTTGTACCTCACAGGTAGCAAGATCCTGCTAAAACAAAGGTTTTCCCCTTTTGTCTTAGTACCTGCTTCAACGGAAGACCCTGCTGATGCAGTCAATTTATATGGATTGAATTTAGAACCCGTTTTTCACAACAAGCTAGTGGTTTGGGACTATTAAGCATATATCTTCCATTAAGTAGTCAAGTTTGGTGCATGACATGGGGGAGCAGGGAGAAATCAAGATCTACATGTATGAACTGAAAACATGCTATGGAGTACCTGCAGGTCTTTCTGATCCTTCTTGTTTTCCTGGTTTGGAGTTCTAGTCACAAAATCATTCAGAGTGCTGCAGAAGAATAAGCCCAAGTTAGTGTACCATTACACTACTAGTGTACACTATGAGTGTGCTACAATTGTAGTGTGCAAAAACAACTGCTGCTGCCGTACCTGAGAAGCAAGAAATAACCAGGTGGTGCCAAATTCAGCTGCACAGATTCCTTCAATACTCCTAACAACGACTGGAAGTTCTCCTGCAAGGCTATGACAGGAAGTCTGAGGGAAAACAAAAAACACACACAAAGCCATCAGTTCCAGTGCTGAAAAATACTGAAACCATGCACACTGCAAGTATCAGATAGGGGCTTACACGAAAGGCTATTTTGTTCAGTTTCATGTTGAAGATTAACCATTAATCATATTCTTGCTGTCAGGCAATTTATGCAATTCGTTGAGATAGCAGTGAATACACAAGTGCTCTAACTTACTTCAGAGCCTTCATGGTGAAGTGAGGAATAAAAGAATCCCTAAGTGAATACATTTCTGGGACATTTACAATGACAAAGGAACACTGCCTTCAGCTATACACTAGGTTGGGTACCCTATTAAAAACCCAGTTTCAGAATGGATAAAATCTGATACATCAACAATAAAAGTATGATTTAGGAAATAATTTTTTAAAAATTGTTTCATTGGCCGTAAGAGCACTATTGACCCTAAGGGCACTGAATCACACCAAAAGGACCATGAGTTTTGCACACAGAATATGTAAATGAGATTGTTGCAAACACATAATGACTGCTAGCTGATTGAAAATTGTATCTGTGTGATACATGTTTGTTGCACTCATGCAATATGTCAACATGTACAAAGAAAAATAAAGCAATGCCAAACTAAAGTCAAGAAAGGGTCATCCTCCTAGCCAGCATTTATTGTGCATCAATACTGTGCCTATCATATGAATTGCATAAGTCCCCTATTCAGACATCTTACAATCCTCCACACAATCATGTAGGTGTCCAAGATTGGACTGAAATCATTGTTAATTATGACCTTTTTGGACTTATTTTCTAAGCTCTGTGCAGAGGGAGCAGACCCAATAACAGTGTGAAGCAAAGTTTGGTTTCAGGAAGCAATAGTGATCCACAAGGCCCGGGAGCAAAAAGATGTGGGCCAAGCATTCTTTTTTGTGTTTTTATTAAAATATTTTTTTATGACTAACACATGTACATTCAGTTTTCAAAACGTTGAATCCTTCGTCAGTTACATTCAGTTTGATACATCATTGTTAGGGGACGTTTTTGTGTCAGTATCACATGGGCGGTATGATTCTACTTTGTGGATGTCTTTGAACGGCTATGAGATAGAGACAATTTTGAAGGAGGAGCACCAGGTTTTAGGAATGGGGGCCCCTTTATGATGTCATTAAACAGGCTAGTCATGTGGGGCATCAGGGTTTCTTTGAATTTCTTGTTGAATTCTGCTGTAAAGCCATCTGGGCAAGCGGCTTTGTGTTGTTTTAGGTCTTTGAAGACAGTCTCTATTTCCTCTGGGGTAATAAAGCTGTCCATGTATTCTTGTTCCTCTGCTGTTAATAAGGTTGCCAAGGGCAATCCTGCCAGGAAATATTTAATTCCCTGTTTGGGCAAGTTCTGTGAGTTTTAATTCTCTGTTTGGGCAAGTTCTGTATATATTTGAGTACAATTCAACAAATTCTGAGATTACTTCTTTAGAGGAGAATGTTACATTGCCATCCTTCTGGGTGCGGCAATGTATTTTTGTTTTGAGTGATTTTTTCCTGCATCTGTTTGCTAGTAGCCTTGGGTTTATCCCTTCAAATTTGTAAAAACATTGTTTTGGGAACAGGATGCTGATCATTGTCCTATTAATTTCTAGTGAGTCAATCTCCCTTCTTTTATGTTCTATTAGTTTAAGGAGTTTTTATGGTTCCTTAAATTCTTGAGCACAGGGGGTCATTCTTTTACAGTTTTATTGTTGGAAAGTTGACACTGCCTTGCTGTCAAAACTGGGAACTTTGTACCTCAGGAGAAATTAATCTTTTATTTTACTTTAATAAGAGAGAGGGCTGGATGGCCTAAGTTTTGAAATGTTCCAAATGTTTTAATAAATTCCACCATATGGGACACTACAGAATTAATATTTTTCTTTTAAAGAGCGTATTTTCCCTGTTTAGAAGTTGACACCGTTAGTTTGGGCAATTAGGATGACAAAGGGAGGGGAAAGATTTACAACCTCTCTCTCAGCCAGGTACCAAATGGTGTCAAGATTCCTCTTCTTGGCCTCAACAATATTTATGACCCAGTTATGATAATGAAGTTGAAGGAGCTCAGGTTACAATGAAGATGAAAAGAATAGACAATCCAGAATCTGGAGACTGTCGCCATAAATTAAGTATTCATTTAAATGAGTAGTACATTCTTCAGAGGTGAAACAAGACAGAAAGAACCAATGACCTCAGTGTTGGAAATAATCTGAAATGAAAGCAGTCTTTACAATGAAAACAAAGATGTGCTACTCCTTATCTTTCTATCCTGATCTTGTGTCCTTTTCACAATCCTTCAACCTACATGGTGTTTTTCCTTCTCTCTCCTAAATGCTACAGCTTGCAGGTTTGGAGCTACCTTCTCATTATATTTTGCATTTTTGGATGACTTTTGACCTGGAGCCTTCAACTGAAAACCACAGCAAATCTTGTAGTGGTGCACACTTTGACTAGCTTGTTAATTAGATAGTTAATCATTCTTACTGTTTCTGCAACGCATTTGCTACCTCTGGTAAAATGAATTAAGTTGCTACCATGCCTCACAATATCTTACTGCAGCAATAGGGCACTTGGGAGCTATTTGTATTAACTCTTTTGCAGCTCATGCTATTTGAACAAAGTAGTTCTATAGTTCTCAGCATCAGGACCAAAAAAAATCACTGTAAGCATGCTGTGCAATAAAAAAAAAGGAAAGAATAGAAAGCAAATGCATTAATGTTTGTAGTTAAAGGTAAAGGGACCCCTGACCATTAGGTCCAGTTGCGGATGACTCTGGGGTTGCGGCGCTCATCTCGCTTTACTGGCTGAGGGAGCCGGTGTACAGCTTCTGGGTCATGTGGCCAGCATGACTAAGCTGCTTCTGGTGAACCAGAGCAGCGCACGGAAACACCGTTTACCTTCCCGCCTGAGCGGTACCTATTTATCTACTTGCACTTTGATGTGCTTTCAAACTGCTAGGTTGGCAGGAGATGGGACCAAGCAACAGGAGCTCACCCCGTCGTGGAGATTTGAACCGCCGACCTTCTGATCGGCAAGCCCAAGGCTCAGTGGTTTAGACCACAGCGCCACCCGCGTCCCACCTAATGTTTGTAGTTACTGGATTCAAAAAGAAGTAGAAATGTATAACAGCCTAGAAGCTCATTTACCTTTGTATGAAAGCATAGCAGAACTGGAGCACTGGGATATCCACTAGAGAAGATTTCTGGAAAGAAAGAGAAAACCCTATTACCAAATTACAAAGAAAACACAATAACGCAAATTTGAAACATATTACAGGCAAAATAATCTACAAATTATTTCAGTGATGACTTGCTTCTAAGTAAACTTGTTTACGTAGTGGTTTTGTAGAAATAAAACTGTAATTTCAAATTTCCTACAAGTTGTTTACAAAAACCAGGGACACCTGCAGTTCCTTGCAAGACACTTGGGTTTGAATAGAGATCCCAAATTAGCCATGCTATCCCAGATATATACCCTCTTGTTTACTGTCTTGGATAACCCTCAAGTTACTATGTGACTGACCAAATCTGAATGCTAATCAATTCTGTATGCTGCTCACAATCCTTTAAATAGTGATGAGGCAAAACCAAGAGCTCCTGGTCTATTCCCACCTTTCAGCTCATTTTATCCTCTCACTAACTTCTTCATTAAAGAACTAATCAACTTAAGGAATTAGTAGGCTGATGAGCAATTGAAACTTCCTAATTTGTGAGTAACAGAGATTATAGACAGAGTAAAAACGACACCTACCTCTTCACCTTTGATTTGGGATGGTTTCTTTACAACTTCTTTTACAAGCTGCAATATAGTGTCTGTCTTCAGAGTATTTAGGGCACAAACTAGATCAAGAAGTATAAGCTGAGATGCACTAGCTGCGGGAGGAATCTGAAACAAAAACATACATAAAGGACCACCCCTTGTAAATTGATTTGTAACATGCCTTTTCAGAAATATCTGGTTCTATTCTACAAGCATGCACAGGAGCTGAAACTGTGGTGTTCAGACACAGGAAAAACAAGAAACCAGGCATACTGCGTGCGTGGGGGGGGGGGGGTGTCCCGGCAAATGCTTTGAAGTAGTCTTTGCCAACCTGGTACCCTCTAGATGTTTTGAAGTTTTCCCTTATCATTGGGCAGGGGAATGAACTATTTATCACACCACATTTGTGATTTCTTCTTCTCCTTTACCTTTGTTTTGTTTTGATGCCTGTGAAATTTTTTGCTGCTCCACACTGCTGCTACTGCAGCTATAAGTTGCACCCCAAGCTGCCCAGTGAGGGGATTCAAGAAGTCAAGGATTTTATTCTTCAATGTCTATAAAAAAGAAAACAAACATTTCTTCTAGAATGGGTTTGGATGGAATTTGTTTTCCTACAGACAGGTGCCCTGATAAAATGTCGTAAGCAGCTCACTATTTTTAAATCACACTTTTTGTTCTCATACTGGGGGGGAAAGAGTCTAAATTCCCATTATGCATGTATTTCTCATTATAAGCAAGAATTTATCATGCAGCAGTTTTTCCATGTGGTACCTGGAAGTTGCTTCTGAAAATGAACATTACAGTTGCTGTTGAGAAAACACAGTCCATAACCGTGTTGCGTGCATGCAAAATGTGCTTTATACCAAGGCGATTTCCTGAAGGCTTGTTTACTCAGGGAGGAATCCTAACTCCCAGCAAGGGAGCTGTGAGGAGAAGCATAGTGGGAGAGCTATCGCTATCAAAAAGGCTATCAGTGACTACCAGTTGCTGGGAAGCACAAGTAAGAGTGATGTTGCATTTGGGTGCTGCTTACTGGCTTTCCACAGGCACTTGGCTGGTGACTGCAAGAACAGGATGCTGAACTTGATGGGCTTTTGGTGTGATCCAGCAAGCCTTTTCTTATGTACAAATCTGAAACTCTGGCATTCGCATTGGCCAGAGCGGATGGGATGTGTGTGTGTGTGGGGGGGGGTTACTAGTTTGAGGCTTACATTAGGCCTGTCTCTGGCTACTGTTCAGTGGATCCATGGCTAGTCCACCCTCCACCCACCTCATTTGGGGGCCTTACACCAGACATTGCTGGTGGCTGCCTGTCAATAGTCTGCAGTGTCATTGGGGCAGCAGGGCCCTACAGGACAGAGCCCCTATGATGACAGATCCTACACAGTGCCACATCCTGGGTCGACACCAGCAATGAAGATTAAGGATAAAAGCCTCCTCTGTATTTGGTGTGACTCTCTGACAAATAGAGATGTATTTAAAGAGGTTGACTACATCTGCAGATATTCAATGGTGTAGGCACCTGAACTTTATCTTTATGGCTTGCTGCAGAAGCATTGCCAATCACTTCCAAAAATGCCTATTAACCTAAGCAACTTCCTATCAGAAAAATGTGGACAAGGTTTTCCCAGCTGTGGTGCACCTGCCCACAGATCACCCAGGCTTAATAAAGCTTACTTTGGTTGCCTTAAAGTAAACCGAAGAAGAGCCTTTTGTTCCAAGGAAGTCAGCTGGTCTTTTTTGAGAATCTTCCTTTTTTATGACACCCCAAAGGAGAGACATGGTGTTAATGATACGAGGAAACTCTTCCAAAATGGCATTCCTGGCATTTCTTAGGTTTATAGGGTCAACACTCCACGGTGACTGGGAATACAAAAATAAATAAATAACCCATTAAATCCAAATATGACCAACACTGGAGATCACCCACACTATTGATATGCAGGAAAGAAACAACACATTCAAAATCCTAAACAATATAATATATAAAAAATAAGCAAGGGTGTTCTTTGCAATAATGACATTATAAATCAGACCCTGTTTTACCACATTGTAAAATTCATTCCAAATTTTTTGCTTAGCCTTGTTTATGCATATATAGGGCTACAAACAATTGCACTACATACCACTTCCTATAATTTGCAAAAAAAGGGTTCCAAATCAGAATTTGTTTCAGCAGTATTACTACCTTAATAATGGATAGCTATCTTGGCTTTGCAATCAGATTTAAAAATAAAGTGGAAAATGAAATGTGTTGGCAGGATAGATTTTCAATATCACCTCTAATAAATTGGGTGCAGATTCACTTGATATTTTAAAGAAAATCCTATCTGGGATTTCAATTTTTTTAAAAAAATGTCTGGCCACATTTCACATCTCATAGTATATTGAGGCACAGACTATATAAACATACTTTAAACTAAAATACCCGCTGTTCCCCTGGCTGCATTTTAAATCACAAACTCAAAGTAGTTATCTTTGAAATCATGAAATTGATACAGCAGAACATTTTCACAGTCACATAAGGAAATTTCTAACTGTGGCTTATCTTGATTTCACTATTCCATCTTTTCCTAATATGAGGCTGTCATGGTTTCAATCCAGTAACACTCTTAAAGTTCAACATAGTTTGAATGGATATTCTTTAATAACTGGAAACATCCCCTGTCAAAAGTATATATTAGACAGCAAAAGAAAGCAAGAAAAACAACAACATCATTACCTTTTTGGTTTGATTTGGATGATCCAAAAGACAAAAATGGCCAATAGTGGTTAGTCCTTCCAAAAGGGTAAGAGGATAATCTGGTGTGATGTTTTCCCTTTTAGAATTCATGCTTTGGGGAGAAAGTTAACAATTCAGTTGGTTGTTTCAGTCTTGTAAAGAAATTAGGGGATAGCCCGCATTCACTCCCATTAAGCTAGAACCTTTCCTTTGCACGCTATGCTTTTAATCCACCCAGCCAGTTATCTGCTGATGCTTTGCTATCTAGGGAGAGTTTGCCCACTGGCTAACTCATAAAAGCAAAGAGAGAGCTGTGTGTAGATTATCTGTCCTGGATGGGAGGGGACAACAACAGTGGTTTTTGGGCAGGGGGAATACCAGATAAACTTTGCAAGATGATGAAAATGTGGCAGGGAAAAGCCTGTTCTGATTGAGACACCACAAGAATTGAGTGGGACATTTCCCCTACTGGTGGAACTGAGAAGCTGAAACAAGTCTTGCCTGCATAGCTCAGTGAAATTACGTATGTTACATGCAGAAGATCAGCTGCCCATTTCAACCCCAGACACCTCCAATTAAAAGGGTCAGATAGCTGAGGCTGGGAAACACCTCTTTCCAGAGACCTAAGAGCTGCTGCGAGCCAGAGTAGATAATACTGGGCTAGAAAGTCAAGAGTCGGACCTGATATAAATGTAGTTTCTTATGTTCCTACATCCTTCCCCTCCCCAAGAAACCAAACAAATAATTTAAGGAAACTTACAAATAGAAAATGAGCCATACTGACCAACAGCTAAATTAGCTAAACATGAAAAAGCCAGATTTTATGAACAACATTCTCTTACCTTACAGATGACTTTGGTGACACTTTCAGAGTTTCATATTCATACTGTTTGACAAGTTCGTCCAGGTTCTTGCATATCTGTACAATAAACGGTGCCACTGTCCAACCTAAAGATCTCCCAAAGAATGGCAAGGAATATGCAACCAAACCCACCCAAGCTGGATGCATGCCATAGCCATACTCGGGCTGCAAGCCTCGGACTACGGCAGACACAAATAATCCCTGCGAGGTTATAGGGTGTGGATGCACATACTGCATTGCACTAATGGCCTCCTGGAAGTTAAGTGACTTTTGCCATTCCTTAGATAGGCCTGGTTGATTTTCCACCTCCTCCTGAGTCTGCCCAAGGTGATGCTCCAAGACTATCAAAACTTGCAGAAGTTTAAGCAGCTCAATCTGCAATGGGTGCTCGCTCCAAATCTGATCAGGACCAAAGTTGATTAGGCTTTCCTCGAGGATGCACTCTTCACTTAACCCATTAGTCTTACCGGCCATTGTATGTCCATAGCACTTCTGACTTACATACATAGAAGCGGATAGAGAAAGGAGGACAAATTCTTGAACTTTGCATCTGCCAAGCAAGTTGCGTATAAATTCTGTGTTCCTGCTCTCTGATGATTTGGCCATTGTAGCCAGCTGTGTCATCATTCTTATCAAGACTTCGACACTTTTGACCTGGACATCCCTATTGCCAAGCACATCTTTGTGAGTCACTTTTAAGTAACAAGGGTAGTAAGAGCGCAGGAAACTCAGACACAGGTATGTCAGCAACTCTATTAACAGTGAATGGGGACACACGGTTGGTGACTGAGTCTGAAGCTTTCCGTAGAAGCTCTGTCCCACCAGAGCTTCCTGGTGGCGGGCTAGAAGATTGTAGATGAGATTCAGATGAGCTGTGGAGCTAGTATCCATGCTAGTGCTGGCTACAGCTTCAATAAACTCCCTAGGGTTTGTTTTGAGTACTGCCTCAAGTACAGAAAAAGCATATAGGACCCTTTTGGAATCATATGGCTGCAGATACAAAAGAATGTGCTTAAACAGAGCCTCGGCCATTTCCTGTTTTTCCTTCTGCTGTTTTAGCAACCTAGCGGTGGTAAGGGCTTGAAGCTCCAAATCCACCTCGTCATCGCTTGAGAGAGACTCCGATGCTTGAGTTTTCTCAGAATCTGCGCGTACCAGATTGAGCATGGTGCTGGATTTGGAACTTTCAGGAGGATAAACATTAGAAGAACCAACGAGCTTCATGCTTTCTTTGTCGTCTGTCGAGCCACTGTAGTTCTCGTCATTGCTCATATCCTGCTGGTCCAGAGAAGGAGAAAAGGATGACGTATTATCACTATCCGTAGGTCCAGTGCTGGTATCAGCAGACTCTGTGTGTTCACTATTATCCTCCTCGTCTACGTATCGCGAAGCTTCTGCACACCGATAATGATCATTTACAGCCAGTTCATGTTTAAGCAGGCATTTTTCTGGGTCTTTTTCAACTTCAGCCCAAATGGCTTCCCTGTCCACAGCTGTAAACTGGCTCAGTGGCAAACTTTCTTCAGAGCTGCTTTCCGAACGCCCCAAGGACTTCTGGAAAGGGACTTTTTTCTTTTTGTACCAGAAACGCACGTCTTCTGAAAGAAAGCAAAATTGCCTTTCTAAAAAAGTGACCACCCATTCAGTAGTGAAGGTGCAGCCTTCAGACAGCAGCCGCTTTCTCGTCCCAGTATCTGAAGACAATGGGTGACCCTCTTTGCAACTGTGCCATGTGTTCACAATAGACTGTTGTTAAGGGACCTATGTTCTGAAGCAATGTCTACCTGCTGTATAGTTTTAGGTGTCTGATTTTATTCTTCTTTTGGCCTGAAACTGTTGATACTCCAAACCTATTTTATAATGATATTTTATCATTTTATTTGCAAGCCACCCAGAGTCCAATGTTCTTGGGCAGCCATTTATAAATACAGCAAATAAAAATTAACACGTATTGGCTAGTATTTGTAGATTATGATCTTTAACAAACTGGACTTCTTACATTGGAAATGATGGCATCCTTTGTATCTTTGTGATGCTCATATGCACATCAAGCCATGAGAGACAAGCCATGCTCACATACTGATCCTCTGGTTTGTCCTTCCCTATCTTAAAACAACAAACCTTTAAATTGTTCCCTAGAACAATAACTAAGCTGGACAACACCTATCATAAAAGCTACAAATTACTAATTGTACCCAATTAGCCAGGAAATATTGTTTTCAGAAAGACAGCAAAGCTGAAATAAATTCTCTAAATGACAACTCTTAGTATGCTCAGACACACACCAAGTATTTTGCCATGTCCAAAAGTTATAATATTGTTTAGACTATGATCAGACATACTAATGCTGGGATTTAAATGCTGCGATTTATTGCATTTCTTTAATGTAGCCAGATATCCTTGGGGATTTATAGCCTCTCTTTTAAAATAGTTTATTTCTCTCTAGTAATTGGGTCAGATAACAATTAATTATATTAATGTATAGTAAACCTTAGAGGGACGTGGGTGGCGCTGTGGGTAAAACCTCAGTGCCTAGGACTTGCCGATCACATGGTCAGCGGTTCGAATCCCCGCGGCAGGGTGAGCTCCCGTCGTTCGGTCCCAGCTCCTGTCCACCTAGCAGTTCGAAAGCACCCTTAAGTGCAAGTAGATAAATAGGTACCGCTTTATAGCGGGAAGGTAAACGGCGTTTCCGTGTGCTGCGCTGGTGCTGGCTCACCAGAGCAGCTTCGTCACGCTGGCCACGTGACCCGGAAGTGTCTCCGGATAGCGCTGGCCCCCGGACTCTTAAGTGAGATGGGCGCACAACCCTAGAGTCGGACACGACTGGCCCGTACGGGCAGGGGCACCTTTACCTTTATAGTAAACCTTAAGTCTTCACAGGAAATTTGGATATAAATATTGCCATTGCTTGGCTATTCCTTTGTGCTCTCCTTCTGAGCGGATCACTGCTTACATCCAGGTAACTAAAAATTTAACCTCAACCCTTTTTATCAATGCCTTGGATTCTGCACTATCTTGTTTATGTATGACCTTCATATGCTTGTCTACTATGTTACTGACTAATATTGTTTATTTCTTCTTTTGAAATGCCAAACAATTTTTATTAGTAAAAAAAAAAAGAATTAAATGTCTGAGACTCTCCCCTAGATACTGAGTTCTGTGTGTTGATATGAAGGGAGGATAACACACACACACACACACACACACACACACACACACACACACGGCACCTGTTACAGGTAAAAGCCAAGGCGCAACTAAGTCAAGGTGTACTACACAGAAGGCAAATTTAGACTTCAACCCTGTAGAGGCCAACATTTTCTATGCTTGGGGTTTCTGTTTAGACAAAAAGGTGACATGCCTAACAAATATTTCCCCCCTTCCTTCTCCCATACTACTACAGGATGGATCAGCCCATGAAAAGGACTAGGAATGGTTTTAGGAAATACAAAAGAAATATACTGCCCACAACATGTAATTTATGGAATTCATGGCCAAAAAAATGTAGTGATAGCTACCACATTGAAAAGGGAATTGGAAGCATTCATGGAAGGCCAAGTCTTATCACTTCCTGCTAGCCTTAATGGCTAAAGAAACCTCCAGGATTAAATATAGCATTGCCGTGTGTGGGGGGGAGGGGGATGTGTTTTCATGTATGGGTTGAAGGCTCTCCAGGGGCATCTGTTGGGAGACCAAATGCTGGACTAGGTAGACCTTTCACCTGAAGGAGAAGGAATCTTCTTAAATGAAATCTTACCTGCTGAATTTTTCTGCTTGACACAGTGAATAGAGGTACGCTGTGTCCTGGGATGAAGCAGAAGCAGAAGGATGGGTTCCAGAATTCGTGCAACATCATTAAGTGACAGCGCTCGTATCAACCAACCCTGTGCGGCAGCGCCAATAGCTCCATCTGAATTATTAAGACTGTCCAACACAACGAACAGAGACCTGGATGGAGAAATTACAGTAATATTTGTTCAAGGTGACAAGGCTAGAATTATGTTAAAATGTTGAGTTGGAAGACTAGTTTACAAAAAGGGACACACACATTTTAAAAATAGCTTTTCCAGCAATAGTAACATTCTCTGCCTTCTTCAATTTGTTTGTTAAGGACCAGCAGTAGAAAATGAAACCTTTATGGTGGTGTTGTGAACATAAGAATCTTTGAATTGGAGAAACAGGTGAATGTTGTTTGTATGTGTATGTGCGTGTACACACTCACACTCACACGTATGGATGTTCACATCAGATAGGGAAGAAGCTATGGCTGGCCAGCAATAATGGGTTGAAAGCAAACTTAAGTGTGAAAATGTGGGAGGTTTCTGTACAGTGCTATAGGAAAACAAGCTAAGCACAATGTTAAAGATGCCCATCGAAGAAACAACAACAATATTTTTGGCTTAGGTATATTTTGGGTACATATGAAACTGTAGTCTTTTCAGTTCAAGGACCAAAAGTAAATTTAATTTAAACCTACACCATCAAAATAGACATAAAAGTAATAGCAATACCTATCAAAAGAGCGATTGTGGGAAGTGACTCTGCTGCCTTGGATTTCTCTGGTCAAATGCCACATGACAGAGAACCGGAACAGTGCCTCCAGCCTTGTCCCCTTAGGAGGAAAGAAACCCAAAGCAAAATCAGAACAAAAAGAATGTTTATGAGCTAGTTTGATATATTCAACTACATAGATTTAAAATTGCAGCCTTGCAGCCTACATAAATTAGTGATCATTATCGAAAGACAAGAATACGCTGATGAATGTGCACTTGCCCCTCAATACAAGAAAAAATGTTTGAGATCTCTTTGAAAATGGCAGTAGTCAGAATGAAATGAATCATTATATTCTTCTAAAAGCTTAGCTCTATTTCCTTTTAGTTTGAGAAATATGAAGGCTTGATGGAAGGATTATAGTGAACATGTGGTTACTTATGCTTCCAAAAATGAAGAAAATCAGTGCATTGTTAGCAAGTAGGCTGGTTAATTAAATCTGCTCTTCATTATCCAGTTAATTACATCTACTCCTCAAAACCCAGAAGAAGGGATAAAATATAAACTGTGGTTTGAGGAAAGGCTTCTCAGTCCTTGCCCTAATGAGCTACCCAAAGTGCTTGCCAACCTAGGTTAGCCTATGCAGTGTAAGAAGGAAGATTTTGACCAATATTTACTCAAGAGGGATAGGAGACTAGTCCAAGAGTGGAGCTGAGACAGCATCTGTCTACTGGGCAGAAGAGCCACATCTAACAGGGCAGCAGCCAAAGAACTGTCTGAAACTGCATGAAGCCAATGGCTGATTCAGTTTAGGACTGCCTACTCTAGTTGGAAGCAACTCTTCAGGAGTTTCCAATTGGTTTGTCAATGCTCCATTACTAAAGACACATTTTGTTTTTCAGACTGGACATGCCATGGATTGAGCCTGTGACCTTCAACATGCAAGGCATATGTTCTACCACACACAACTGATTTTCCTTAATCTTCGCACACCTTTTTATTTATTTTTAAACAGTATCAATCTGGGGTCTAATGGAGCCCTTTAAAAGGCTTAGCAGAAAGGAATGTTAATCGCAGATTTCAAAACAACTCCAGTTTAACATAAAATATATTTCACTGATATTCCAAAAACATAGGGTGGTAGCTAACCAGTGCACCCTATCAAGCAAGGTTTTCTATTCGGGCAAAGGAACTTTCTCCCTGCTATACACATGCTCCCCCAAAATCTGTTCTAGGAGTGACTGTGATGTGCCACCCCTGCCCCACAAAACTAGGGCGCTGTTTTAGGCTATACAACCTTTAATAAACCTTACTTTATCATGATCCAGCAATGCATGGCAGATGATATCTTCACAGATATTAGCAGATGGAGCTAGGCAATGAAGACGGTAGAACAACTCTACACAAGTGTTGTGATGCTCTCTCGTCTCTTTGTTTAGCTGATTCCAAAGCACTTGAGCAACTCTCTGTAGTGAAATTAAAAAATATAAAAAACCACACTTTCAGGCAGGTTTAAAGGAATCTGTGTTACTGAAAATAGTTCATGGTTTTCTATACCACACGCCATCATACAGCACCATGTTTATTAAGGCAATCAAAAGATAATGTGAACACAGAAAACAGTACACCTCAAGTCAAACTAAGCCATTTTACAGGGCAAAAACAGATTTCACAGTAACTAGGTATTAATACCCTTAACATACACAGTGCCACCCCACATCCCTATACAGCAGAATAATCTAGGTGATGAATACCACTGGAAAGCACATTTGTTTTAAAGGGCAGTTAAGATATAATAATTTCTTTAAAATGTTACAATTTCATTCTTTCCAAGTTCACTTTGTTGTAGTGGAAAGCAAGTCAGTGCACCCTCATCGCACATAAACTCCCTGCCCCACTGCAGTAGGCAAGGAAGAATTACAGAATTTGGGTGCCCCAACTTGCACAAGCAGAATCATTTTTTGCTAAAGCAAAGCCCCCACAGGATATGCGTGTGCATTAATATAATTCTTGTTTTGTATTTTACTAGTTCTATTTTTTTAAAAAAAATAATATTTATTAATTTTCCAACAGTTTAAACACAACAAAACAGAAAAACAAAAAAAAAACCAATACAGAAGTACAATACAATACAAAAACACTACAAAACACTAACACATAAGACTAACAAAACAAGACACAAACCATTTAAAACACAGAACAATTTCAATATCTTATCTTTCATTCCCTTATTTCCACGACCTCCTCACACCTCCCTTTTTGTATTCCACTTCTATTAATTGTTTCAGCAATTCCTTTCCATTTTCCTCTGTTTTCTATCCTATAATTATCTTAACACATTCTAACCTTATTTTTCCCTTTAATACTCTATTAATCTATTTATACTTAATTCCTTATAGCATTTCTACTAAAGCCATATAACTTCATTCCAACATTTTTCTAACATTCATTATTTTTACAGTATTTCTATAAATAATCTTAAACTTTTTCCAGTCTTCTTCCACCGACTCTTCTCCCTGGTCTCGGATTTCTGCCAGTCATTTCCGCCAATTCCATATAGTCCATCAACTTCATCTACCATTCTTCCCGAGTAGATAAATCTTGTGTCTTCCAATACTTCACAATGAGTATTCTTGCTGCTATTGTTGCATACGTAAAAAAAGTTCTATCCTTCTTTAACACCAATTGGCCGACCATGCCCAGGAGAAAGGCCTCTGGTTTCTTCAAAAGGGTATATTTAAATACCTTTTTCATTTCGTTATGAATCATCTCCCAAAGTGTCTTAATCCTTGGGTATGTCCACCAAAGGTGAACTCTAATCCTCAAATTCGTCTGTTTTTCTTTAAATTCAGTCATAGCAAGCGTCAACTTATGTTCATCAAATTGCCTCTGTAGGGCTGGGGCTCTCTTTCTCTTTCTCTCCAGTTGTGTTACTTTACATTCAGCAGCAACGGCTTTTCCCCTGGCTTCCTCCGCAGTTTGCAGTGTCAAAGTAGGTTCCTGTATCAATTTCTGGGTAGTTTCTGTATTGGTATTATTTATACTTTCTATATTTAAGTTAATTTTAGTAATTGAAACATCCACTTTCGCATTTATCGTGTCCATTTTCCTGTTAAGCTGATCCAGTGAGTCATTTATCTTATATAATGCAGCCACTAAAGCCTCTTCTGTCGACATTCCTCTTGGTTTTAAATATACTGGTACAAAGGCAGCGACAGAAGGAGCAGGGGGGCCTGATGTTGAACCTCTCCTGGATTGTTGCCAAGTCCTCCCAGACCTTAATGTTTTGTCAGCAGTTGACTGGTCTGTTTTTCCTCTTCCATTTACCATAACACTTAAAAGATTCAAGGTCAGTCCCAGAGTCTCACGGTTTTTAACTTGCAGCTGGAAATTCCCCTAGCCCAGCTCTTGTAAAGCAACCAGTTTCAAAGGCTTCCACTAGGGGGAAACAGTTTCTATTTGTAATAGTCAATAGTATCCTCTTTTAGACACAATTCAAACAATCCAAAGTTAGTTTCAATTTTCAGTTACTTTTACTCCTTTTTAAAGCAGCCGGAGACAGTAGAAACAATGTATTTCTCTTGTTTAGCTAGCTGTCAATGAACGTTCTAAACGCTGTCAATGAACATTCCAAAAGACGTCAGTCCTGCTAGCAGCCCGTTTCCAGGGTCAGAGCGGCGGTATTTTAAATCTCTTCGCTCTCTCCCACAAGCATACTCAGTCCGCAACTTCCCCCTTTTCTCCTGCCTCCAAGAGGGGGTTTAATGTTCTTTGCCGATGGAAATTTAGTCTTTTACAAAAGGCTTTCCAAGACTCCAGCTTGCAACTTCATTGCCTCAGTCTATTTACAAAAGGGGAAGGCGGACTTCCTGTTTTGAACCTCCCCGTTACGGTACCAAATTAAACATTTAGAAATCCAATTCTTCCGCTTCAGCTCTACTCACGGGTAATTACTTTAAAATCAAATTGTCCACAGGAAAAGGTCAGCGCTCTCCGGCAACAGCTATGCGGCTTCGCTCCTTGGAAGAAGCAGACGATTCGAAGCACCGCGCCGCTCACCCCACGTCGCTCCGGACCCCCAAAAACCGGGGTTCCCCGTGAGTGGGGGAGGCGCAAAAGGTGCCCGCCGAATCCCACACTCACAGGCTTCTCCCGCCTGTGATTTTAACGGGTCTCCGCCTTCGCCGTGGCGGCCAGACCCAGATTTCCACGGAGCAGATTCCTCCCGATCAGAGGAATTCCGCCATTACCGGAGGCACCTCCCCGGAAGTCCTGTATTTTACTAGTTCTATGCAACTGTGAAGCAAAGTTTAATACAGAATTGTTACTAAGGATTATTTGTAAGTGCTTTTCAAAGTTAACACGGCAAGGAAATGGGCAATGATTTGTACTTCAGCAGGATGTGTCTATTTACTTTCTTGGCCGGTTGCAATGGTTTGGGCATCAGCACTGGAGAATGGAATGCTGAGCTACCTTCATCCTGGATAGAGTTTGTTTTTTGTACCTCTAGTGAATATCATCCTATGCTATTTCTGCAAGCTGATGTCTTTTCCCTTCTCTTCCCTTCCCTTCTCCACCCCATAACACCATTACGGCTGCTCTTCCAGGGTCGCAGTTGCCATTTTGTTTAAGAGCCGGAAGTGCTAGCTAGAAACAAGTAAACAACATTAAACCACTTGCACATTACAAGCATTCCATTTCCATGGAAACAACAATGCCCAACGCACGATGAAAAGTTTATAATGCAGCTTTGTGTGCATTTTAGTACATTACCTGGTAGAAATCAGTTTTTTCCGAAATAAGTTTGAGAACCCCATGTGCAATAGGAGGGACTGTGACCATCTGCAGCCTTCCAAAGAAGGGGTTCTGCCCAGGAACTTTATACCGCTTTACTCGGTCTTCAATAACCAGTGCCAATGATTGGGATTGGTTAATTACTTCTAGCAGTACAGAGATGGACACATTCTGAATGTGGCAGTCATTGACACAGCAACATATTGTCATCAGGGATTTGAGCCACAGGGGAAAACTGGATTCACAGCCACCTGAGGAGAGCAGACAAATAGTTTCAGCTCCAGTTTTAGTACAATTGTTGTTTGAAAGAGTTTGTCCCCTTGGCAAACATTTATCATTTAACATATGCAAGTGCCACAAAATGTTACAATGCATCCTTCACCTATGAGTGCATAGGAACATAGGAAGCTGCATTTAGATCAGTGTTGTCTACACTGTCTGACAGCAGCTCTCTAGGGGACATTCCCAGAACTACCCAGAAATGATGGGAATTGATCATGGAGCCTTCTGTTTGCAAAACTGATGCTCTGCCCTTCTCTAATATAGAAGTGATCCTGCTCAGGATTCTAGCCAGCCCAGCCATTCCTTTCCCCCCACAACCACCACCTTCCTTTCTAACCAACAGTCAACATTCTTTAGTTATTCAACATGTTTAGTCCTCTTTGGGCTGCTTTGGGTTTGCTTTTTATCCCATTAAAGTTTTTTCTTTTAATATATTTTTGTACTTTCTCCAAACACACTGATACCTCGGTCTTCTAAGAGCCTTAGGCAGTACTCACAATCTAAAGAACATTACTAGGTAAGTACATTACATTGCTAGACACATTACTAAACAAGATGATGGAAGCATCAACCCATTTTTCGTCTGAAAGTCATTGGCCAACTGTGCATGGGAAAAGCACAATTAGGAAATGCAAATTAGACAGAGACAGACAAATTAGACAGAGATCTCATCCAGACCTCAACATGCTAAGCTGAAGAAAGCAACCAAGGTATGAATGCACATTTACCTAGCAACAAGTCCAACTATGCTCAGTGGGACTTACTCCTAGGTAAATATGCATTGGAATGCAGTTAAAGCAAATCTGAGATTGTGCCGATTTGATCCTTTAACCTTCAATCCGCTCAACACATACCTGGCTATCCTTTCTTCACTCAGGTCTTTATTTGCTCTTTGCCAACACTCTGAAAGCTACATGTCCTAGGCCTTAACTGGTCCTTGCCCTACACTTACAAATTTAGAGCCCTATCACATTACTATTTTTGCGCAATTCTAATGGAAGATTATTGAATACACAACACTGCCTTATTATGTACTCTTCTGCAAATTATAATGTTCCTCTTACCAGGCACTTGAAAGAGAGACAAATGGAGCTCCTCAGTTTCTTCCTCAGAAAGATAAACAGGAAATGTAGTACAATCCAATAAGAGGTAGCACATAGCTGCAAAGGCCTCTCTACAGTCTTCTCTCATATCTCCCAGGTCAAGCATAACTTGGTCAATGTCCCATTCTTCTTCCTTTTTTCCCCTTTCACCACCAAGCTCTTCTGAAGGAGATGGAGGATCCAGATCTTTCTGTTTAAAAGATGACCCTCGGACAGTGAATAGGTCTGTTAGCATCTGCTTAAACTGAGGCACAGTTATTTGCTTGGAGTCCCATGAGCTCCTTTTCTTGGAAGTATTTCCAGCAGCTTGATAATGGTTTCCTTTTTTCTCCCCTTGTCTTGAATGCACTGACAGAACACTGCCATTACTGGGATCTTGTAGATGAACGACAAATACGTATTTGCTGGCAAATTTTGCCACCAGCTCCTGGATGCACTGCAAGGTCTTCTGCATGCTTCCACCCTTTTTCCAGACATCATCTTTCTCAGGAGTTACCCTAGGTATTCTCAAGTGCTGAGCGAACTCTGGGGATGAAGTGCTAAGGCCTATACCACTGTCTTCAGACTTGAGTGGAGGAAAAAGAGTGTCATCTTCATTCTGGAGCACTTTGGATTCTGAAGTCAGTTCCTGATTTTCTTCCCTCATGGGGCTCTGAAATAATGCAAGGATGTGGACCCAAATGTGAATGTTGAGGTTTACTCTATACAAAAACCATACATGAGTAACATTAAAATATCCTTGCATGTTTTAACTACATGTTTTAAATGCCTGGTAAAACCTTTTTCTATTCCATCAGGCTTGTGCAAGCAAACAAGAAATATATATTTCCACAACAGCTATCCAATTTTTGATGTAAACCTTTTATATGGTTTTTATTGTATGACTTTATGTACAGTTGTGAAGCACTTTGCTATTTTCTTTATAGGCATATAAATATTTTTATAAGTAAATGAACAGATGTGGGATGGAACACTGCCTTACACGAAACAAAGACACAAATCTGGTAGAGAACAGTGGGGATTTAAATTTGTCTGGAACTATCCTTGTGCTATTCAAATGCAAAGGCATATTCTGCTTTAAGTATTACACAAATTCAGATGTTACGGAGAAAGAGAGCTGAGTTTCAGCGTACTGATGCCATTTTGTCCTCATGCTACCAGCAGCTTCATAAAAGGTAAAGGTAAAGGTACCCCTGCCCGTACGGGCCAGTCGTGACTGACTCTGGGGTTGCGCGCCCATCTCACTTAAGAGGCCGGGGGCCAGCGCTATCCGAAGACACTTCCGGGTCACGTGGCCAGCGTGATGAAGCTGCTCTGGCGAGCCAGCACCAGCGCAGCACGCAGAAACGCCGTTTACCTTCCCGCTATAAAGCGGTACCTATTTATCTACTTGCACTTAAGGGTGCTTTCGAACTGCTAGGTGGGCAGGAGCTGGGACCGAACGACGGGAGCTCACCCCGCCGTGGGGATTCAAACCGCTGACCATACGATCGGCAAGTCCCAGGCGCTGAGGTTTTACCCACAGTGCCACCCACGTCCCCACCAGCAGCTTCATATCAATATTAAATACCATTTGAGATAAAAAAAGTGCCCTGAAGCATCCCTTAGTGTAACCACCAGGGGGCAAAAAAAAGGACTCTATTAACACAACTTTCTGGACTTGGTCCTGTAGATAGGACCAGAATCACTGTAACACAGTGTTCCCAATCCCCGTCCCATGGAGCTGGTCCAGGAGCATATCACTGTCAGTGGTACTGAAAGCCACAAAGAGATCTAGAAGCAGGAGAAAGGTTGCTCCCTGTAAAAGTCAAACTCTCCACTACCTTCCCTGAGAAGTGGATATTTGTAGCGGTTGATAGTTATTATAATATTAATATTACTATAGCAAAATACTGTACTGAAGCACCTACACCTCTCATCATGTATGAGACTGAATATTCAGCCTTTTAGGCCAAGTGCAGAAAACCACCATAAGCATCAGACTCTTGACATGACAAGTCAAACTGAATATTTGTGTTATTTGTAAGAAACATAGTAGTGATACCTAGTTTAATACTTACGATGGCGGGGTGGGGTGGGGTGGGGCGAAGCGTCCCATTACAGCATAAGAACCACAGCACAGCATAATGAATGACCACATTAACAATCTGATTAATCAATTCACAAAATGTATTATAGACATAAACTCATCTCTTAATACCTACAGTGTCTGAGCTTCCTGTATCAGTACCTAGGTAGGCAGGGGGCATCTGCACTTTGCTAAGTACTTTGAAGCATGTCCTTAAGGCATGAGTGAGCTCTGGTAAACTTAGTGTTTCCATGTTTTCAAGGAGAGATTGCACTATACAGCAGAGCATCTGTGGCAGATAGAGGGACTGCACTTCGGAATAAAGTTCCTATAAAAACAAGACATTTCAAATAAGCAAATCTCTTAAATGACGTACATTTAATTTAGAAATCAGTTCTTCTTGCTTATTAAGTTTTATGTATATACATGCAACCAATTACATCTTTATTCTAATCTTATTTATTATGTTAACATTTTAAAATAAATATTGATTCTTGTACACTTTGATGTCATTTTTTAAACAACTGCTTTTACTCATGTTGCTAACATTCTGGGGCTTGTTGAAGAATGGCAGGTTGTATTAAATAATTTAAGTAAATAATAAATAAAAGAATTTATAGACCCCAGAGAAGTCACTTTACTTGAACCTAAAGAACAGCTAAAGAACACGGCACATACATAGTTATCCAATATTAAACGAGTTGTAAAAACAAGTTTGCAGATTATTGCATATTCCCCCCCGCTCAAATTATCAATCTTTTGTTTTCTTCTAGGGCACAAAAGCTGTCCATAAATGTACAAAACGTTGAACAAAACCTATCATTCCACAGCTCTTTAATAGAAGTGTGAGACTTAAGTCATAAAAGTTGAGCAAATAATAAAGACAAGACTAGTATGCAAAAAACACTTTTCAAATGACAAATGTGTCCATGCACCATCAGATATTTGGCAATTAAAAATGTGTTTTCTTAATAATTAGTTTATTTGCAGGGATACACCTGGAAATTGACTTACTAATGGTATTACATCTAGAAGAAATATCAGCAGAGTGCAGAGTTCTGAAACGGTTGCAACATTCCTCGTCATAAGTTGTGTCTGCGAAGATTTATTTCTGCAATTGAAAGGGAAAGCGTGGTTTTGAGGAACTTTTTAGAAATTGAACTGCATTGATGTTTTATCTTGCTTGCTACTTTTGGTAGAAATGCAGCTAAGAAATGTTTCGATATTTATGGATGAAATGTAATAAAGCTCAAGCATTAAAAAGATGTGAAAGTGAACACTGCAGCAGCATATTATCCCTAAGTTTTATACATTATATCAATGGCCAGGATCTTGTATGCCACGACATGAAAATGCATACACATTTAAGGATCAAGGATGAGTTAACTTGACTCCCTTTAATACGATAAAAAGTTAACAAACAAAACAAGAATTTAAAAACCTGCATATTATGAAAACTATTGTTTTGGTTAGTTATGCTTTTATTGTTAAATAAAGAAATTTCATAGGAAGCAATTCATCAACAATATGAAATAAACAAATAGAACTAAGATTCAAACAGTATCTTCAACTGAGCTGTCCCACAGGTTCATAAGGATATATCAAATATTTGTTTAGGTAAAGTAACCAACTCATTTAATTCAAATTTGTTCTACCATTCTCTCAGCCATTTACTTACTCACTCACTTACTTAAATATATTACTATTGAAAGATTCCTATAATGCTTTTCACAAACTGTATTACAGTGGTGTACAACAATAAAACTTCATAGGAAATACATACAACACACAGTAGGTCAAGAATGAGTAGCGAAGTTCAGACTCTTAGATTAACTCTAACAGCATAATATATATATAGAGAGAGAGAGAGCGCGCATGCTACCTGAAGCAGTCTTCGAAACATCTGGTCATATAATCCCAGAGAAAATCCGTGCTTAAGGATGTGATCAGCAGATTAGCTGTTTTAACTATCTCAGATGCATTCTTGTTTTCTTTGATTGCACTAAAAACAGCAAGAGTCAAACAAATGTAGTAAATATTCACCAGTAAGCATTCTGAAGTATTAAGCACAGAAGTCAAAGAACAAATATATATTGTAAAATAAGAAATCTAACAGGGAAATGGGAACTATGTCTCATTGGCTGTTGTTGATTTCTGCTGCATATGCTTCTGACAGCATCCTGACCACAAGACGGGTTATGTACTGTAGTTCCTATGATACCATAAGCCCTACTGGACTACTAGCATCAATGGACCTACATTTCCAATTGACTTTGCAGCTGATAATCCAACAAGGGACCCTGCAGCCATTTCCCCCTATGTCAACATCAAGAGAATTGAGAGGTCTCAGCTCAGAATAAGGCCAAGATTGATGAAGACTCAAATAAAACCAAACCCTTAATTACAACTTGCTTGCAGTGTGCCCATTCTAAACTGAGTGCAGGGGTGCTCACTCACCACTACTTATTTTAAAAAAAATGATCGACATATTAAGTGTGTCTAACTATTCTAGTTCAATTTCAATGAAATTTACTTTCAAGGAAATGCTAATTTGGGTACTCAAATGGGTACTCAAATGCAATGACACAATAGTCATGGTCAGCAGGAAACTAGCAGGCGGTGGGGTGGGGATAAGTCAAATCCCAGTGGTGTTTTTCAGACACCTGATTAATGTCAGCAAAAAAAGAAAAAGACAGACCAAAGCATACCTTGTAAGGACATTTCCTGTTTGACTGTAACTAAGTTTAAGATCAGAACCCAGTGTATCCTTGCAATAAGAATAGAATGCTCTGATCACTTCAAGAAACAAATCCGCAACAACTGGTGGTCCTTCAACAAAAGAAAGATACAATGAAGTCTGATCATAATGAGTGGCAATATTTTATTTCAGAATAGAAAAGGAGGAAATAGAAACCCAACTTCTTAGTGGCTCAATGAATTATGTAGATAATTGTCAAGCCCTGTTCCATTTTTACTGGAATGATTAAAAACAGACAATGTGATCAGAAATTGTTTCCTAGAACCTTAATATTCTTAGCGAGAAGCCGAGTGCTGTACTGGTCTCAGGTCATCAGATGAAGTAGGCTTTAGCTTAGAATGCTTATGACATTACATTTTAGCCTTTAAAGCAACAGATTGTTGTTTTTGTTGCAACAAACTAATACAACTATTTTTCAGGAGCTTTTCTTCAATTTTATATTCTTCAGCAAGACTTCAGCAAGACCCACTGCAAGTATGCAAGTACTTAGAAATATATGTACCCCCCCCCCCCGCAATGACTGCAACTATTCATATTATTCACCATTTATTTTGAGCTACTATTGTGGCCTGTCCCCTTACCACAGATTTGTTATCTGAACAAAATGTTTTAAGCAGGCACTGAAAAGAGAACATCCAAGGTTGATGTCAATAAGCAGGGAGTTTCAAAGAATAGATGCTGCCAAGTAAGTAATGTTCATTAATTTCAATGGGTCTACTCAGAGCAGAACAAACAACAAATACAACCCATTCCTTTGAAAGCAGAAGGGCTAGCGCTTCTTTACATCTGCACCAGGTTTCCTCAAAATAAATTCAAACAATACTTTGAGAGAAGATCTTGCTTGCTGTAGCCTATACACCAATTTCAAGCAATATTTCAAAAGGATAGAAATAATGCCACAGCTTCTCTTATATTTAAATATTACACAGATGTATGAAATAATGGTAGTATTTTTCTATTATATGTCAGGCTTTTAAAAGTGAAGTAACAGTAGCATGCTCATACCAATGGAATATACTTCCTTATTTCATTAGAGAGAAGGAAAAAGCAGGATTGCAGAACATCTAACAGTTAAACCATAAGAGACCCTGAAAATGCAACATTAGTTTGGAAGTTACTTCTAAACATTTAGGAATAGAAATGTTATTTCCACAATAGAAATCCACAAGAGCTACTCAAGCAGCCAAGGTTGACAGCCATTCAGAACATAATCTAGAGACAAGATTGTTTTAAAAACCAATATGAAGCTATGGCCATAAAGCTGATATGGACAAAACAAAGGTCAGTTCATAGTGTGTTTCCTGCATATCCTGGAGGCATACTGAAGCACATGACTAGTGATTTGGCTACAAGCCTTATTGGGACTCATCATGATAAGAGTAGGCATCCTGCTACCTATTGGCAAAGAAGGTGTAAAGTTTGCCTTTTGTTTTGCTTAGCCATCTATTGGCCTGTTCACATGTAATGTTAACCCATGGTTTATTAATTGGTATGGTTTGTTTATAACCAACAAACAACACTCTGCAGTCAGGGTTTGTTGTTGGCAATGGTTTGTTTTAGCTGTGACTTAGTGTCTTTAACTTTCTTCTTTAACCATCGTTTGTCACGTCAGAGGCTTGCTAAAGGCACAAACCTAGAACAAATGGAAAACAAATATACATAGCCAAGTATATTTTTGTATTAGTTCTCTTGAGAGACTTCCGTCTTACCTATTTCAGGTTTGTCAAGTAGGCTTATGAGAATGCGGAATGGTCTCAAATATGCATGATGCTGTTCCTCCAAGTAAGATTCTGCAAAATTTTGATGCAGTATTTCAATCAATGCCTGTTAAAACAATGTTAAAACAATCAAATGTTGAATTTGGAAGCAAAAATAGCATTAACATTGTCACTTACTCTAATCTTACTGCTTGAAATATCTCAAAACACAGCCAAACCCCGATGGAAAAGAAGGGTGGAAAACTGACACCAGATTCCAAAGCCATTTTCAGAATTCCTCTTTTACAACCTAACATTGTGGTTCTCCTTCAACTGCAGAGAAGACACAGTGGCTTGTGCTGCAGCGGCTAAAGTAGTATGTGGTTTGGCATGGACAGGGAAAGAGCATAGCCAATAGCTCCTACCCACAGCAGACAATTCCCCCACATTGCCTTTAGAACTAGGGATCAGCATCAATAGAAGTATAGTGTCCAGTACCGCTCTGTACTGCCTTGGTCAGACCACATATGAAATACTGTGTCCAGTTCTGGGCATCACAATTTAAGAAGGATATTAACAAGCTGTAATGTGTGCAGGGGGCACACCTGATGAGGAATGTTTGAGGGAGTTGGGTATGTTTAGTCTGGCTAAGAGAAGACTGGGAGAAGATATGATAGCCATCTCCAAACATCTAAAGGGCTGTTACATGGAAGAAGAAGAAAGCTTGTTTTCTCCTGCTCCAGAGGCAAGGGCCCAAATCAATGGGTTCAAGTTACAAGAAAGGAGATGCCAGCCAAACATCAGACAGAACTTTCTGTTCAACAGAGGAGCAGACTCCCACAAGAGCTGGTGGGCTCTTCTTTCATCGGAGGTTTTCAAGCAGAGGTTGGAAGGCCATCTGTCTTGGGTGCTTTAGCTGAAATTCCTGCATTGCAGGGGGTTGGACTAGATGACCCTCAGGGTCTCTTCCAACTCTACAATTCTTTGACTATGAATTGAAGGGAAATGTTGATTTTTCTGCAGTTCTAGTATTTTGACCTGCTTCCTCCTTGCACTCAGAGCTACCAAACAGAAGCATAACTATGTAGAGACAGTTGAATGATGTCAGCAATGAAATGCAGTTGCTGACCTGGCTGTGCCACTTCCTTCTGCTGAACCTACACACTGAGACTGGGATTGGATGCTACCACCAAAATTCCCATATGTGATCCTATGAGCTGCTGAGCTTGCACACGGGTGATTAGGCAACAAGGAATGTATCTTTCAGGGAATTTATTGCAATATATGTTACATTCTTTAAGGAATATTACGCACCTCAACTAAAAGATCTTTGGAATATTTCCCAAAAAAGTAGAAGGCATGGTCCTCTAAGGACATAGAAATAGATGGATCTGGTAGAAAAGTACCTCCCTTGATATCAGAACCTGAGAACATGATAAATAAAGAAAATATGAAAGTGGATTAAATATCATGAATGCAATATAATATACTTTTAAATCAATGCACAAACAACTATGACAAAGGTTGAACTGCTTTTCCCTTCTGACATTAATAGCACTTGAGCCATCAGTGTGGAATCAGGGGATTTTGCTTAATTTGACAGCAGGACCCACCTAAAAGAAAGTGTGGCAGTACGTTTAACTTCCTTTGGTCTTTTGTAGAGTCACATACATGTCACATTCGATACTGTAGATGGTGGAAGCCCATAATATGAGCTACTACTATAGATGCAATACATGCATGCTAACTTCCTGTGAGTTATATTGAGACCAAAGCGCATCCACCAGGAGCTGTGTATCCAGCACTGTGGGCCCAATTCTCTGGAGCTCTCTTCCAGCTGAGTTCAGACAGGCCTGCTGGTTGTTGAACGTCTGGTGCTTTATTTTAGCAGTACCCTTTTCCGATTTCTTTTAACCTGATTTTATCTTCATTTTATCTTTTTTGTGACCTTATTGTGTACCTTTACTAGACTGCAGTGTTAAACGGACCATAAATGGTTGAATAAATAAAATGTAATAAACAGGATGTCAGATTTCTGCTCGTCCTATTAAAATCTGACATGAAGTTGGATACACTTTTCCCTCACACATAAGCAATATCTAGTATGGATGTAAAATAGTGGTCTGGAGATAGGAATCTGACTTATACACAGCCAGACCACTCACTCTATCCAGTTCAGTATCATATCCATTGCCTGGCCACAGATCCCTAAGGTTTCAGACAAAAGCGTTTGTTTCTCAGCTCTATCTGAAGATGCCAAGGATTAAACCTGGGACTTTTGCATACAAAGCATGTCCTCTACTACTGAACCATGGCATTTACCTGGTAAGTGAAATATAGACCTTTAATCCCACCAGTCTTACAAAGTGAATAATCAACTGTCCGGCTTAGTATTGATTTCTGTTTCACAAAATAGTTCATAATACAGTGGACACAGAGGCTTCTATTAATTTAAACTTTCTACTTGGTACTCCTGAATTACTGAGAAAGCAAGCTGTCAATTCAGTCACTGAGTAAGAAATGTATGACAATAAAGGGTGCAATTTTTCAAAGACAAAGGCAGTGGTAGCCAATGTGGTACCCTCCATATGATGTTGTGCTACAGTTCCCATCAGCCTCAGCCAGCTTGGCCACAGGGGATGGCGGGGGGGGGGGGGATGTCGGGTACCCCTGGTCTAACTGATACTTCTGTGGTACTCCCCTTCCATTGGGGAAACGCTTGTGCACACAAAATCTTATGCAAAGTAACACAAACAGCACTTCTCTACATACAGTATAATCATAACCCCGCCTACTCAGAAGTATGTCCTATTGCATTCAGTGTGGCCTATCTCCAGGGAAGTGGGGTTAGGCCTTCAGCTGTAGTTGTGTAAGGCAATTCCAGCAAAGATACATATAATACAGTGTTTGGGGATGTCTGTATACTCCCTGAATATCCTAGGACAAAAATGTTGTAAAAAACGGTATTCTGCTGTAGATGGCCCATAAATACAGATGAAACCTGGAGTTTTTAAACATTCTATTTCAAGAGTGTGCACTAAAGTTATTTGAACACCAACAGCAAAAATACACACAAAGATAATGTGGCTATAATTTGTACAGTACCTAGCAGCCATGCATATAACCTTCTGTTAAGTGACATATCTCTTCTTAAGAGAGTTTGGGCGGATGCTGAGAGAAGGTGGACTATATCAGATCTAGACAGTGTGACAGCACTTTCACTGGGATCCTAAACAAAGAACAAACAAGTCAGATATAGGTGAGTTTCCTCGAACAAAAACCAGGAAATGCAAAAACAAATAAAGCCACCGCACTGTGGCAATTAAAAAAAATTAGCAACATAAAACTCCTCTCACTTTAATGCTGCAATCTGTTCATGTCTATCAGGACCAAGACAGCCTAACCATAGTAGTTCTGCTACTGGCAACTTCAAGACTTGATTTATTGCAATGCAATCTGCATTAAACGTCCCTTGAGGTGGCCAAGAAACTGCAGTTACTAAAGCAGCATGTTGTTTTGGTGGTAGATATGGCAGTGAACACCTTAGAGAACCAGAATTTTGTACAGGGCTGCCCCTTCTTTAAACATCTTCAGAATACTTACACAGAGACCAATGGTTTGTTTGATTTTGGAATGGGAGGGGGAGAACTAAAAAATAAACCCAACCGGAAACCAAGGCACCACTTGCATGTACAGAAAATGTACAAAGCCTATGCAGTTTTCCCTTGCACTTGCCTGTCAGTGTAGCGAGCCTTAGAGTTGGACCACAAAAAGTTAAGTCTTTTCCTTACCAAAGATGAATAAAATGGGAAGAAGAAGAGAACCACTTCCAAAGTGTTCCTTTGCACAAGAACATTTGAATCCAGCATTGACACACAAAAAGCTTTCACCTGTAAGAAAAGAACAGAATTGCATTTGAGGAATACACCCCTCTGCTGCCAAGGAATATACCTGGTAGTGGAGGGCATGACGGAGGCGCAAGCTTCCCTTGGGCAAAGGGAATGGGAAGTTGTTGGAAGTGTTAGGATGTAGTAAGGCTGATGGGGTCTGCATGAGGATAAAGTAGGTAAGAGTGTAATCCCCATGCTTCCTAGACTCTCTTTCTCACCTAACCTGTAGTGATTTTTTTCAGATGCCAGACTCTTAGGACTGCTGACCTCACTTCTTACTTCTCCCTTCCTTGATCCCACTTTTTGCTTCTCTCTTCTGCAGAGATGACAGAGCAAGCATGGCTCTCCTCATCTCCTTCTTAGTTAGGCAGAACTAGGGCCAGCTTTCGATCAAACATGCATTTCGTCTAACTAATGTAGCTTTCTTATTTTTCTATACTGAAGACTCTGTGGGCACTGAGGGACACTGAGAAACTGGAACGTGTCCAGAGGAGGGCAACCAAATTGGTCAAAGGCCTGGAAACGATGCCTTATGAGGAACGGCTAAGGGAGCTGGGCATGTTTAGCCTGGAGAAGAGGAGGTTAAGGGGTGATATGATGGCCATGTTCAAATATATAAAAGGATGTCACATAGAGGAGGGAGAAAGGTTGTTTTCTGCTGCTCCAGAGAAGCGGACACGGAGCAATGGATCCAAACTACAAGAAAGAAGATTCCACCTAAACATTAGGAAGAACTTCCTGACAGTAAGAGCTGTTCGACAGTGGAATTTGCTGCCAAGGAGTGTGGTGGAGTCTCCTTCTTTGGAGGTCTTTAAGCAGAGGCTTGACAACCATATGTCAGGAGTGCTCTGATGGTGTTTCCTGCTTGGCAGGGGGTTGGACTCGATGGCCCTTGTGGTCTCTTCCAACTCTATGATTCTATGGTTGCCTTCAGCGAAAAGTGTGTTCCTCCAAATAGGGATTCAGTTCAGTTCCAGTTCAAGGTTCTGCTGGTGCATATAAACTCACCCCCTTTCCAAAGCAGTTAAACTGAGGGAGATTTCACATGGTCCCTATTATTCTTAGATTTGTTGCTGTTGATCAACACAGCCAGAGAAAATGATCTGAGAAAGGACATCCAAGGATGGCTATGTATCACCTTCATGAGTGTATGATTAGTTTGTAGTTTGCCCATGCTTCTAGAATTGTTTGTTTAGAAACGCATACAAAGAACACACATTACCAGTTGTGTAACCTACCATGAGCTTAGTATCAGTTCCCAGCATATACTTCTGCTGTTTTCCAGATAATTCTCTGTTGATATGACTAACAACAAAAAGGGAGGCAGGCAGCCTTATGGAAGGACTAACCAGGACACTCCCCCATAATGCTGAGTAAAACACTTCTTTGCCAATTACTAGAGACAACTTCACAAGTAAAGCATCTGTCCTGTGAAAACAAAAAGAAGTGGAAATGAAAAAGGGAAGTTTCTATTTTTTAAAAAATAATATTTATTGAGAATTTTAAGATTACAAAGAAACAAAGAAAAAAAGAAAGAAAAAACAAGTAACAATTAAACAATACAAATCAATAAAAATCAAAGTCAAAAAGCAAAAGCAAAACACATAATACATCAAAATCAAAAAGCAAAAATTAAAAAAAAATTAAAAACAGATCCAATATTCCCAAATCCTTAACTGTCATTACCTTATTTCATCGACCTCCTCGCACCTCCCTTTTTTGTATTCTAGTTGTTAATTATCTCAGCAAATCCTTTCCATCTTTCATAATATTCTGTCATTAAATTACCTTAATCTATTTTAATTATCTTACCATAAAAAACCCTAAAACTTAAAACTTAAATCTTATTTATACCAATTTCTCATAACCATAACACCATTGCCAGAGGCGCCAACCCAGAAGTCCAAAAAGGGAAGTTTCTATACCACTTCCATCAAATGACCATTCTTTTTTATATATATATAAAAAACGACAGCTTAATCTAGAAAAGATCACTCACTCCAGTTTGGAACTGTCACTGCATTCACATTTTCACATAATTTGTCCCTGTGTCACGAGTTATACCCAGTCTAGGCCTGCTCTTTCTATAGTAAATTAGTATTGCCACTCATGTACGTCACAGGTATTCAAAATTGGGAACTGATGTTACGGAAGAAGATGGAGAAATGATTCTAGGGTTGTGCTGAAGGAAATTACTACTCTAGTCAACCCTACCACATTTTAGCAATTGTGACTCAAAGGATCATGGTACCATGCCTTCAACCATACAACTTGGATAAAAAAAGTTCACCCTTTGGCTGCTAATTATTTAATGCTGTCAGTATTTAAATATAATAAGGGGCTACTTATGGCCATCTGCTTTAAATCTCTCCTCCCCACCAAGTCACATCACTAATGGGTAAGACTTAATGTACGAGTCACGCAATGATTGCTCATAATCTGAATAAATTAAGTGGACAGAATCTCTTGATCGGAAAGAAGTAATCACCTCAGGAAGTGCTGATAAGAACAGGATGCAAGCTTCCCACCTTTGTTTCTTCTCTTTCAAATACAGATTTTTGCGAAGACTTTGCTTGGGAGGCGGGGAGTACCAACATGTGGTGGCGGTGAAACATATTGGAAAGGTAAGTAATACTAACAGTATCCCATTCACCTGCCTTTTGTGGATTTTGGTGGAGATCTGGTGTCTGAGAAGGCTTGAATATTTGAAAATCATTTCTGATAGTTCAGTTGTCTACATAACTGGATTAATGTATACTATGAATTTACAGAATTAGAGAAAGGAAGCGCACATCCTGAGAGCTTAACCAAAAGGAAACCACCCACACAAGTTATGTGCATAATTAAATAATATATGTAGTAGAGACAGACTTGATGGCTGACAAGACTCTCAGCTACACTGCATCAGTTCTGCATCACTGATGTTCCAAATCTCATACCAGTCATAATCTTGTTAGAGGCCTTAAGTCTCTATGTTTCATCCCCCACTCCTATCTACAATAGGCAATAGTAACATACTTAACACTCTTATAAGACTGTAAGAAAAAAACATAAATGCGTAGGGTGAATTTAGAGGATAAAGCTCAAGCAAATGTTTCCATAAAATTCTGAAAATAGGCAAGGCTTTCTCTAAATTCCATTGACAGAGCTTGTAAATATTAAGCAGAAGGGAGTTTCTCCTGCTGCTTCCAGATGCCTTTTGGCACAGCGACATTTCCATTTGTACCCAAAAGAACCTGCTTGTTTGCACTTATGATTCTGCAGCCACAGGCACTTCCTGCTCAAGTTGTCCTGTGGCCCTTGCCAAATACAAACAGAATGTCTTAACTCTAAATCCTTACGGCTCTGACCTTCCTGTTTCTTTCAGTAGCTTTGTCTTCTCTGACCCCACCAAGAGCCTTTCCACATAACCCGTACTGCACAGACGAGCAGCTCTTGGAAGTGGGGGGTATCTATTAAATAAATATATTTTTAAAAAGTTTTAAAAATGCAATGACATTTATTGTAAGAGCAAGTGATACCAACCTGTCATAGATTTCTGACCCTTCCTCCAAACCGGGCAGGAGTCCAATTAAGAAGGCTTGAAGACTTGGCAAGAGGCACTTCTGCAGTGGGATAAAGTATTTCTCGTACAGGCCAAGAAGAACAGGCCTCACCGACATTGCTGCATTTGCCAGCAATGGAAACAAGCCTGAGCTGGAGACAGAGAGTGAGAGATTTAAAAAAGGGGAGTGTGTGTCAGTCATTGGTTGCATTCACACATTATGTTAAATTATGGCTTAGTATTACAATGATGAGTTGAATGGGGTCTTGGGCTTGTGCACTTCCTTCTCCCCTGAGGCAGCTATGAGAAAGTTTAGAAACATTTGTTCCCATTTGAAATTAACCACAGCTTTTTGTGACTACTGAAACCTGGAAAACTGCGGCTAATCTTAGTTATTTGTTCAAACAGGTTAACCTCAAACCACACTTTATGAAGTTGGCTCGTTTCAACAACAATAGTGAAGACTAACTACAGTTCAGGGTTTGTACATGACATTAAACTGTAGTTTACCTGAAACAGAAGCTCCAAATCTGCTTTTTGCAGTCGCACTTGAGGGGAGGGGAAGCGTGAGCTTGAGCGCCTTCTGCAACTCATCCTTGCAGCACTAAACCAGAGTTTAACATTATCTGCAAGCACAGCCGCTAATATTATATTAAATTACAGTCTTACTTTTCAAGTAGAATGTTTACCTGTATAGAAACAAGTCCTTTGCAAGCCATTTGGTTCCAATGATTTTAAATATTATTTCATAGGTCTCTAGTGCCTTTAGGTGCACTCCACTGGGCAACGCTGGATGTAAACACTGAGATAACCTCTTGCTAATAATCAGACGCCTTGGTAAAAGGGAGTACTTCAAATTACTTTGAAGAGCCTGTAAAATAATGGTAGGAATTAAATGTTATAACTTACATCAACATTAGTCAGCAAATGAACTTAGCTAAAGCTTTACTGTAATCTTCTACTTAACAGAACTAGCCTTCAGAGAGCTGAGGCTGCTGAAGAGGCCAAAGATCACCTCAGCTGTGAGTCCTGGAGAACCTGCTCCCTGCCTTGCTGGCCTTTTCCCACATGGCCTGAGAGGGTGGGGCCTGGACTGACTCCAGTTACAAAAGCTGAAGCTGCCGAAAACACTCTTGGGCTGGGGTACTGTTTGTGTGTGAGGGGGCTATTGCTGTTACTGATATTAATTGTTTTGTACCTTTATTTCAGATCTTATGTGGAAATTGTTTCAATTTGGTTGTGTATTTTTGGTGTTTTATTTATTGTTTATGGCTTTTCTTATGTTGTAATTATGTATTTTTTCATGCTGTAAGCCACCTTGAGCATGGTTTTAACTATGGAAAGACAGCACAGAAATCAGATTATGTATGCATGTTGTTACTAGCAGACTTATGGGGACGTAGGTAGCGCTGTGGTCTAACCCACTGAGCCTCTTGGACTTGCTGATCAGAAGGTTGGCTGTTTGAATGTGTGCAATGGGGTGAGCTCCCATTGCTCTGTCCCAGCTTCTGCCAACTTAGCAATTTGAAACATACCAGTGCAAGTAAATAAATAGGTACCACTGTGGTGAGAAGGTAAACGGCGTTTCCATGTGCTCTGGTGTCCATCATGGTGTTCCATTGTGCCAGAAGCAGTTTAGTTACTCTGGCCACATGACCCAGAAAACTGTCTGTGGACAAACGCCGGCTCCCTGGGCCTGAAAGCGAGATGAGCTCCGCAACCCCATAGTCGCCTTTGACTGGACTTAACCGTCCAGGGGTCCTTTACCTTTTTACCTTTTAATTGTTGCTCTATACTTGGTACAGATAGTTAACTGCTGATTTGATACTTGGCATGATGAGGGAAGTGCCTTTCCACATAGTATGCCTCATTGTCTTAGTCACATTTTTCCTTAGAACAGTGCTTCCCACAAATCTCTCTCTCAGTATCAATTCAACACAATATTATATCTGTGCTTTATAGCTGGGAGTGCAGTTAGCTTTATTGCTTTCTATCTTCTCTTTTGTTCTTAAGAATGGCAAAATACGAATCACCCCAGAGCCTAAATTCTTCCTGGAAAGGCATGAGGATTGTCCTCTTTTGTTTTGGCCATCAAGAGCTAATTTGCTTTTTAAAATATATATTGCGTATGTACGTTTCCTCCCCTTGCTTGAAGCGCCCAGGTCTACACCCACTTAGTGTGAGTAAAACTTGATCTCAGGCTACTTAACTAAGCATCATGATGGCCACAAATAAACAGGCACAAGTGTCATCTTACTTTATGAAAAGGAACCTAGGATATTGTAGCACATTACAAAATAAAACACTAACAAATGGTATTGCAACATAACTTTCATAGCCCACTTTATCAGATGCATGGCTAATCTAATTGGGAAGGTTACATATTTTAGTACAGAAATGGCAGTGGCTGGGATGTAGGAATCTGAAATGTCAGACAATGCAAGAGAGAGTTCTTAAGTATTTCAGTCCTTTGCAGATTTCCATTTATTTCATAGAATTGTAGAGTTGGGAGGAATCGTGAGGGTCATCTAGTCCACTCTGCTGCAATGCAAGAATCTCAAAATGTGGTCCCCATACAATTTGACTATGTATACAGTTTGCGCTACCAACCCCTTAAACTGTTGTTCACCACTCTGAATCTAGGGATTGGTTTCAGAAGGACAGAATTGTGTTAAACAAAGGAATGTTTTGTGGCATAGTATAGTAATAGTTGTCTCTTTTCACGGAAGTCCTAGAACAGGCAGAATATGTAAAAACTAGAATATATCACTGGGTTGGGAGCAACTAGACAGAGTGTAAACATCTGGACTATTTGTTAAGGGTGTGTGAACTGCTATGTTGAGTTTGCAAAAGTAAACTGATCAAAGATCCAAAGGACTGCAGCTAATTTGTGATCCATAATGCAAAAGAATACGGCATTGTAAAAATATTTTAAAATTCATTCAACAGGGTTTACCCCCCCCCTCGTGTTTTATATTACAAATTTAAACCCATCTCGAAAATTTTGCTAATCGTTTTCATTTGTACAAACAAATGGGTATGGGTGTGCAAGGGCTGTATTGCTATGTCACTCAAACATTCAGCTGAACAGCTCATGGGGGCACTAAAACTTCTTATCAGAAGGACTCAGTTACCCTATTTGTCACATGATAAGGAAGTAGTATGAAGCAATGGTCCACACTTCATGCTAAGCCAGGCCTTGCCTCAGTGCAAATATGTGGGTTCTCAGGAAGGAGCTCACAGCCACTTTGTTCTTCACTGGTCCTTTTTGGTGCAGGAGTGAGCTAAGCTAAGGTTTTCTTAATGTGTCATCTGAACCTGGCTGATAGTTAAGCTCTTGCCTGACTAGCAATGAACTGTATTATTATTAATACTAACAGTAATAGTAATAAGAATAAGAATAACCCGCCCTTCTGTCTATGTTCCCAGGGCAGGTCACAACAATTTAAACTGCAACATTAAAAATAGCTTAAAGCAAACTACCTATACTTTTAAGGCAGCAAATAAATTTTGAAATACTGTAAATCAAACACTGTTCAACATTACTATGACAAGTTAGCCTGGTCAACATCTGCTACAACATCAAGACCTGTCAACTGGAAAATTCCCACTATCCTGTTGAGAACTTACTTTATACCATTAACTCTAATTAAGACCAATTACAATCACTGCCCGTAACACCAATGGGGCATTTAAGAAGCTCAGCATGTGATTTACTACCTGCAGCAGAAAAAGACAAGAAAAAAACCCTACACATGCAAGTTTGAAAAGGGAAAAGAGTATTAATGCACATTTAAGCAAAGGAGTTAAAGCTATTACTGTACTGCTTTGCCTGGCACATATAAATTAAGTGTGTACAGTGGTACCTTGGGTTAAGTACTTAATTCGTTCCGGAGGTCCATTCTTAACCTGAAACTGTTCTTAACCTGAAGCACCACTTTTGATAATGGGGCCTCCTGCTGTTGCCGCGCCGCTAGAGAATGATTTCTGTTCTCATCCTGAAGCAAAGTTCTTAACCTGAGGTACTATTTCTGGGTTAGCGGAGTCTGTAACCTGAAGCGTATGTAACCTGAAGTGTATGTAACCCAAGGTACCACTGTATCTCAAACTCAGATTAATTTGCAAGTAGTCATTCTGTCTTGAAAACTGCATTTATGTGCCACAAATACCCATGTTCTAAGCAAATGAATCACATTCCAGTGAACATTTCAAAGAAAAACCTCCTTATTTTCCAAGGTTTTCCTGTTGTGTTATGCCAGTGCCTAGCAGCTACAGAGTAGTTTCAATTGAAGAAGCAAAGAACAAACTAGGTGAGTATGGTCCCCAATGTTAATTTTTCTCTCTCTCCAAAGATGGGGAAGTTAAGCAGTTCCTTTCCCCTGCCATTCCTCTACTTAACTTGTAGCCTCCCAGTCATTAAACATACTCACACAAAACCAAGAGACTGTTACATGCATCTGTTGCATAACGTATGCTGTGGCCATGAATAAGAGTTGCTCTGCATGATTCTATTCCATTGCCAATAGAAAGAAAATGCTACCATTCCCATACCAACGTGAATAGTCAGTACATAAAAGCCCATATTAAAAATAGGTAAGAAGGTCATGGTAGAATTGTTACAGAAAACTTCAAGAAAGAACAGTGAAGAAAAGAAAGCAATAGGAGCTGGCTTATGCACATTCACAGAGGCAATGGCAAAAGTGAGATATGGCAAAGATTTTTTAAATATTTTATATATGCCGTTATAAAACTTGCAGCTGGCAAGCATATAGGAGAGAATAAGTCTAAGATGATGCCTGCTATAAATACATGCAATTCATCTACAAAAGGAAGTATGTTTCTTGATTCAAAAATTACCGACAGTCAATCAGTACAATTTGTATAAAACTCACTGACTGATCTACAAATATATTTTAGGACTATCAGCCCGCTATTAGGATTAGCTACTGCAAATATTTTTTCACATGCCTGTTAACTGAGACCAAGCTCAAAGTGTACAGGATTACAGAGTATACTGGGATTGGTCTGTGCGGTGCCACACCACTGACCTCTCAAGAGCTGCAGCTTATAAGAACTGTGAGGAGATGGGTCAGGGTGCTGGTGAAGTCAAGGCTACACGGGTGCGCCAAGAGTGTCAATCCAGCGCTCCCACCAGGGTGCCTGTGCAGTCTCTACCTTGCTGCCACCCTAACCTACCTCGCACCATTTAGGTAAGTGGCAGCAATGCTTTTGTCAGAAGGATGGTAATATGGCACCACCTCATTACCCCAGATGGCCCACTTGGGGCACTTGATGTCATTGGGGCAGGCACCTCTAGCCACCCAAAGGGAGTGGGGAAGATACAACAATCCAGCACACTTTCTGGATCCAGTTTCCCACCCCTGATATAGGTTACTGCAAAACAACGAAAGGATTAGTAAGTGTGCATCTGTGGAACAAACAGGTATTGAGGAATGTGCAAGCAAAGCATAGCCTTAACCAGGGTTTCCCAAGCTGTGGTCCATGGACCCCCAGTGTGCCATGAGCTAAATTTCAGGTGATCTGCAGTGTGTCTGAATTAGGGCTAGGTGATACCAGCTTTTCAACATCACGGTATATCACCAGCCAATATACTGTGATGTTGAAAAAACAAGCTATATTGGCCTCTGCCCGCGAGACACCAGGTGAAACTGCCCCAGCTCTCATCTCGAGGGGTGAGGCGGTTCCACCCAGGCTTGTGGGCTGGGACAATGCAACTTGTTTGCGCTGCTCAGCTGGGGGGGGGCGGTGTCCTCAGCTGAGCAGTTTAAAGATGCAGAGGAACAAGCTGTATTGGCACCTCACCGATATAGCTTGTTTTTCCCTCTCCGTCACATGAGGGCAGAGTGGGATGGCAGTTTCACTCAGTGATATACTGATATATTGCCCAGACCTAGTCTGAATTTGTGGTTGAAGATGAAAGATAGATTTTTAATTGTATTGTATTTTTATTGCTTCTTACATTGTACAACTTGCCATTTGAATTCTATGAAATTGCAATTGCTGCAACAGACAGAAAACTCATTAAATGGTCTGCCAAGACCAGGCATAGGCAAACCCGGCCCTCCAGATGTTTTGGGACTACAACTCCCATGATCCCTAGCTAACAGGACAGCTAACAGTGGTCAGGGATGATGGGAATTGTAATCCCAAAACATCTGGAGGGCTGAGGTTGCCTATGCCTGGCAAAGACCTTCAGCAATTCTCAAGTGGTTCAAAGGGGGTGGAAACCGATCTGTCAGGCTGCATGGGAGGCCTAATTCCCTTGGGGCTAACTCAAGCTGAAAACGAAATGAAGTTTGGGGCAGGACAGAGAACAGTGAAACTAGAGGAATCATTGTGGAGATAGAAAAAAGGAAGCACAGATATTTCTCTGTTCCAGGGAAAAATGGAACGTGTGGAAGTCTTGTCTTAAGGCCTCACAGCGACCTAGGAGTTTATCGCAGCTGATTTACCAAAGCTAAAGGCAACTTTTCCTTTTGAATTATGGGTCATGGTTTTACTCTACAGAAACAAGTGTCATGCAGGCAAAGGCAATGATGGGAAACTGAAAGTAAGCAAGGTTTTAAAGGTTCCTTCAGTCTCTAAAGGAAGGCAACTTGTTTCCCTTGAGACCCCTTAATTGGGGAAAGGAAGAGATGGGTTGAAAGGGGAGCAGGAGGCTGCGCATTCCCCTTAGGTACACAGCTGGATCAAAATCAAGGCAAAGATAGAAGAAGGGTAGGAAACAATGGGGGGAAAGGAGGTAGGAAGGGGAGCACGCCAAATTAGGGTTGGAGAATTTGTCTCAGGAGATATCGCATGAAGACTGAAGAACACCAGGGTCCCTGGAGAGAGAACTCTTAAAAGATTTTGCCTTCCTTGGGATGAAGCTTATCCCAGCACAAAAGAAGATGATCTACAGTATTTGGTAAGCTGGTTGGAGGCAAGCCTCCCAGCTACTGGCACTGAGTGAAAAAGTGGAAGCAGGTTCCATGTTCATAACTAGATCGAGGATCAAGGTCAGCAGAGCCATCTTCTTGCATCGTAATGACATCAGGTGATTGACACGGAAAGTGCATCTTCAGAATAGGTTGCCATAACCACCAACTGGGAGTTACACAGACTTCCTTTGAGCTTTGACAGGTGTCAATCAGCTGGAAGGAACTGGGAGAGTGCCTTCAAAAGAGCTTGCTCTGGAGAGAAAGAAATGCTCTGTTTTAAACAGGGCATTTCCCCCTCTGCACAGGAAATGGCTTGGATTGAAAGTACTGTGAATCGTTTTTTCCAACTCTTTTGGATGCACTAGGGAGCTGCCGACAGGGAACTAACCCCCCAGGGCGGCTGATCCCAACTGACTGGTGTTGATAGGGAGCTCCTCTTGCAAAGGAAGAATCAGGAGCTCTCTTTAAGATCCTGACAGTTTCTTCCTAGCTGCATATGTAGGAGTGGTTTCTGACAAATTCTTTCATGGGTCAAATCTGGACCAGCACCAGGCCTAATTAGGCTTGCAGGGTAGAGATTCCTCACCTCTGGCATCAGGGTAAGCAAATATTCTGTTTATGATAGCTTATATATGCTGCTGTTTAACTATAAGCCCTTGCTTTGCACAGTTGCATCCAGAACGATGCTTTTTTGGAGTCAAAGTGCTAAGGCAGGGATGAAGAAACTTTTTAATCCCGAGTGCCACATTCCCTTTTGGATAACCTTCTGCGAGGTGGCACATGGCTGTGGTAGGCAGTGCCAGAGGCTAAAGGAGGCAGAGCAATGAACATGAATTTTACTTTTGTACAGTAAACTAGTTTCGACACATACTCACACACCCTTCTTGTATCTTCCATCCAGACAAACAAGCAGCATTACCCAAGCTTAAGGACACATTCTAGCCAGGCAAAAAATATTAATAACTGAGCGTGTAAATCAAGGCAGGAGAGGGATATGGCTGGGGAGAGCTGAGGGCCATATACAAAGGCCCGGAGGGTGTTTGACCCTGAGACTCCCCCCCTTCACTGAGTGGTACACTTAAGCTGGCAACAAAGCTGAGCTCCTTAGTGACATGAAATACGAAGTGAGAATTTTGCTGTTATATGTGCAACTTGGTTCCATCACAACGCATTCAAACCACAACAGAAAAGTGACCAACCATTCTTGAAAGTTGTCACACTACACAGGGGTAAAAAACACTGTTAACTCACGTCAGTGATATGGGAAGTTGCATCATGGCAATTCATGACTTAGGAAATTTCAAAGAAGCTACAATTTCAAGAGAAGCAACTGGATTTTTGGAAGCATAGTTGTCCACACAATCCAGCATGGCTGTTTGGATGGTTTTATTGCTCTGCCACTATCTGTCCCTCCAAACTATCATTTGCAGCTGCTTTTTGTACTTCTGTAAAAATTGGTTTGTTTCATTTTGCAATTGCCTTTTGTACTACAATACCATCGAGAATCTGCTTATCAACAGCTTGTCAGAATGATATACAAACTGTAAACCTATCTACTAGCTGTCATTATGTGCTATAAAAAATTCATTTTTATTTTTTTGAACAACAGTAAGAACAGCAAAAAAACCCAGATACTGTACCTTGTTAAGTTTACCAAGAGAAGATATAAGATCTGCCCATTCACTCGATGATTCAAAGTTCCTTAAAGCTTTATCAATTGCTGAAGAATAATTTCTGTATCTATAATCACCAAGCAGCTCCTGCTCTTCAGGGTCCATTTTAAATTTTCATAGCCAAAATGTTCTTGGAAACAGAAACAAAAATAAACTCTGATCAGATCTTAATGGCATTTTATATACTGTACTCATTATCTGTGAAATGTGTATGCAGTTATCCTTAATGAGGGTCACTAAACACACAAAATTAGCTGATTTAATGCTCTTCTTGCTGAATTAAATTCTACCAAAAATGTGATCCCACTGCTTTGAGGTTGTAGTTCAGTTCCAAAGATGCTTTGAAACTGCAAGGACCATTCACTGTTTCATACAAAATCTCGGAAATACAAGAAAGTTACTCATCAGTTATTTTGGTGATAATGTGACATGATAAGATAATTAAATACTCCAAACTGCACACATTCACATAAACTAGAACGTCCCACTTTCTAGGACAAAATACCCGTTAACATTTAAGGCTGTGTTGATACTTGAAATAGTATTGCTACAGACATGTCTGCTTTTTTCTTCATCTAGAAACCCTAGTATTTTATATTAAAATTGCTCTCACTGGAATCAGATTAGTAATTTTTCTGTTATGGGAAACCAAGAGGTTTCTATTTATTCACTGTAAGAATGACAATAGACAATTGCTCTACTCGGTACTCGTAATTCGTGAATCCTATGCCGGTTCAGTTGTATAACCAAAGCATGGTGTTGCATGTCAAACAGCACTAATGGTTAACAAATCACAGTTTTTCAGGCTCAAATAAGCATCTAAAAATTAAAATTACTGCAAATTGGTTCAGACTACAACTTGGCATTACATGCACAAACAGGCTTGAGCCTCGGGTTTGTGTGGACTCTCTACCACTTCATGCACATGATTTCTGCACTTGCTTCCGGATTCTCAGCAAACCATAACTTGCAATTTTGTCTGAACTGGGGTATATCACTGTTTGCCTACAAGTCAGGGATTGATTTTGGCAAACAAGTAGGCAATGGTTTGTCCAGTCTGGACAACATGACAACTCGAGGCCGGGCGCGCACATGAGCCTGCCACCCAAACCTTTTCATGCACATAATTACAAACCATATTTTGGGATTAAATTAACAAACATAATAGGAAAAGGCAGTATATATGCTACTTATGTTGTATATCAAACATTTTAACCAGCAGCAATGGAAAGGAGTCCATAATTATACATGGCAAGCCTGTCATTAGGGTCTAACAGTACACACTTCACTACTAAAAGAAAATAGGTTTTAGGCATTTGTTGCAATTGACTCAGAGTGAAACTTGAAGCAGGTGTGGCTAGCCTGTGGCCCTCCAGATGATGTTGTAGTCCAGATGCGAGTTGTAGTCCAGAAACAGCTGGATGGCCACAGGTTCCAAACTCCATTCCCATGTGCATCACTTGGTTCAGGCTTCTTCAAACTCGGCCCTCCAGATGTTTTTGGCCTACAACTCCCATGATCCCTAGCTGGCAGGACCAGTGGTCAGGGATGGTGGGAATTATAGTCTCAAAACATCTGGAGGGCTGAGTTTGCAGAAGCCTGACTTGGTTTAATTGGTTTGCCAAACTTACCAACTGCATATATTGCTTCTGATACTATGTTTTCATTTACTTAACATTTAATAAAATAAATGTAGTGATTATTTTTTTGTCCATCTGTCAGGAAACTGATGTTTTAATTCACAGAGGCAGATGTAAACAGGAACTGAACACTTTCCCGGAAGCCTCAGTGAGCAAGTTAACAATTAACTCTTTATGAAGGCAAAAGCAAATGTAGATAGAAGGAGTTGCTTTCTTAGATTAAGAAAGCTGCTCAGTATGCTATATTATTTAGTGGGGGATCTTGGAGAAACATACCAGCCATTCTTATCATATGACTTTAGAAGCTACGGGCTGTATTTGCTGTAGCGCTAAGGGTATCTTTCCATCGGTGACAGCATTTTTGCTTACTATATGTAACAATACTCTCTCTCCTCTTCCCCTGCACACTGTTCCAAGGGTTCTCTCAAGGGAAATCGTATTGTGCTAGCAGAAGGCCTTGTCCTGGCTTCTGCAAGTGCAATGTCCTAGTTGAATATGGCTCATATATTTTAATAGTCAATAAAATCTTCATGCTGGGCCTTTCAGCAGCTTTCATTACTATCAGCCACGTAGAAAATGATGTTGTATGTGCCACATCTTAATAACCATGAGAGAAAGTGTTGTGTATTTTTCAGGCAAATGGCCATGACTTCATGGTGGCAGGGGAGTTTAATAAGGGAAAGACACAGTCAAAAGAGGCCACAAAAGAGACAAGATCAACTCAGTATTCAGAACTGCTATTTGGAAACCCTAACGGCCTCCCAGAAACCAGTTTGAAGAAAGCACCAGCAAAAGTATCTATGTGTGTGGAGGTGAATTGTCCCACACAGCATGAGCCCCAGGTGACCAGCTAACATCTTTCTAAAAAGAGTAAGCTTCTACCAGTCAAGGAAGTGAGATATGAGACAAAATGTACAGCTGCTATTTTTCTCATTTTACTAGCCTTTTTCACTAGCCGATGCAGACTCTAGTCTAGTAGAAGTCCCTCTAAGCAGCTGTATTCTTATCAATACCTCCTGTGAAGCAGGCAGAAATATTCCTGGTCAAGGGCTGCAAGGACAAACATCCTCTATTATCAGAAGTGTGCAGAAGAAATAAAGTGATCAGATCTGCCCCCTAATCCAAATTACCTCTGGTTACGAACTTAATTCATTCCAGGGGTCCGTTCTTAACCTGAAACTGTTCTTAACATGAGGTATCACTTCAGCTAATAGGGCCTCCCACTGCCGCCGTGCGATTTCTGTTCTCATCCTGGGGCAAAGTTCTTAACCCGAGGTACTATTTCCGGGTTAGCGGAGTCTATAACCTGAAGTGTTTGTAACCCAAGGTACCACTGTATATGTTCTGTCACTAAAATTTGATGGCTATCATTCAGAACCTTGACGGCCCTTTGTATACTCTAAACTTGAAGTCTGGTTTTCAAAACCCTAATTAAGAGTGTCACCAATCACTGGTAGCCTGGCAACTCACCCATTGCCAGCTTACATCTTGGATATGGTCCCTATGCCTCAATCAGTAAGTGAGAAGGGAAAACCTACATCAATTACAACATCTTGAATCAAATGGTGCACTACACCATGTAAAGCTGCACTGCTAAAATTATTATTTTTAAAAGGCAACTAAAGGTTTGGGAACCATGGATAATGAGGGTTTGTTATCCAAGTATGACGGCCTTGAAAATGAACAAAGAACACAGGACAATTAGGAACTTATTCTGGAAAAAAGATCAAGTACAGAATAAAACAAAATGCACTAAAAGAAAAACAGCAACCAGACATTTGTTTTTAAAATGCAACTTCTGGTCAAAGCACACACAAGACTCATAAAACGGGGACAATAGACCATTCATGTAAATAGTGTTACAATGCCCTCTACTTCTCTCCATTTTGCTTACAGACAGGGAAAAACTGCAGCGTTTGGCAGTGATGCATTGTCCTGCGGAAGCCAAACCTGTTCTACCGAGCCTGTTTACTGGTGCTAAAATCAGTGCTTCTCTCAAATCACCCCCCCCCTTCATTTCAGTCTGCCAGATCATTCAGACACACAATGGTGTGCAAATAAGGCGAGTTGGGGAAAGATACAGCATCGATTATGCAGTAAAACAGCTTTTCCTCCCCCCGCCCTTCTTTCCCCCTCCTCGCCTTTGACAGGCTGCTGCTCCTACATAGCAAACACAACCCAACAGCTGTTCTCCAGCAGCAGCAACATAACAGGCAGCTGCAGAAGCACCCGAGAGGGGGGCGGGCAGCAGGATACAGACAACCTGTAGAATCGCAGGCACTGCTAAACACGTAAACAAACAAAACAAAACAAACAAACAAACAAACACGTGTTTATGCCCTCTACATTTCTACGCCTGCCTATGTGGAGAAGCGAAGGAGAGCGCTGGTTTCCACCTTTTTCCCCTCCTCGGCTGAAATCAGGAATAAGCACCATTTCAGAAATATAGAGAGAGAGACATCCTGAAGGGATGCTTAAGGGAGAAAATGGAATGTTTGCTTTGTTTCCCCACCTGCGCTTCATTGGTCGGGGGGCAAAGTGGTCCCTTCGTGGAGGGAAGAAGCCCCACCCCCAGCCGTCCTCCCTATGCAGAAAAGGGAGGGGAAAGAGGAAGCATTGGCTGGCTGGGCTTCCTCAACTGCAGCAGCACATTGTCCCCCATCTTCCCTACTCACCAACTGAGGAAGGAGCAGGCCGCAGAGGCGTCGCGCTGGCTGCTGCTGCTGCTGCTCCCACCGCGAAGGAATGGCTCGCGTCGCCGCCGCAGCTTCGCTGAGGCTCCCCGGCCGCTTGCCTCTCCTGCGACGTGTCCCGCGGCTGGGCGGGGCCGAGGCGGGAGCCAGAGACTACAAGGAAGGGCGGGGGCGGAATCTCCCGTCGCCATGGCGCCCGGGCTACTACGCCTCCTCTTCGCACCCTCCCCTTGCCCTTGCCGGATGGGGGAGTACCATTTCGAAGCGCGGGGGGGGGGGAAAGGAGAATAGTGATAGCAAGATTTACGGGACCCCGCTTTTTCTATAAAGTGGCGCGGGGCCACGCCTCGTCCCCGTTATGGGCTTTCCAGCCGCTTGAGCATGGACAGCTCTCCTTGGCGATGTTTAAGCCGGATTCAAAGGCGCAGCTGCCCACCCCCACCCCGCCCCGCTGAGATGGTGCGTCCCAACATCGCGCGTTTGGGCACGTCTCTAGCTCCATCTGCTGGCAGAAGCGGAGACTGCAGGGTTGTTTTGGTTCGAGTGTGGCACTAATCTCGGAGTACATAGGTCGGACTGCTGCGGGCAGCTTGGGAAATGCCAATCTCGTAATTAAAAGAGGGGCTTAATCTGAGTCCCTGGATCCATTGGCTGGATCCTGCAAAAAAATCGAAATGATACTGTTGAAAGGTTGGGAGATGAAGGTTAGCGATCCTTTTCAACTCTTTGGCTTTTGGTTGTAAAGGTGTTTCCAGAGGGGGCTTCATTAGGTCAGCCGAGTCTAATTTTTATCTACGTATGACTGACATGTTTCTGTCCACACATTTTTTTAGTCATCAGTTTTGCATAGGTATTCCGTTATTTCCCCAGCCATCAGTGGGTGGCCCCTGATGAAATATTTCCATGCTTGTGTGTTCTCCGCTCAGTCACTACTCCGTGCTATCCGCCATTGGCTTTTCCTGTTTGGGGCACGTGGGCAGCTATTTCCACAAGAAGAGAGCAAGAGCAAATGTTACCTGATGTTTCATCATTGGTAAAATTGAGGATTGTGCTTTGGGAGTTGGGGAAGAATTTGGATTTCCCTTTGTAGTATTACTACTACTAATACTACTACACTGAACTTGTATGTTTTAACTATGGTTGTAGATTTTTAGAGGTACTTTTGGGTTTTTTGTAAACCACTTTATAAATAAACCATATATTGCAAAAAATATCACAGCCTCCAGTGAGCTGAACTTTGTGTGACTGCTGTATCCCTTGAATGATTCATTGCTCAGAAATAACACACACATACTGTATGTATATTAACCTAACCCACCTTTCATATTCCTGCTCACTAGGATTGGATGAAACTAGTAGCTGAGCAGCAGCTTTTTGTGATTTTCAAATGAGGACCTCCTGCATCAGCAGCTGGAGGAATTTAGCCAGGGCTACAAATGTAGAACCTAGGAGAGACTAGGCTGAATATGCATTTCTGCGAGCTCAAGTGTCAAAGCTGAGCCTCGAGCCAAAGTGAGTAAAGCAGCCAAGCGAGTTCAGCAACAGGGCAGACTGTGTCCCTCCCCTTAGTGAACTTACAAACCCCAGGTGCCCAAGTAAATTAACTTGCTCAACAACAACACCTGCTGGTAGAATGCCAGCAGAGGTGTGGGAGCTATCCAGTGTAGCACAGAACGTTGTATGTCTTCCTGATGGACAGAATCAGGGGTGGGATACTCAGTGCAAATCAGTCCTGGACCTCAGGGAGTTAGTTTGCTCCCTTGGGGCCAAGGTAGTTGACCTGGGTAAACAGAGGTTTGTAGATGAGACCTTCATAGGACATGATAATTGCATCCCACTCAATCTTTGTTCCACCAACAGCTTTGATCCTGCAAATCTGCTCCAGCTGCTGGAACAGATCAGTGAGATGGGAAGTATTCTGGTGGGGGCTTCTCTGGAAAGCTCGCCTGTTTCTCCCAACGCAGCAGTTCTGGTTGCCTTTTCTGACCATGAAAGTGGGTGATTTGATCTTTAGGGACATGGATAACTGGGTTTGTGATTGGTTTGCTGATCATACGGTAACTTGGCTTTGAAAGAAAGAATATTTAAAAAGTAACCTAATAAAAAAACTTTAATCATGATGTTAAGAAGCTCTAAATAAGCAGGTCATTGTAACAGTTCATAATTTATTCAAATCTCACAAAAGTTCATGTAAAATACTATTTGCCTGATTCAGAGTTACATATATAGAATAGGTTAGCCGTACCAATATAATTGCATTTAATTTCTCCTGCAAAGTGCTTTTGCATTCTCATTTTCTTACAAGTAGTAGAGACGTAAAAGAAGGAACAGCAAGCTTTTGGCTCCACTTTTTTTTACAAGAGGGATATAACAAAATAGTAGGAATTAAGAATTTAATTACAGGGCATCATTTTAGCCAGCATCTGGTTTTCAATGCAAGGGCTCATATGACAGGGATCTTTATTTTATTTTGTTTAACTCTGTTGGCTATGTCTGTATTTTCCTCCACATTGAATAATTACAGCTGGCAGCTATTAATCTAGGGTTACAGGGCATGGCCCTTGATATAAACAGCCAGCTTCTCTATTTTTTTTTTAAGGGTGAAGGCAGCACTAAAGATGTAAAAAAAAAAAAAACACCACATGCAAGTAGTGACAGGAGGTGTTTGTGTATGTGGGTGAGAGAGATGCACATGTTTCTTTACGTGTGAAGTTGTACAGAGTAGTACAGTGTTTAAATTAATATTGTGATTGTAACTGACCACAGAGCAACAGGGAAACTTAACAAAAATTCTCCATCCATCCTCCTCTTTTCAAGAGCTCTACTCATTAAGAGCCAACTCCAACATCTCAGATAAGCTCCAGTTATTTTATTAGTTATTATTAAAACAATTTATATAGCACTTCACTACAATAGCCTTTAAGTGATTTACAAAGAATACAGAAAATAAAAATCAGTTAAAACTATAAAAGAAAACTACAATTAAAATGCCTGCTGGAATAAAATTAGTCTTCAGTAGGCACTGGAGGCTCAGTAGGGAGCAGAAGCCTATGTGATCTCAACTAGAATGGCGCTCCATAAAATTGGACACATGCCAAAATTCACCAAGGTTGAACTGTTTTGTCACTAACAAACTGCCCGTGGGGCCCATCGGCTCCCAGGGGTAAAAGGGCCAAATACACTGGAGTCTCAGCTCCCTCATCAGGAGATTTGGGGGCTTTAGGACCTGCCATGTCAGTCCTGACCCACCCAGGGCAACAGGCATTCAGAAGAATACCATCACCTTTTCTTGTCTCATTCAGGCGCCTTGCTTGAATTCTGGACAAAACCGTTACTCCGATTTTGGTCACCCCATAAGCTGAATTTGGCCAACCCTCCTTCTCATGCACTCCCTTCTTGGTGTCTTCTACAAATTTTTCCATGAGTTTCACTAGTTCCTCTTCAGTGATTGTCTCACTCCGAAACTTCTTCTGTAGTTCTGGGCTGCACATGGCCAAGGCCCGGACACTCATGACACTGGAGACATTCACTACTCTTCCTGTGACAAAAACAGATGATAATTCCACAATAACCAATGGACCACTCAAAGTAGACATACTGGGCAGACCTAAGTTAGGCAAGCCAATTATTTATAATGGGTCCCCTCTGAGTAACACTAACGTTGGGTACATGGGCACAGCAGAACCTCAGATTTGTATTTATTTGTATTGCTACCTCCACCCCCCCTTGGCTATGCCCATGATAGTGTACAACCCAATACTCTGCAGAGCAAGTAGAAATAATAAGTGTCATACAGCAAGTAAATAATGAAGAATAAATCACAAGCAAGTTTCATACACGAGAACAGAAACGTTTCTATGATGCCATGGAGATATTCTAAAATAAGAAACGGTTGATGGAAAATCTAAAATATATATGCTGTGTAATTTGAGTTTAATAGCTCTGAAGGCTATCACAGTGGCATTTAACACATACACACAGTGCTTTTTTCTGGGGGTACTCAACGGTATGCAGAAAAAAAGCACTGTATACAATGTTTGGACATTTCAAGATAGAATGCAGCAGTTACTCAGAGTTTATCAATAGTGCAGTATGATGCCAGTAATTTCACTAGCTTCTTGAAATAGCTAGAAATCTGAATCATCTGACAAGCTGCTGATTTTACAATATTGTATCACACAGAGCAGAAAACAAATCCAGTTTGCTCCCCCTGCCCCTTCTTTCTTCTTCAATAAATCCATGTGATAAACCTCACTAAGCCCTATCTGGCTTAGTTCAACTTCTATTTGTCTCTTGTTTCATGTACTACATCAAGAGTGCTATCCTATCCTCTTTACACGATGGCTGTAAAGAACAAGATCAGAGTTGAAAAGCTCAGTTGGTCTGTCTGTCTGTCTATCTGTTTGTTGTTATTAATTATTCATTTTGATTTCCTACCTGCCCTACTATAAGGTCCCAGGATGGGTTGTGACTATTTAAAAATACAATATTTACTTCTGCAGGATGAAAATGCAAAGCTCACCTTGTGGTTTAATAAGTGGTAATAACTCGTTGCAAATATTTCTGGTTGCAAAGAAGTTCGTTTTCATGGACACTTCTGCTTGTGTAGGAAACGGTGTGGGGTCCTCCACTTTTTATTGGGCAAAGAAAATGGAAATACAAAAATATGCATTAAGGTACAAATGCACACAGTCTTTCCAGCACGTACACTAAAAAGGCAAACAACATAGTCCACTTATGGTCAACGTTAGTTGAAATTACATTGTGCAGCTGTAACATTATTGAAAACCTTACTGCAGCCTTTTACAACCTGGTGCCCTTCAGATGTTTTAGACTATCCCATCAACGCCCAGCCAGCTGTTGTACATTTTACTTGTTTGATAACCTGTCTGGTTGTTTGGGGGATTATAGGGTTAACTTGGAAACCTAGCAAATACCTCAAGGCTCAAATATCAAGTTAATTAAAACTCCTTGGTATGTGAGAATTGCCTCATCTCTGACTAAGGTGCTTCATGTGATTGACAGGAATCTATATTATTGCACGCCACCCCAATCTCTGAGTAGTGAAGGATTCCAGGGGTTCAGGCATCGACGCAGGGTTCATGTTTCCTTTTGGAATAAGGCATGGCAGAGGCTGTGATGTCTTTATGATATAGAGTATATATACATAGGTAAAGGTAAAGGACCCCTGGACGGTTAAGTCCAGTGAAAAGCAACTATGGGGTTGCGGCGCTCATCTCGCTTCAGGCCAAGGGAGCTGGTGTTTGTCCGCAGACAGCTTTCCGGGTCATGACTATACCGCTACTGGGGCAATGGGACATCATGAGGCGTGCCAGAGTGCACAGAAATGCCGTTTACCTTCCCGCCGCAGCGGTACCTATTTATCTACTTGCACTGGTGTGCTTTAGAACTTCTAGGTTGGCAGAAGCTGGGACAGAGCAATGGGAGCTTACCCCGTTGTACGGATTTGAACTGCCAACCTTCTGATGGGCAAGCCCAAGAGGCAATGGAGGGGTTTACAGCATTAATGCCCTAAGAGAGCTTTGCTTCTCCCACAGCCACAGCCTTGGATTCCAGCAGAAATCAGGCCTGGCTTTCTCTCTGACTCTCCAGCCTGCAGCTTTTGCACCCAGCTTCTAGCTCATATCACTCAACACTCCACCCTGGCCCTCTGGCACAGAGTCACTCCCTTCCCTAATGACTCATTAGCCAGCCATTTCAGTAACTGAAAATGTGCTGGATCCAGGGATTAGAAGAGGGGCTCAGGTATACAGCCTCCCCTCCTCCCAATCATAACTATATAAAAGTAGGAGATGGGCAGTTCAAGGTGGAACTCAACCTGATAAGGAAAAACTTTGTAAACCTGGATTAAGGGACTGTTTCGTCCAGGGAAAGTAGATTGTGGTTTAATCCGTTTTGCTTTAAAGGGAATATACTGCTTTTCTGTAACCTTTGCACTGCATATCTTTTTCTTAAATATCCACATTTTTCTAGGTTTAGTAAACTTTAGAACTTGTTTCATAATCCTGTGTGGTCTTGGCTTATTTTTAACACCCTCAAGCTTGGAAGATAGAATACCACACTACCTTACGAGGCTTCAAGGAGACCCCAGGGAAATTTGGAGGCCGGCTGATAAAGGACAGCCTTGTGGAAATAATTTACACCTTGTCTAGTGGCACCTATTGTTTAAAGGGGGAGACTCGGTTGAGTAGAGGGGTGCACTCTATGCTAGCTGGGAACACCCTCTCCCCAGATGGCGCAAGACCTAGGGTGGCTGTCACAAACACACATGTCAAAACTGTCTAGGATGTCATACAATTTTTTAAACATGTTGAAGATGTGCAAAGCTCCCACACCATCTGCATTCACTTGAGTTAGCATTGTTTACCACAGTTCTGGCTGCTTGTACATGCCAAGTGAGAGAATGACATATTTATTGTGTCCAGATGTTTAAATTACAAAATAACAATAACACACAAACCCACATTAAATCTAGATGGAATAATTTTCATTTCTGTTGTAGAACATGAAATTATATTTGCCTTGTTAATAAGTACAATTGATTTTATGTCTGTGTACCCATGGTTTCTGTGTGCAAGAATAAAGTTAAGAGCAGGCTAAAAGTATCACCTCTCATTCAGAATTATTACTACTACTACTGCTGCTAATTAGTAATAATAATAGATAGTTGCCAGCTATCCACCAGGTATCCTGTGTTTTTCATTACTTACTTCCTGCATGGGACAGTTATGTACTGTATAGTGAGAAAGATCACTAACAAAAAATTAGCTGCTTCTGTCTCTGAAACTAACCAATAATCAAACTGCAAAGTACCTTTTTCTGAATGATTTGTTTGCTTGTCTAACTAATCTGATTATAGTGTCCACAGGAAATGCAAGAAGCAAACTGCATTTTTATCAAACGTTAATTGTATATGTTTTGCAGTTTTCCACCACAGATTATGCTTTGATGCATGCAAAATATTTCCTCATGTATTAAGAAACATAGGTTCAAGTGTAGCTCATCAGACATGAAGCTGCACATGTGTACATGCAGTGAATACAGTGGTATCTTGGGTTACAAACTTAATTCGTTCTGGAGGTCTGTTCTTAACCCGAAACCGTTCTTAACCTGAGGCCTGCTTTCGCTAATGGGGCCTCCCACTGCTGCCATGCCACCGGCACTTGATTTCCGTTCTCATCCTGGGGCAAAGTTCTCAACCCGAGGTCCTACTTCTGGGTTAGCAGAGTTTGTAACCTGAGGCGTTTGAAACCCGAGGTACCACTGTACTCATATGAAAGATTGGTACACTGGATTATTTACATGCAGCTCTCATGCTTAGTCCTATTTATGCATTTTCTGTGTTGGAAAACAGTAATGTATGAAGCTGCCCTGAGCTGCAGGAAGGAGCAGCACCCATGAAAATCGCAAGCAGTGTGGCAAATATTTAACTACTGCGCTAGGTCCAAAGTACACTGTTAAAAGTACTTTACCCAGTACTTAATTTTGGTCAGAGGTCTCAGCTCAGCATCTGTTCTTAGCCCTAGGCTCAGCCCCAGAATATATGAAATAAGGTGAATTAAAGTTTCCTGACCACCAAGTAACTGAAGTGAGTTCAACTTCCCACTCATCAGGGACCAACAAGATCATTTTTGTATCAGACTGCGGTGCTCCCAGAAACTGAACACTGTTTTTACCTTTGAAAGCAATCCCTGCATTGTTGATCAGCACATTTAATCCTCCATACTTCTCCTTCAAGAAATCGCGTAGGGTTCGGATACTCTGCAGGTCATTTATGTCCAGTTGGTGGAACTGTGGCTTCAGCCCTTCTTCCTGCAGCTTGGCCACTGCCTCCTTGCCCCGTTCCACATCTCGGGCTGTCAGGTAAACATCCCCAGTGAACTGCTTGCATAGAGCCCGCACGATGGCCAGCCCAATGCCTTTGTTGGAGCCAGTCACCACAGCCACTGGAACGCTCTTAGACATCCTCTCTGCCAAGCGGATTCTAATCAGATAGGACAGGAGACACCTTAGGAAGAAACACATCCACATAACCGAGCATGTTTTCTGTATGGCGTCAGAACATCACAGCATTATTGTGCTACCTGATAGCACAGCATAATCAGCAAGAAAACTTCAAAAACAATTTGCTGGAGTAATTCCATAAATATTTTTTTTTGCTCAAAAAATCTTGTGACACCTTTAAAAAAACCTGTGAATTTATTGTGGCATAAGGGGTTTTTTTTGGTCTGAAGCCAATTTGCCAGACACATGGAGTGGCAACTTCACTGGATATGTACATTTATCCCTATTGCAAAGATGAAGGACTGCCTGAGTTGGAGCATGTGGTTTGGAGTATTGCTTTGAAACCTCCATTCCCAGGGTGTGCCTATTGGTTCTTCCCGACCTTTGAATATTATTTTACACATTATTTTATTCTGCAACTTACAGAGACGTAGCAGGGAGGCCATAATCTACCCTGGTTTGTTTTTTTTAGATTATCAACAGAATTGAGCAGGTTCACGCAATCAAAGAAAAAAGAACAAGAACTTACCCTGCTGGTTCTGTTCAGTGCCTGCTGTTGACTCTCTTCCGCCTTCTCTTGCACAGAGCAGGCACAGCAAGGTTGCTATGGTGGAAAGGCTGGAGGCCCGCCTTTCCTGGCAGCTGTATAGAGCCTCAAGCGTTTAAGGAGGAGGGGGAATATTAGAATGTAGCCTATAGGAGAATCTGAAACAAAACAGATGCAGAGCGTTGAGTAACTCAAAGATATATCTGCTCCTCTGGGTATTAACTTTGTGCCCTCTTGTTTGTTTATGCAACAGTCTGAAGTTAGGTAACATATTCCACATTCAGGAGTATTATCTGCGTATGGGAGATGAGACATGTACAAACCTAAAAGCAGCTTTTATGTTTGCAAGTATGCCCTCAGGAAGAGGGAAGGGAAAAGCACTTTCCACAGCCTTATGTTTACTTAGAAATAAATCCCACTGAGTTCAAAGTGGATCATTTCTTAAACTAAAGTCCTTGCAATAGGGGTGTCTGCAAGTTACATTCAGCTTGTGTAAAACCCGTGTAGCAACATGCACAAACTACAACACAACAAGTGCACACTCTTCACACAGACTCGAAGATGTGTTAAAATAGTTTGCGCCTGTGTTCAGACCTATGTGTAAACAAGCTAAAAATGGTACAGTTCATATCATGTGTCAAATTCATTATAATTCATCATTTATAATGTGGCTAATATGTGCTTGGTGCTGTAAACAACAACAAAAGCCCAATATAAGTTCCTGCTTGGAGGCTCGCCATTATTATTATTATTGTATTTAGTGGTGAGCCTGAAAACAGGAACTTGTACTGGGTTTTATTTTTCAAAATAAGAAAAGAAGGGAAGGAGGAATTGGAGGGAGTGTGGAAGAAAGGTTGAAGAAAGTAAAAAGAAGAAAGAGAGAGTACATGCATTAGCCTACGCATAGAAAGCAAGTGGTGGTGGTGGGGACAATGCAAGGACAATGCAAGAGAGAGAATGAGTTTAGTATTATGTATTAAATTTGTACACTGCCCTTCATCTGAAGATCACAGAGTGGTTCACAACATAAAAATACAAAATAATTACTTAGGGAAGAAGTTAGCACAAGAAATAAACACTGAAGACAGAAACTAGCACAAAGGAAGGGAGGTATAAACGGAAGATTTGTGGTTGGCAAACCAAGAGGTTAAGGAGAATAGAGGAAAAGGAACAAAGAAGCACCAAGGCCATGAAGTTGATTAGCGGCTAGAAGAAGTTGAAATCTGACATGAAGCAACAGAGGAAGTCAGGAAAGGGAAATATATACAGTAGAGAAGTACTGTAACTAAAATGAGGAGAAAATAAAATTACATGAATGGAAGAGTTGAGATTATGTAAAGCATTTCTGCCCACCTAAGCTCATCTCCTTATTTCACTGCAGCCCCCTGTGCTGCCGAATGGTGCCAGATCTTCTACAAAAGTGTGGGATATGGCACAAAGGGCTGCAGGGCGAGTGGGTGGTGGTACGATTGCTGAAAATTGGGTGCTTCATCTTGTACAAGCAGAAGCAGCCATGGGTGGTGCCCAAAGGGACTGGGAGGGCAGCCCAGCAGTTGTTGTTGTTGTTTAGTCGTGTCCTACTCTTTGTGACCCCATGGACCAGAGCACGCCAGGCACTCCTGTCTTCCACTGCCTCCTGCAGTTTGGTCAAACTCATGTTAGTAGCTTTGAGAACACTGTCCAACCATCTCGTCCTGTCGTCCCCTTCTCCTTGTGCCCTCCATCTTTCCCAACATCAGGGTCTTTTCCAGGGAGGTGGCCAAAGTATTGGAGCCTCAGCTTCAGGATCTGTCCTTCCAGCGAGCACTCAGGGCTGATTTCCTTCAGAATGGAGAGGTTTGATCTTTTTGCAGTCCATGGGACTCTCAAGAGACTCCTCCAGCACCATAATTCAAAAGCATCAATTCTTTGGTGATCAGCCTTCTTTATGGTCCTGCTCTCACTTCCATACATCACTACTGGGAAAACCATAGATTTAACTATACGGACCTTTGTTGGCAAGGTGATGTCTCTGCTTTTTAAGATGCTGTCTAGGTTTCTCATCGCTTTTCTCCCAAGGAGCAGGCATCTTTTAATTTTGGACTGCTGTCAGCATCTGCAGTGATCATGGAGTCCAGCAGTAGGGTCAAAGCCAGTCACAGGCCCAGTCAGCCCCTGGCTGTGTGTAAGAAAGGAGGGCAGGTGGGGCTGCCAAATTTGTCTAGAAAAGGAGGCTTACCAAAACGAACAAAACATGCTCCTGCATTTCATTGCTTGGGAAGTGGGATCTGCAGCTAAATATTGTCATATGGACTATTCCACTTCAGGATTCTAGTCCCCACCTCCATTTGTCAGCATTATGTCCACTTAAGTTCCCATTGGGCTATTTTCTCCACTGAGCCCCCCACCGCAGCCCACTTTTGCAAATCTTATGTTTTCCCCAAGCTAACTGCTACTTACTTCTTGTGTGTGGATGGTACTGTTTTGGCAAGTACTTGGAGAAGTGATTCCTATCATACTGTGTATGATGATAGGTCAACTTCTCAAGATTCAAAATTAAAATTAATTGATTATTCAAAAAATAATGCCTAAGTATTATTGGTTTTTAAAAAAATCATTGCAGTCTATTGGCACTGAGCGGGAGAAGAAGGTACAGCGCTGCTGGTGAAATTATTCCCACAGGTAGTGTTTCCATTGTCACTGAGATGGCTCTGTATAATATGGCATTCATAAGATCATTTATATGTAGAAAACACAATTTTCCCCATCACTTGTATAATTTTTAAAAACAAAACAATACAGGATAAGTGCATCTCTCCCCTCTCTGCTTTATGCAGACCCCTTAAAATATAACAACAAAACCAGAGGTAAACATGGTCAAGCCTTTTATTTTTAAATATGTGCTTTATCATCAAACATGAAAATTGCATGCATGTATATTGTTTAGAAGACATTTTTATTAATCAAAAACAAAGATCCATGAATATTAGTTTCAGTTTAATTTGTACGGGTGTTAAGAGATCCTTTAACAGAGAAAATATTCAACTTTTATTTTCTAACAATTATATAATGTATAATAACGATTCTTCGTGTTTTCCTGATCTTGGAGGATATGTCCCACCATGCTAACAGTGGAGTGAATTATTTCTAGGGGTTTAAGAGTGCAAATTGGTTCTCTTTATACAGCCCACGTGCACCCTCCCCACAACAGCAGCCCAAATTAAATTTGCTAAGCCATCATGTCCATTTTGCTGATTTCATGCATTTATATTTGCAGCAAAGGCTGTAATGTCTTGATTTCTGTATTAAATAAAACAGCCTTACACAAGAGAGAAAATCATGTATACACATTTTAAAATTCAAAAAGCAAATGGTTTTCACACATTGTGAAACAAAAATAATTCAAAATAGCTGGAAAATACATATTAAGCCAAGTCAGCTTCCTAAATCCAGGGAAGAGCAAATGTAGCAAAAAGATGCTCACAAACTGCCACATGCACACACCAAACCAAAATAGTTATTTGCACAGGCGCTTAACAGACAATATGATGCATTTATGAAACACTTTCTTCCCTTTCTGCCACGACTGTTACAGCAGATCCCAGCGGAAGAGCCCACGTCTGCATTTGCATTATTACTGCTAGTAATCAAGTTAGTAGTAACAATGCAAATGCATTATTCAGTGTACGCTGAACAACTACCACTTCTGCACTTTCTTTTCACTAACATACTGGCCGTGAGGCCCATCAGCACCAGGGGGTAAAAGGGCCAAATACACTGGAGTCTCAGCTCCCTCATCAGGAGATTTTGGGGCTCTGGGACCTGCCATGTCAGTCCTGACCCACCCAGGGCAACAGGCGTTCAGAAGAATACCATCACCTTTCCTCGTCTCATTCAGCTGCCTTGCCTGAATTCTGGACAGAACCGTTAATCCGGTTTTGGATACGCCATAAGCTGTACTTGGCCAACCCTCCTTCTCATGCACTCCTTTCTTGGTGTCTTCTACAAATTTTTCCATGAGTTTCACTAGTTCCTCTTCAGTGATTGTCTCACTCCGAAACTTCTGCTGCAAGTCTTGGCTGCATTGGGACAATGCTGAAGCCCCGCACATGCTAGATACGTTCACCACTCTGCCTATTAAAAGGGAAAATGTTAAGGAGAAGAAACTAGCCTTGGTTAAGCTTGTTGCCTCCACCCCTCCACACGTTGAGTTCAATAGGCCTTGTTCCCAGGTAAGGGTAAGGTTACAGCCTAAATCTTAATATATTTCCCCCTAAAGTCAGTGTGGAGCACTTACCATTAGGTTTCATCAGTGGTAGCAATTCTCTGCAAATATCCCTCGTTGCAAAAAAGTTTGTTCGCAGTGTGACTTCCGCTTGTATAGCAAACGGAGTTGTATCTGCAACTTTTTGCCGGATGGCAGGGAGAAAGCAAACAAAAATCAGAATGGACATTATGAAAATATAAACTTTGTAAAAACCTGCTTTTGTTCCTTCATTAGCTTAGAGTTATTCTGAATATTCATTAGAAAAGTTTCTTTTTAAAGGGTGAGATTAAACATCAATAAAACAAATACATAGTTTATAAGAAAAAATACTATATCCAGATGATATGGCACACCATTACAATTAAAGTATTAGAAAGGGTCCACCCAAAAGTGAACTGGAAAGATGATCACACAAAAATACTTAACTAGGTTTTATTAGTAAGCACAGCAAATGACATACATTATGCCAGCCTCCCTCTTCCAGCACAGCCTCCCTCTTCCAGCACAGAGCTTTCCAATCAACCCACTGGAAGTACCACTGACAGGATTCCCACAAAAAGCCTCACTGAGTTGGACCAGGATCCAGTGCTTCTCCCATCACTATATGGCACTGGAACTGATTGTTATGCCAGTTTAGGCTTTTTCCCTGCTCCCCTCAACTTCTACCCCAGCCTGCATGAGCGGAAGCACTGTGGGTATGGCTATGGTGCTCCACCACACTCTGCGGCTGGCAATTAGAATTGCTCTGCCTATTACTCTGGACAATTCTTCCTAGCAACCTGTTCATAGCGCAGGTAACTGGGCAATTAAAGTGAGGAAGTACCAGAAAGTGACACACATCCAGGCACCAAGAGAGAAAATGACAAAAGCTGGAGCCTGAAGCACAGTTAACCTGCAGCCAAAGACTATAAATGTATCATACAGCCAGTGTATATGTTAATTGTTTATGTTATAATTCCGACCAAATATGTAACATTCCAGTTTCCAAGATTTATGCCTCTCCTAGCATTTTACCTTTGAAAGCAATCCCTGCATTGTTGACCAGCACATTTAATCCTCCATACTTCTCCTTCAAGAAATCACGGAGGGTTTGAATACTCTGCAGATCAGTGATGTCCAGCTGGTGGAACTGTGGCTTCAGCCCTTCTTCCTGCAGCTTGGCCACTGCCTCCTTGCCCCGTTGGATGTCCCGGGCTGTCAGGTAAACATCCCCAGTGAACTTCTTGCATAGAGCCCGCACAATGGCCAGCCCAATGCCTTTGTTGGATCCAGTCACCACAGCTACTGGAGTACTAGACATTCTCCCTGCCAAGCAAATTTCAAAGTAACTCAAAAGGAACATTAATATCAAAAATAATGAGATGGTTAATTTAGTCACTGCTAAAAAAGACGATTCTATCAAACCTTTTGCAACAATAGCATTGAATTTATTTCAATTTTGTGTGATTTTGGTTCTATAAATTACCCCTTGTAAGCTGCTTGAAAAGCTAAAAAATAATAAACTGGTACAGTGGTGCCCCGCAAGACGAATGCCTCGCAAGACGGAAAACCCGCTAGACGAAAGGGTTTTCCGTTTTGGAGGTGCTTCGCAAAACGAATTTCCTATGTGCTTGCTTCGCAAGACGAAAATGTCTTGCGAGTTCCTGTGGGGTTTCCCCCCCCCCCTTTTCCCAAGCCGCGAAACCGCTTATCAGCTGATGGCTAAGCCGCTTATCAGCTGATCTTTAAGCCGCTTAACAGCTGATGCTAAGCCGCTTATCAGCTGATCGTTAAGCCGCTTATCAGCTGATCTTTAAGCCGGCTAAGCCGCTAATACTGTAGCGCTAAGCCTCTAAACCTCTAATGGGCTTGCTTCGCAAGACGAAAAAACCCGCAAGACGAAGAGACTCGCGGAACGGATTCTTTTCGTCTTGCGAGGCACCACTGTACACCACTTTGGAACCTATGCAGAGTCCCAAGTTGCAATCTTATAACACCTACCTAGATGTAAGTCTTACTGAACTGAGTGGGCCTTGCTTCTGAGTAGACAGGCAAAGGACTGTGCTTCAAGAAAACTGCATTGGGCTGCTTGTTTGCATTGTAAGCCATGGCACCAGTTATAAGCCAAAGCACATTTAGCCATGGCACTGACTTAAGATCTTTATTGATCAAATACCCTGTGTCATGAGTCAACATTAAAGCCATCTACACTTTAAATTAGTGGTTTCCAAAGTGGGCTGTACCTATGAGGGGGGTGCAAAGAGGCAAGTGGGTGGCAGGGGTGGCACTGGAGGTGTAAATGACTATCACACTGGCACCACTGCATCTTCATCCACTTTGTTGAGTTAATTAAACTAGTTTGGATTACATTTTCAATTCATATGCTATTTATTTTTACTGGTTTGAGTTTTACTGTGTTATCTTCCTTAGTGGGTCGTGCAAACCGCTCTTCTGAAAAAATGCTTTTCACAGCGTAGGGCAGTGCGCATTGAGGCTGTGTTTATACAACCAAGTGGCCCCCAAAAGTTTGGGAAGCACCGCTTTAGATCCCCATAACCTTGCAGCGGGGTAACCTAAGCGTGAACAGGGAGGCCAAACGAAGGGGGAAGAAAAAGACCTTTCAGTTACTAATGCAGTCGTGCAATGCAGAAGGGGAAGCCGAAAGTACGAAGCTGGCAACATGCTTTCTACTGTTATCACTTTGTACCCATTCTGGTCAAAAGCACATCTCTCAGTGGCGTAACTCGAAACATAGAACAGATAGTTAACTACAAAGAAAGAAGGTTCAGGGTCAATAATAAAGATAATAATTTATTATTTATACCCCGCCCATCTGGCTGGACTTCCCCAAGGGAACTTCTCGCGTTACTGTACAGCTACAAGCCACTCCCTACCGTGACGCTGCACCCTAGAGCAGCTCAGAAAAATGAACAAGGGCAGTTCTGCAAAATGCTCCCTAGAACAGAGTACAATCGTCCGGCTGCAGCCTTCCCAGTAGCCGCACCCCGCATATAACCGGCGCACACGCTGAATGCATTAGGATCCAGGGGCGCCAACACCACCCAGCGAGAACTGCGGTCCAAATAAATTCCTTAGTGTCGCTGCGCGGCTACAGGCTAGGAAAACAAGAGTTATAATGTAGGGTTAGCGCGAAAGACCTTTGCGGAAAGCAGGCTGCTGCAAAGCGGCTCGACTTCCAACTATATCGCCTTAAAGAGCTGCGCCTGTTCTAAGCGGGGATCCCCAGAATCGACGACGCAGCTGCTGGGGTGAAGGAGGAAGGCGTGCGCCTTTTTCTTCTCCGCCCAATGGGAAGCGGCGCTCCTTCGACCCTTTCTCTCGAATCGCCAGGGGATTGGCTGAAAGGCCGTGAAGGACAAGGCCCGCCTCTTCCGGCCCCTTGCAGCCTGGGAAAGGAGCCCGCGAGAGTTTGGGGGCGGTGGCAGCCGAAGGGGGAAGCGCGGCGACCGCTAAGGGGCGCGTGGGGCTGCGGGGAGCTCGGTGAGTGAAGTTGCTGGTGCGCTGAGATGGCGCGCGGCTTGTTCCTTAGGGAGGCAGCAGATCCCTCTGCAGACGTCCGGGTGGCTGCGTCGCTCTGTGTTGCAGTCTTGGCCATGCGCTGTTTTCACATAGGCGGGAGCTCTGTTGGATGCAAGTGCTTTTTTCCTGGCAGCACGCAGGGATAAACATTTTGTGAATCTTTGTACTTTTGTCCATGTACTTTATGTATTTATTTCCCCCGATTTGAACTATAAAATGGTATTCTCTTGAGTCAAAATGAGAGTACCCTTAAACTTTGTTTTTAATAGAAAAAAGCACAGTTATATAATATATAGGATTTGTCTTCGTGTGTTTATGATCGTAGTGAAATGAGAGAATAATAAATGAGGATTTGCTTCTGCTTCTTTGTAACCCCCCCCCCATATTTATGGATCCCCCCACCAATAATGGTTAGCCACATAAGAGTCCTCAGACGAAGGCTGTCTCCCAATTCTCCTTTCTACAGTGGCCTGTCAGTTGCCCACTTTCAATCTTACAAGTAGGGGTTGTAGGCTAAAACCCTGCCCTGCTTTTGTCCCCCAGCAGCTGGTATTTGGTGGCAAGAGCTAGCCGTCCTGATGAATAGTCTCATTTTATATGTCCAGAAATTAGTTTTGGAAATGCAATTATGGTTGGAAACGCTTAATATTTTTGCCGACAATAAACCCACATGCAGTGCAGCTGTCACCAAATATGTGATGAACTACTCTGCAGTATATCTTAACTTGGGGCAGATTTTTAGAGAACAACTTAATACAGTATGGAACTTCTAAGCCCACTCTGATAGATTTCAGTGCATGCTTTACACCAGGCGCGGTCAAACTTGGCCCTCCAGATGTTTTGGGACTACAGCGTTCATCATCCCTAGCAAACAGGACCAGTGGTCAGGGATGATGGGAACTGTAGTCCCAAAACATCTGGAAGGCCAAGTTTGGCCATGCCTGCTTTACACCGTCTGTGTTTATTGGCTGTTTTCTGTTTTCCCTCCCCACCCACCCCCTTAGAACCTCTCCCTCCCAAAATAGTTGTGGGTTGTTGTTGTTTTTTGTATTTCTTCAAACCTTGTGGGGTCACCAAAGCCTACCAATGCCTCCCTCATCACTCTGTTTTGGCAATATGAAGATAGGCAACCAGCAAACTAGTCGGCTATTATTGGTCTGTTCCAAAATGAGTTAGTTCAGTGGATGCAAGAGGATGAGATTTTTGTTCCCTGTTTCTTTGCACATTTGATGTTTTTGGTGTTAAGCCATCTATGAGTGTGTTGGCCATGAAAGTTTCTTCCCAACATTATCATGGGGCAAAACATTTTTGTATCTATAGCAACTAAAAAAACTACTGTAAGAAATGCATTTTGTTTCCATGCAGAGTTTGATGTACAGAATCTGAAGGCCTTTGATTAACATGAAGAAGAGTAAAGGTCGAACATGTCGAAAGAGGCGAAGAAAACAATCAAGAAGTTTGTCTTTATGTGGTGGTAATGTGTTTTTGTTTATTTGTTTGTTTCAAGGCCTTTTATTATTAAGGCACCCTCAAACCTCGGAAAGCTAAACAAAGTCTAAAAGTAAAGGTTACAAAGTTACCTAAAGTCCTATCTTAACACATGCTAGGCCAATGAATGCTTTGAGATGTAGCGTTCCAGCATTTAGTCTAGGTAAAGGTAAAGGGACCCCTGACCATTAGGTTCAGTCGTGACCGACTCTGGGGTTGCGGCACTCATCTCGCTTTATTGGCCAAGGGAGCCAGCATACAGCTTCCGGGTCATGTGGCCAGCATGACTAAGACGCTTCTGGCGAACCAGAGCAGCGCACGGAAATGCCGTTTACCTTCCCGCTGGAGCGGTACCTATTTATCTGCTTGCACTTTGACGTGCTTTCAAACTGCTAGGTTGGCAGGAGCTGGGACAGAGCAACAGGGGCTCACCCCGTCACGGGGATTCGAACCACCAACCTTCTGATTGGCAAGTCCTAGGCTCTGTGGTTTAACCCACAGCGCCACCCGCTGTGGCCTTCCCCAAATGGAAGAAGTTTAACCTAAGCCAATACAACTTAATGGGGTTTGCAATTCAAAACATTTGGAGGGCAAATGCTTGGGGAAAGCCGATCTACATTCTTACAAACCAGGGTGTCATATTGTTACTGAATTTTTTTATCAGTGACACGGGAAAACAACACTGGCTTAGGAGTGGGGTGTGGGGGAATAGTTAATTCAGTATTGCAACTGGGGTTAATGTTAATAAAAGCCATTGAGCCAACACAGTGTAACAACACGCTCCTGTACATTTTTTCTGAGCAGCGAGCCTCACTGTGTTCAGTCGGAGGTGCTCTGATGTCTGGTGTACTAAGGATTGCAGCCTAAGTGATTAGTGAACCCCAATGCACATATAGTGCAGGTAGGAAGATGGAATTCCTATCCCCTATTTTTTCCTGTATATAGGGTAACATTGATTCAATAGTTTTATCAGGGAGGAGCGCAGTCCTGCTACTGTACTGGCAAGTTATTCTGTTTATTCTGCTAAGCCAAAGTACTTTCATGGCATCCATTTTTCCCCAGTGTTGTGATTTGCATGTTACGTTGCTGTGAAAAACATCTTTTGGTGAATCGTCATTAATGAAAAAATGCCATAGCACGATCATTTCTGTGTAATGATTTCAGTAAATCTTAGCCACAAACACGAATATGTGCTGCTAAAGAAATGGCTGAAAGAAAGAGGCTATGAAGATAATACATTGCGGCCAGCACAATTTTCAGGTAATGATATAATACTTTTCTGACAAACTGCAGTTGTATTTGAGTGTTCTGTTTGTGTTTGAAACTACAGGTGATCCGGGGAGAGCTGGGATGCCTCCGGGGCAAAAGTTTGAAGGCAGGAGCTTCCATGCCCTATTTATAATTCTGATTAAACATTCCATGAGTTTTTATGCTTTCTAAAACTCTTCTGTGTTCTTCCCCCTCCTTCTGCCTTGTTTCCTTGAGGCCTGAGCAGTCTATTTAGATGTACAGTATGCATATGTATGAAATTGTTTTATACATGCTTTTCTTGTAATGTCAAATTTCTTTGAGTTGCTTCACAAGTCAAATAATGAAATAATTAATACTGCATATCTCTGGGGAACCTAGATAGGTAGTGAAGATACAAACCACTTCTAAATTCTTGCCCCTGACCTCGTTTCTTTTCTTGGACCACCAGTTAACAACCATTTGCAGGTTTGTGGAGAGCCCAGGAGCCAATTTCATTGCAGCTTTCTCTCCTTTGTCTTTTAGAGACAGGAAGAGGATTGATGACCACAAAAGCTCTTCAGGTTTGTATTCCAAAGAAGAGGCTGGTGCACAACTTCTGGGCCAGGTTGAAAATATGAGATCCCTCCCTCTACCCGCCCCCATGGTATCCTTGTGTATAATACAGTGGTACCTCGGGTTACATACGCTTCAGGTTACACACGCTTCAGGTTACAGACTCCGCTAATCCAGAAATAGTACCTCAGGTTAAGAACTTTGCTTCAGGATGAGAACAGAAATCGTGCTCCGGCGGTGCGGCAGCAGCAGGGGGCCCCATTAGCTAAAGTGGTGCTTCAGGTTAAGAACTGTTTCAGGTTAAGAACGGACCCCCGGAACGAATTAAGTACTTAACTCGAGGTACCACTGTATAGACCAACTGTCTTAAAGCTGCCTTTGCACTAGACTCTACTGGATTCACAGAATAAAATTCTGAAGTGGGGCATAAACAGAACAACCATTTAAAAGTAATTATTTATGAGCTTTGTAGATTGGTGTATGGCCAGTTTCTTAACATCATTTTTGTTGTGGAACAAGTTATTGTGAATGATTTTGCTCCCCCAGGTGGTAAAAGCTGGTATTTACCACTTCCTCTGAAATAATTGGCATAGGTGGTGGTCAACTCCTAGTAGTGAATTTGCTAGAAATACTCAGTGTGTGAAATTCACAAAACTGAGGTAATCTTGTAATGGTTTCACCACAATAAAAATCAGAATTGAAGTTTCGACCTTCAAGTCATACATTCATGGCTAAATATAACTTCTAAAGAACTGGAGAAAGGTGCTGACAACCAATTAAAAACTATAGTTCATCTGGTTTTTACTCAGCTATTAATCAGAACAGAAATATATTTCTTTGTTACCAATGATTTACAACCAGGGCTACTAATCTTTCAACACTCCATTGAGTAATATAGTCTGTATCTAAAGTGTCCAGTACTTGTCTTGTTTCAAGTGACAACTTTCAGTCTTTTGGGGGGAAAATGCCTCTTTGTTAAGGTGCAGACAAGCCATACAAATTTTTTCTTGGATTCATCAGTGCAATATTTTTTCTTGACCCAATAGTGCTAATTATGTGTGCATTTTGACATTTCTTACTGTGATTTGTATTTGGGAGTATGTTCACTCTGATTTCTTTATTTTTTAAAAAATCATAGGCACAAGAGCTGATTATTTCATTGCCTGAAAAATGCTTGCTCACCACTGATACTGTCCTTAGCAGCTACCTTGGAGAATACATCATAAAGTAAGTTTACAATTTTGAATTCTGTCTATCTAGCTCTCCCTTGAATCTACTCTTAGCATTGCTCACACTGTACTTTTTCTTATCAAAATCATTTCTATTGCTTTCAGCATAGCCATGCAGATAGAGAAGTTATTTGATGCTATATATTTGAAGACATATATAGGAAAAGAACAGTGAAATAAAGTATGTCCACAGGAAATTCAAATATTTAGGCCACAACCCTAAATGCACTCAACATGGGAATATACTCTAGCCAGTAAACAAGACTTACTTTTGAAGAAACATGCATAGGATTGTATTGCACAGAACAGTTTTATAATGATAATAAGGAAAAACAAACAAGGGAAAGGTAATGGAAATTAAAAATAAAATTACCCTTTCCCTGCTTCCTTTTCTCTAGAATTATTGATTGGCATATATGCTAAACTTTCAAAACAATAAAAACTAATAGAAGAAGAAGAAAAGTATTTTACTTCGGAACATAAACTGGTTGCAGCCCCCTCCCCACTTACTTTGGAGTGTAAGCTCTATTGGACGCAGTGGGACATTCTTCTGAGTAGCCATGGGCAGGGATGTGCTGCAAATGTCCTTGCCCTTATAGTCTACTTAGAAACAAACCCCACTGATTTCAGTAGGACTTGCACTCAGGTAAGTGGTTAGAGAATTGTATCTTAAGGTGCAAGCAGATGAACAAGACTGAAGTGATTAAAAATCATTGACTCCAGTCGGGTTTTATTAGGTTTCTATCTCTTTATGCTCTTGCAAAATATTTGCAGGACGTAATAAAAATATCTCTGGTATACAAAAAACTGAAGCAACAACAGATGACTTAAACAAAACATTACGAAAATACAGTTGGATATAAAAATGTTATGTGAAAACAAAGTTGCTGATATATAAAAATCAAGAATATGAGTTCATTTTCCTTCTGGCACTTCTTCCCTCTCAGGCTCCGGGTTCTCACCCATGGTTCAAACCAACTCTTGGCTCACCCACAAAAGTCTCACAATGACGAGTTCCTGGAAGCCAGAGACATCACCCTAGTCTCTCACTCTTGGCTTGCTTTTTATGGGCAGGCCCAAGGTGGATGGTACTGCCTCAGGCTGCCCGCAGCCATGTCCCATTCAGTTGCACTCTCCATACCCAATTCCAGGTACAGCGGTACCTCTACTTACAAACGTGATCTGTTTCGGGGTGCTGTTCGCACCCTGAAAAACCCGTAAGTAGAGTGCCGCTACTGCATGTGCGCGAAGCATGCAGATTGCTTCTACGCACGTGCGCGGCGAACCCAGAAGTAAACACTTGCGGGTTTGCTGCGTTTGTAACCTGAAAAGCCGCAACGTGAAGCAAACGTAACACAAGGTATGACTGTACAGCAGGTTTGCTGAGTTTCCTAGGGGGTCCCGAGGATGTGGATAGCCCCCCCCCCGTCAGCTCTTTCTTCACCCTCTGTCCTCTCCTTTTCAGCTGTTTACATAATATTTCCCTTGATTAAATGAAATATGAAATATTTATACAGCATAAAGCATCTGAGTCTTTTTACAGCAAGCCCAGCTAATTCCCAGCCAAACCCTTCCTAAAATCTACCACACCCTAAGCCCTGTTTAAGACCTGACGGTTAAACTTTTCGTCTTTTAACTCTCCACCGCCTCCTGAGTGGTTGACACTCTGCCCAGCCATGACTGACTTCTGGGTGTCCATGAGGTTGACCCCAAGGCCCATCCACCGCACACGGACAAACTGGATCCTCTGGTTAATTTGCTTACTCTGGAGTGGGAGTAGTCAATGTAGTGCCCTCTAGATGCCATGGACTACATCTCCCATTACCCCTGATCTTTGGGGCCATCATGGCTGTGGCATTTGAGAGTCACAAGGTCTGCAACATCTGGAAGGTGCCATCTTGGCTGCCCCTACTCTGTGCTGCGTCTATAGCATTTGCATGTGCGATGGTGACATAAGTAAGTCTTAATGCTACGTGAGCAGCTTTCTGTGTCATTTAAAGCTATAGGAATGTAGTAAGGAGTGTTTGTGGTTCTCATGTTTTCTTCTGCCTTTAGATGGAGACCCCCCATTTCTCCTTTGGCAGCACTGTGTACATTTTTAATAGCAGAAAAGTGTGCTTGCAAGGAAGAATCCCTGTGGAAGCCATACCTGGATCTCCTACCTGAAACATATACCTGCCCTGTTTGTTTGGAGCAAGAAACAGTGAACCTTTTCCCTGAGCCCCTAAGAAGAAAAGCCCTTGAGCAAAGAAGACGGGTCCAGGAGCTGTTTGTTTCGTCCCAGCCATTTTTCTTCTCCTTACAGCCTCTGTTTTCTGAAGACGTAGCATCTGTCTTTAACTATAGTTCCTTTCGGTGGGCTTGGTGCACCGTTAATACCAGGACAGTGTATATGAAACATGCTCAGGGGGACTGCTTTTCTAGGGAGTCAAATACATATGCCTTGGCTCCTTACTTGGATCTGCTAAATCACAATCCAGCTGTCCAGGTAAGCTAATTGGAGCCAGGTTTCTAGAATATGAGGGTGGGAGATTGGCATGAACAATAGGAACTGAACTGTGCAGTGTGAACGGTTCCAGGCAGCCATGCCTTCTTTCAAGGTGCCCTTCTTTCATTACTCCTCTCTGTTCCGCACAAAAAAAATCCACTTTTAATATTTTCCCAAATTAATGCGTGTGTTCTGCCAGAGCCCAAGTAAAAGGCAAAAGGGGCCATCCGTTGTTCTGCTGACTATAGTACTTTAATTATTGGAAGGCTCATTGTGTTTAATGTTCTGCTTTGAAGTAGATCAACCTTCCCCAACTTGGTGCACTCCACTTGTTTCGAGCTACAATTCCAATCTGCCCCAGGCCCCCTTGACCACCGCTCGGGGGTGATAGAAGTTGTGTTCTGCACCAGCTACAGCCCCCAGACCAACCCCAAGGGCACATGGAGCACAAACCGACTGTGAGGTTACAAATGCATGGACCACTGTGGTCGAGCTAACCTGACCCAGTAACGGCTGCAGCTGTCTTGCCGATAGAAGTTAGTAAGAAAGGCACTCCTAGCCATTGAGGATGCCTGTGCCTCCAGTGACCCAGCTGGATCTAGGAGCACCCCAAACTCTGCACCTGCTCCTTCAGGGAATGCACAACCAGGGCAGACAACTTACCAACTCCTTGGACCCTCCTGGGCCTGGCCACATGTTGTGTGTTAGCGTTGGCAAAAATACACCTTTGCATGAACAGTTGCTTAGCCCAAAATGGTGTGTGTATTGGGATGGTGGTGGTTGTGATCGTGTGGAGTTCCTATGCAGGAGTTCACACATAGCTGCCTTTTTGTAGACCTCCATGTTCAATGCATGGGCCAGGAGCTTTGTATTTTCTGTTGTCCTTGGTGTTGGGAAGAGGAGTGGTTCACAAATAGCTTGAAACATTTTAGGCTTTGTCCGTTCTCTTCTCATGAACTTTCTTTTCAGATAAAACTGCCTTGTTCTCTCCTCCCTCCTCCTCCTCCAAGGTGAAAGCTGCATTTAATGAGAAGACAAAGTGTTATGAAATAAGAACACTTTCAGGCTGTCAAAAATACAAAGAAGTATTTATTTGTTATGGCCCACATGATAATCAGCGCCTGCTTCTCGAATATGGTTTTGTTGCGAACTCTAATCCACACAGCAGTGTGCATGTTGGGACAGGTAAATTTGGATTTGATCTTGACATTGATGGGTGATGCAGTTTTACTGGAGGCTTAGGACAGGGCCAACCTGCCACTCAGTGGGCGGAGCTTATAATTCCACTACCATTTTTTAATGGTTCCAGCTACCACTTTCAGCTAGCTCTACACTGTAGCTGCCTGACTTCAGTTCATCTTGCAAGTCTTGGGCAGGGCTTCCTTTGAAAAGCAACCAGGGCAATGCATTGTGTAGTAAGATAATGATAAGACCACAGTGAGGTCGTCCTTTACTTGTAACTATTAGTGGCAGTATCACATCTCTCCAAAGCCTGCCCACCTCTGGCTTATAACTCTGGAAATGATGGGGGTCAGAGTTAGAAACTTAGACATAAAAGTTAGGTGCCAAATGGCTCCTTAAACCAGGGTTAGTCGCCAAAATGGAATGCCAAGTTGCCATTTTTGGGCCAGATGGCTCAAAAGCCATATTTCTCAATACAACCTTTTTGTTCCTGAAATTCATTCTGATTGTGCCAATGAAATATAACAGAATTACACAGGATGTGTTGCTACTGTGTGAAAACAGATCCAGGGACCCCCAGGCATGCACCTGCAGATGGTGGAGATGTCAGGCATCATCCTGGTGCCCAGCCATCTTCACTTGGTCTCAAGTGGCCAATAGCCAGGTGCAAAATGTGCCAGGCAAATTTTTATTGCTGAAGGGGATGCCATCATCCTTTGCTGTTGAGAGCTGACATTATCCTGGTACACACATTATCCTAGCACTCTGCTGTTAGTGCTAATGGCCATCTTGGCTTAGCTATGGAATTGGTTGAGAAAACTCAGCTTTCGACCACTCGGCATCTGTTTGTCCTTTAAGTTTTAGCTGCTGGTTTTTACACTCTGTTTAATCCTTTGGTATTTGTGTGCAGTGTGCTCTTTGCGGTCAGCTATTATATTTTGCAGCTAATGTTGTTGCTTCAACTTGGATTGTAAATCAATTAAATTATAACAACCCCCACATACTCTGGTTAGGGCTGGCAGGGAAAATCTAAGCCGTAGGCAGATTCCCCACCTCTTTATTGTGCTTTTAAATAGCCAGCTTGTTTTCGGTTTTCCTTTTTCCTTGGTTTTTCTTTTCTAGGGTTTTGCATTTTGGTTTGGTTTTTTCATTTCCAACTCTCCACATCTAGGCTGGAGCCACTTGTTTTATATAGGTTTTTTTTGGTGGGGGGAGGCTAGCCTACTCAGACCCTTAATTTTATTGTGCATGTTTGTTTTTAAAGTGTAGATTGTATCTTCAGCTGGTAAATTTTATTTATGTCTACTTGTGTTTAAAGTTTGATTTTATCAGTATTTCCTTTAACATTGCTTTATGCAAATCTCTTTGAAGTTTTTCTGATGGAATGGTATCTCAGTCATGTCATTCATATATATATATATATGTGTGTGTGTGTGTGTGTGTTTGTTTGTGTTGGGAAGGCTTTTAGTCTCAGAGACAAGGCAACTTAAAGTACACCTGCCAAACCCTCCACAAAATGATCATATTCTATTCCATCAAAATACATTCATTTTAAACAAGCATACACACACACACACACACACACACACACACACACACACAATTTCCTTCTCCCTCCCACTGATCACATCCACACCATACATTAAATGGCTCTTTATAATAGTCATGGATTTCTCAAAATAATCCTGGGAACTGTAGTTTGCTTGCCACAGAAATACACTGTCCAGCACCTTTAACAAACTACAGCTCCCAGGATTCTTTGTAGGAATGTCCTAATGGTTAAAGTGACTTGTAAGAGTGCTTTAAATGTATGGTGTGGACATCACCATTTTTGGGGAAAGGAAAACCTGCTTTTCCTCCTCTAATCGAGCAACCACAGCACGTGTGTGTTTCTAGATTCCCCCTCCGCCAGTGAAGTCAGTCAGTCATGCTGAAATTATGTGAGCACCCAGCCACAAGCGAGAGCGAATGTGTTCTTGGCTTTGTTTCCTAAAATATTTTCAGCAGAAATGCTAATAGTTAAAAGTGCTAGAGACATACAAAAGGCTTCTTTGTTACCGTAACTCTCATAACTTGTTTGCTTTAAACACTTTTTTTCTTCAGAAACCTTACTCAAATATATCCTTCCAGAAGATAAGCAGAGACATACGAAACTTTCAATTTTACAAGAAAACAACTTTTTAGAGTTAAGTACGCATATGCATCTGGGGACTCAATAGCCTCCCTCCTGTGATTTTAGTTTATAACTTCAGGTCAACAAAGAAGATAGGTTAGGATGTTTTGATCAGTGGGTGCCTCCCATGGTTAAACCTTAGACAAAAATTGGATAAAATATAATCAAGTAAAAAAATCCTTTTATAAATTGTACTAATATTAATAAATGTGTGTGTCATATACAGTACAGTGGTACCTTGGGTTACATACGCTTCAGGTTACATACGCTTCAGGTTACAGACTCCCCTAACCCAGAAATAGTGCTTCAGGTTAAGAACTTTGCTTCAGGATGAGAACAGAAATCGTGCTCCAGCGGCGCGGTGACAGCAGGAGGCCCCATTAGCTAAAGTGGTGCTTCAGGTTAAGTACAGTTTCAGGTTAAGTACGGACTTCCAGAATGAATTAAGTACTTAACTCGAGGTACCACTGTACGTATGTAGTATGTACTACATATTTTGGAAAGTTGTCTGTTCACTCTGGACATACCATAATCATATTTTGCATGAGGACAAGGAACAGGTTTTCCTCCAAGTTAGAGTACAATTGGATGCTGCTATTTTGAATCAAGAGGCTGGACTGAACTTTTCAAAACTGCACTAAGTTTTTATAGTTGCTTAGAATTCACAAGTGGTGCTGGGTACGAGGCTGCTATTATAAATATGTTGGATATAGATTCCTTTAAAAATGATTTGTTATTTTTCGTCTCTAGTAATCTGACATTTGACTGGGATGGGCCATCTTGGAGACTTCTTACGGCTCTCAAGCTGCTATGTCTCGAAGCAGACCAATTGTAAGTAGCAAATGTTTGCTGAAAATGACCGTTAATGCAAAAGTTGCATTTCTTGAATGCCATTGTTGGACTTTGTTTAGCTGTCTGATGGCTGGATCAGAAGCAAAATACCTAAAATGTGTTTACATTTATTGACTGTAGTACTTCCTGGAAGAAAGTGCTTCTTGGCAATGTAATTTCAAAGAGGAATGAAAAGAAGAGTTTGGATCTCGCAACAAAAATATGTATGTCATTGACAGAGGAGACCCAGCATGCCCTTCAGAAGGTATCTGTTTGAATGAATTAGCCTGCTGTAACACAAGGGCTGGAGGTGAAACTCACATGGGGGGGGGGAACCCCTTTCCTACTTGCATTTAAGAGCAATAGAATCCCCAAAAGACTGAAAATCCCGCACACTGATTTCTGTCATACCAGCTTAACACTCAGAAATGAAGATGGTTCAATTTGTATAGAAAACAGTATAATATAATTATTTTAATTAAAGTTCATATATATAAATTTAGCACTATGTGTGCTTCTATAATCCTAAGCACTTTGAGACATTTTTGTAGTAGGTGATAAGGAAATGCATATAATAATAGTGAAGTTGCATGGGGCCTCCTTCTTGGCAATGTAGATCTTCCTCCTCATTGATGCAAGAAATCCAGAGTTAGAACATCCCTCATTGATGGCTGTCTAGCCTCTGCTCGTACACTTCCAGCAAGGGAGAGCCCACCATACCTCTAGCTAATGGATTTCCATCAAGAATGTTATTCTAAATCTATGATCTGTAACTTGGCTATTACAGTTTTCAAGGGATAATGGCATAATTGTGCAAGAGCCATGAATATTGGTTCTCTGAACTCCATCACACATAGGTGGGGAACCTTAGACCGCGCCTCTCTGTCCAATAGGATTTTATTAATGATCTTTTTACCTTTTCACTTTTCAGATTTCTCTGTTAAAAAGTGATTGCCAGCATCTTGCAAGCCAGCTAACTTTAGTTGAGGCGTTGCGTACAGAAGACCTAAAGATCTTGCAAATGTCAGCGGAGATTCTTCAGCATTTACATTCCACCACAATCTGACCTCCTTGGAACAGAGTTGCATCACAGAATAGAATACCTGGTGTGCAGTGGGCCATATAACACCAGTCCTAAAGGATCTGTACTGGCTCCCAGTATGTTTTTGAGCACAATTCAAAGTGTTGGTGCTGACTATTAAAACCCTAAACAGCCTTGACCCTGTATACCTGAAGGAGCATCTCCACCCACATTGTTCAGCCTGGACATAGATATCCAGCGCCAAGGGCCTTCTGGCGGTTCCCTCACTGCGAGAAGTGAGGTTACAGGGAACCAGGCAGAGGGCCTTCTCGGTAGTGGCGCCTGCTCTGAGGAACGCCCTCCCATCAGATGTCAAGGAGATAAACAACACTGCAACTCTTAGAAGACATCTGAAGGCAGCCCTGTATCAGGAGGCTTTTTAATGTTTGATGTTTTATTATGTTTTTATATGTGTTGGAAGCTGCCCAGAGTGACTGGGGCAACTCAGGCAGATGGATAATAATAAATTATTTATTTATTTATTGGTAAAAGCCACCAGCTTGCTTATTTATTTACTTAAATTATAAAACTTCGTATCCCCCACTTTCTTTGCAAGGCAGACACAAGGCGGCTTGCAACAATTTGAGTAGAACAGTACCACCGTAAAATAATTTAAAAGCCACTGAAGGGAGCTTAATAAAATAGAAGAGAGGTGGGGGGAAATACAAACCCATAAGAATTAATCCTCAGAGTTACCATTCATGGTAGTGGGGGTGGGGAGGAACAAGGCAGTTTTAAAAGTGGACCATGAGGTGGGGGTCAGCTGCACCTGCCTGTGGGGAGACCATGATAAAAAGAGGCCTTTTTATCCCCACCAGCCAAACCTCCATCAGAAGCAAGACAGCAAGAAGGGACTTGGAAGATGAGCAAAACTCCTGAATTCGTGTGAATTTCAGAATTTGTGTTAGGATCCCCATGGACAAGGTTGAATTGTTAGTTTTGAGAGCAAGGCATCCTTAACAATATGGCAATTTTCCTTTTACGCAGTCTGTGTGTTGACTGTGTCTGAGGAATTCATCAGAGCTGCTTAGTAACCTGACTTTTCTCCATAAGGCTTAACAAACCTCTCCAGCAAAGACAGATTTTACTCTTTTTAACATTATTTATCCTGGAAGGGATCATGAAGCAGCTAGCATATTGCATAGCTAAGTATTTTTCTGGTAAATCTTTCGCAACTACATTTTTTTTTTTAAAGGCCAAGAGGAGTGATACGTTGTGCGACGCTGTTACATTTCACTTTAGCACATTATTTAAATTTAACAGCGAAACAATTGTGTTCGCTATAATAAAGTTACAGGAAAGAGTATATTCCTTCTACACTGTTATGCCAATGGAAGGCACTGTATTTTATTCCCCCTGCTGGTTATTACTAGTCAGGTACTCATGAAAAAAGGGGGAGGGTGGTGATCTCAGAAGCTCCCTTGATATCATTTTACAGCTATCATTAGAATGGTTTTTAGTTTCCCAGCTTCAGCTATAAAATGTGGGAATCATTCATCTTGCGTTAGTGCTTTTAGACCTGTCTATTCAGGAAAAGATAAGATAGTATCAACTTTCAAACTCTGTTAATTAAAGCTTTTAAGTACATTATGAATGAAATGTCAAAAGATGACACTCACTAAGGGGAAAAGATCAGTATGTGATGTCTTTAAGGATTCACTGTTCTTAGAAGTGAAATATTCCTTAGAAATATGAAGCCACGTTAGAAGAAAGGGACTTTTTTTTTACAGCATGAATTATATGAAGCAATTTGCAGCATGGTGCATCTATGAGTGTAGATGGAGACGATAAACGGGGAGAATGGAAGAAGAGGTTAGCCCTGCTGCAAAGTGAAACATGCCTAGCTTGCTTTAATTGCAAACTAAATGCAGGCTGGACTTGTTACAGGGACTGTAAACATAGGCTGTGCTTCACATCCACCTGGGGCTATTTTTGCTTTTGTGCTAATAGCACACACAAATTCCTAGCATTTTATGGTTGAAATGTGCAGCCAGGAGAACCTTAAAGATAGTTTGATAAGCATAAAAGCAGTTTAAATGTACGTTGTGGGCTGAATTTTATTGTCACAGCATGAATTTAATCCCTGTCCTTATTTGTTGCTGAAGGGTGCTGGCCATGTTGGAATTCTGAAAGGTATGCTGTAGGTGGGGTGGGTGGGTGATGTTGGTGGTGCGGAGAGATGAATGCAAAAATCAGCCGAAGCCGTTAAGCTGTGAAGTTTGTTTGTCTAGACTCTCCTTAAAGTTGGACTGTGTGGCTGAAGAAACAAGATAGGATCAGAACGGAGGCTGAGTGATTCCAGGCAAAAGTCTAATATAGCAGGAGCCAGTGCACTGCTATCTGCTCGGCTGACACTGGGTCAATGCAAGCCTGTCTCTGACCAGAATGTAGAATGACTCTTCCTTTGTAGGGCAAAGAAACTTGTCCCTTGCCAATGGCCGAGGTCTGGGGCCTTTTCATGATGCTGTTTCTTGCCAGCGGGACTAATTAGGCTTGCCGGGGTCCCCCCCCCCAACCCTGCTCACTTGCCTCTCACCTGATGCCGTATGTGGGGCAGGTACAGCTGTGGCTGCAGAGGAACAGTTGGGAATCTTACAATGTGCATCCAATTGTCTCTCTGTAAGCAGAACTTGCATTCTGCACCTTCTAAATTTCCTTCTAAATTTGGCCCCAAATACAACTCCTGCTGGGATTGAGCTGAGTGTGGTTTATCCCCTCACACAAGCGTTGCTTTTGACAGGGAAAGTAGCACGAGGTTAATTGAAATGGAGGAATCAGCAGAGCACTTGGAGTGCATTTCCTTTGTGACATATGACAACAGCTGAGTGACCGCTTACCTGTGAAAAATGGCCCCCTCACCCCCAGGGGAGTCTTTAGCATATGCGCCGCCGGGGTGCCAAGATCTGCCCAGCGCCCCCAAGTCTGACAAGCACTGCTGTTGTGAATGACAAGCGCCGCTGCTGGCATGTCGCATCTTTGGTAAATGAGCACACAAAGTTGAAAGTCCTTTAGTGAAACAGTAGGTATACATTTCGGTAATACCTAAGTATATATGTATTTTGTTTTTCTATCTTGATCAAAATTGTTATTTCACAACAGGTAGATAGTTAAGAGCTTAGGCGACTTCAGCGGTGGGCACCTGGTGCCCCCCAGAATTTGGCACCCGGGTGCCCTGCACCCCTTGCACCCCTGGCTAAAGGCAGCTCTGCTCAGACCGCTTGAGGGTGGGTCTGTTCTGGATCTGGCCTAGTAGGTTGGGGATACTGACTAAAGGCCTTTGGATGAAGCTTGTTATTGATTCCAATATATGGTGAAAAATGTAAATCAAATACCGTTAGGTGTTTTATATTTTTTGCTTGTATATATACACAGAGTCAGCACGACAGTGGGACTCTTAAATCTCAAGGTCATGGGTTCGAGCCCCATGTTGGGCAAAAGATTCCTGCATTGCAAGCGGTTGGAGTTGATGACCCTCGTGGTCCCTTCCAACTCTACAATTCTATGATTCTAAAGTTCAGCCACAGTGACCCTGGTCTTCAGCAAATTGCTGTCCCAGCCTCACCGCTGCTGCTGAAGATTATGCATAGCATCTTATGTTGCAAAAGCACTGCAAAAGTGAATAAGCATCTTGTCCATTGACTGTGCAGAAGAAACTATTACTAATAGCTTGGTTTTGTTTTTTAGCTACTATGTCAGTAATATTTTTAATACGGTTAAATCATGGTGTCATCTTCCTCACAAGCTATAAGAAACAAACCTTTTTAAAAGGTGTAATTGCAAGACATGTCAACCTTCACCTAGGTCACATGCACACCAAACATTTAAATCACCCCCACCACTCCAAAACTCTGTTCACCCATCACAGAGCTACACTTTTCAACACCTTTAACACACTACAGTTCCCAGCATTCGGGGGGGGGGGGGGTTAATGTACTTTAAACATGCTTGCCTTGCTCACAAAGGAAGCAATGTGCTAAATTCAAGACAAATGCAGAAGGCATTGGCAAGATAATTTCTGAGAAATCACTGCTTTTTACATAGCAGTGCACTAGAGGGCACATGTATACTGCAGTGGAAGCTACCCTTTACTGAAAGTTTATTATTATTTTTTTAAAAAGAACAATGCTTGAAAATATATTTGTTCTTTCACTAGTGAAGTTCTTCACTGACTTCTGCCATTTAAGAAAAAGTACGGCAAAAGTGTATTTCTGAAACCTCTTCAAAGAGAATTGTTTGCCCATTTTAATAAGCGTACAGCATATTAAGTACCCCCAAAGTAGACAGCACTAGGGCTTGGTCAGGTCAGATTGGATTTATTTATATGGGCTCATTGTAAAATAACTGGAGTAACAGACCCCAGACAACATGGAATGTTAAACATCACTTGAGGCATAATACAGACAAGACATACAAAATGTTACATGCATTTGAAGCTCACTGTGAGATGATCTGAGCTCTCAGCTTCACGACCAGCCTTAAAAAGGCTGCCCTTCTGGTTATCTACTTATACTCCCCCTTCAAATGAATTCTGCCATAATGCCCATCAGTCTTCCAGGCAACTGCTTTAAAAGCGGGAGGTTCAAATCCTTCCTAACGGCATTATTTAATATTTGCAATAAAGCACAACATGATAGTGATTTCCGATAGCTTTCATCACAGGGGCCTGCACTTCCTTCCAGTTGAGTCCAGTTAAATTGACCATTAATGGTCTTGGCAGGGAATTGCAGCATGCAACCGTAATAGCTCTTTGAGGTTTTGGAAGAGTGAGAAAGTTTAAACGCTTGTTCACTGGACAACATTTCCAGTTACCCAAACACATTGGGGGTTAAGTTTTTACAGAAGAGCATTCCAGCTCTTAAAAATCTTAAGTCCTTAATATTGTTGCTTGATACACACTTGTCCTGAACCCCTGGCCTACCTGGTGGCAAGTCAGCATGTCAAGCCTCCAGTCCAGGATCAATCCACGTGTCCTATATCCCACAGAGATCCTGGCATATTCATCTGCCCATCAACCTGAGCAGTTGAGCAGACACAGCCCCTCAGCTCTGCTTCCCTTGAATACTTTGCATGATGATTGCAGCATCTGGGCTTGCTTGACAAGTCATGTGACCCTCAGCTGTTCCAAGCCCACTCCAGCTGAGGAATCACACAATTCCAGAGCTAGCAAGCTGCACCTGGCCAGCTAGGGAGCTGGACTGTGGACCCTTTTCCCCCTCAGCCTCTTAGAGTGTACCTCCTGCTGCTCCTTATGCCTCAGAGCCTGTTGTGTTCATGGAGACATGGGGCCCCTTTGGCTCTGGTGATGGGTCCTGTGGCTCTGGTTCCTGCACACCAACCACCATCCCCTTGCCATCTTCCGTCACCCAGTGAGTACTTCCTATGCCAATTTCTCCTTCTCTTTCCCCAGCTTGCCCCAGTGTGTCCCAGTCCTGGCTATACCCCTTCCTCCTTTTCCTCCTCCCCATTGTCCTGCCAGTTCATGACAAGACTTCAGCTTTATGATAGTGAAAGGTGGTGAGAATGTTTGCAGAAAATCCTAGAAGATAAATTACAGTTTTTTTGTCCAGGGGCTCATGAAAGAATCTGTCAATAACAAATTAGCCAACTGGATAGCACCAGGGGTTTCAGGGAGATGATCACCTAATGTCCTCCAGATGGTTTGGACTGCCACTCCCATCAGCCTATGCCAACACAGCCATATTGCCTAGGGATGACGGGAGTTGTGGTTCAAAACATCTGGAGGGCATCAGGTTTATGAAGGCTGGGGTAGCTCTTGCAGGATAGATGCATCTGTAGCTATTAATTAAGATGCCTACAGTTTCTAGGGCAATATATGTCAGCTGAGAGCCCCAACAGAAGAGGGCTATTTTGCCATCTTGTCCTGCTTTTTGGTGTATTTGTCATTCAGAAGCCTGACTTAGCCGGTCATTTTAAGGATTTACAGGTTTTTAGTGGCACTTTGTTGTATACCTTTTGTTGTATGACAAGTTGATATTTGATGATGCCTGTATATAAAGACTTTTATTTACAAATAAGTAAATTTGCTGCTTCCAACCTGTAATCAGTAATTTTCAAATACTTTACCACCCTGGAAACCTTTTGCACAATGACTTATTGAGGAAGTTCTTTTGTATGTGTCTGCTGAGAGAAGTGAGTTCACTCAAGATGTTGGGTTTGCTATATAGCATGCACACAAAACTCCACTGTTGCCTTCAGGTTGGAAGCAGCAAGTAAGTTATCTC